CCGACCAACCGACCAACCGACCAACCGACCAACCGACCAGCCGACCAACCGACCAACCGACCAACCGACCAACCGACCAACCGACCAACCGACCAACCGACCAACCGACCAACCGACCGACCAACCGCTCGGGGGTGAGAACTGCCAGCACTGGGCTAGAGGTTTTTGGAGAGCATATCGAGCATTTCGGAATTGATGGCTTCGAGAATAGAACTGGCTACGGTACAAACTTTTAGCGCGCGGCGCATTTGTCTTACGTTTTTTTATGGTCCACTTGGTCGAAGCGTCTTGGCCGAAGCACCTAAAAGGGAAGGACCCGCGCAAAAGGGGCCACCAGTAGCGGGGCACGACCTGGCACATTGAGCCAAGATGGCTACGGTGCAACGCTCTTGCCTTTTTTCATGGTCCACCGGAGTGAAGCGCATCTGAGCCGAAGGACAAACAGGGACGAAGCTGCAGCAAGAGGTGTAGGCAGAATATTCGTGGAAAATGTAGAAAGGACGCGAACGCAGGCAGACAGGCGGTAGAGGTGCTCCCACAGGCGGTAGAGGTACTCTAGTGAACAACCATGAAGCAGCGGGCGCAGCTATTGGTGCGCTGGTGGACAGGCATGAAAAAGAAGGGTCACGAGTCGTTCTAGTGCCAGGAACGGAGGGCCACCATTCGTTCTAGTGCCACGAACAATCACACTATGCCAAGATTGGCAGGGATGCTTCTTATCTACACTATGCCCGGCATGGATTAGGAGTGAAGACCCCAAGAGCGAAAAAAAAGAGAACCAGGTCTGTAGTAGGCATGCAGAAGACTGGCTATTGGGTTCGTTCTTGATTGTGGAAAAGTTTTTTTAGAGGCAGATGGGTTCGCGATGGACTTTCGATGAGTCTTTTTTGGCAACTTCGGACGAGAATGTATGGGTTCCATAGAGGGTCCAAGAATTTTTAAAGTAATACAGAGAATGTGCTTCCAGAGGATCATGGACCAGTTGATTTACAGGGTCCAAGCATTTTTCCAACGGGTGCTCGATAATGTATCAAACGGGTGACTTCCTATTGCCGATGATGTATAGCGTCCAAGCAGAGTGAGAGCCCTTAGTGCCACTGGTGTACAGTATGCCGGCACTCTCTGACCAGTTGGGGATCAGCGTTTAAGGGATCAAGTGTAGTTCTAGGGATCGGCAATGTTGTGGGGAACGACAACACAGCTGGATTTCGTTTCTTTTCAATGGCTTCGGGCAACGAGCAAACGCATCAGCTGTGGTCGGCGCAAAGAAGGCGCACATTTCAGGGGCAAGAAAGATTATGCACCGACGTGGCATCTCTTCTCAATCTACAATGCTGGCCCAGGCGATCGACGGAAGGGTGGCAGTGCTTGTGCTTGTCCCAAAAATGAAATGGCCACATCTTAAAAGTCCAATTCCAAGGCTTTGCGAGCAACGATGCTTGACTAGTATTAAGTTTTTGCGAACTCGCAAGCGAAACTTTTCAAGAACAAAGAGTAAGTTGCGAACAGCGAGTCATTGCAGCTACAATCACAGCAGCCACACTGTAAAAGTACAATTTATCGCGGTCTCTTTCATAGCATGCCTAGAAACGGCTTCTCCATGGGTGAGTGACGTCGCTTCTTAGAGTAGATCAGAAGTCATGGGTCATGGGGTGAGTCTGAAGCGGGTAAGGAAAGGGGGAGTTCAAGATGTAGAAGCCAAGATCAAATTTCCTATTCCGGTGCGTTTCTCAACACGGCATCTTCAATGTTAGCAATTACAGTGGCAGCTAGACAGGTAGAATGGAACTTGTAAAACGAGTATGACCTCACAGCTAGGCATGTTCTGTCTCGCGCCGGGTGATTAGGACCCTTCATCTACTTAGTCGTTTTTCCACCTGGTATCATCTCAGTCCTGATATCGTTGCGTATGCCCTGCAAACGCTTCTAGTGCCCTTCTTCATCCGCGATAGGGTTTGCGTGAATTTCCACAGCTTCGATAACGATATCCGTGAATTAGAGTAGATCAGAAGTCAAGACATGTCAACAAAAGCAATATACAGTTCTACTAGTTTTTATCAAATCTAAAATACAACTGAACTAAGTGCAATGGCCAACTGTACATGATCACCACGAGCACGTTGAATTTCTGCTAAACGTGACCATGAGAAGAACTGTCTGTCCCAAGAACAGCCTAACTAGTTGCACCACACGCATTGCGTAGCACTGCTACCACACACATCTCGTAGTACTACTACCACACACATCTTGTAGTACTACTACCACACACATCTTTCTTGTAGTACTTATTTGCATCTACATCTTCATCTAGTATTGCAACGAACTTATAAGCTGATAATGAAGATAGCAAAAAGCCTTAATTTATCGGTCTTGCTTTCTTTTCGTCGCCAACCGGACTTTCCTCCATTTTTTGCAGGGTCTCAAAACCGTCAATAACTCTCCCTATCACAGTATATCGTCCGTCCAAGTTGCCGAGTCGCTCGTTATGAACAAGGAAAAGGGAGAAAAAGGGAGGATTGCAGATGGAAGAGGATTTGGGATGAAAGGGGATGTGGGATGTGGGATGGAACAGGAAGGCGCATTCATCCGATGGCTTAGCAGTGTGTTCAGAAGTTCCAAGGACTTCATCATCGTGCTAAGATTCGTGTAAATAAGAGGCGCTTTTCGTTTGTTTCGCATCTGCAATTATGAGGGGTAAAAGTTTACTTGATGCCGCACGTACAACAATGGGTATGATGATGCTTGATCTGACACTAGTGACTATTTATCATAATTATAGGTGATGTAGAACTGCGAGCCAATTTTCTGCATTTTTCCTGTATCTGCAAAAGCTACAACCCCACGCCGGTCGTGCTTTAGCTCTGGCCTTATCTCATGCTCCAAATAGCCGGCTTCACCTGCCAACGCCTTACCTCCTTTCCCATTCGTTTTTTCCGTGTCACCACCTGAGGGTGTCAGGGGAATGGACCAGTATATGAATGCCGCGCCTACAACAGCGTAGACAATGTAGACGGCTGTCAGCGTCTTGGTTTACAGTGAGCATAGAACTACGGAGGCTTTAGTTGAAGATGTCACAGAAATGGGAGAGTGAGTGGATTCATCCTTTTTTGGCGACAAGCATATAAGAGGCAATGGGGTCACAAGTATAAGAGGACATTAGACTCCGACATAAGTACTTTTAAGGTAGTACCTTGTATTATGAACTGCTTGATGTTCCGGTGAAAGGTTGTTCCCGTGTAGTTGCCGCTAGCGCAGAGTGCAAGAAAGTTCTTGCATGCTTTTGGCACTTTGCCGCGATCATTAAAGGAGGGTAGAGACTGGGACTCAAGACTGCAGATGCTCAGGACCAACATCAGTAGGAAGGAAAAGGGATATCATAACAGTGAGTGGCTATTATATTATAACCCTCAAAACATATTGAAGAGAAGTGCTGCAGAGCGCACCTCTCGAAAAATGAAACTTGATACTCTCAAAACTTTATCCCAGCACTAATGACATAGTTATAGTCCATATTCTGCCATAAAATGAAGCTCAAGCTTCAGCTCCCCCAATGAGGTCTTCAGCGTGACCGACATGATCCTAGGAGCAAGTCTTGGATGCTAGGATGATGCTTGGAGTAGGTCTTGGATGTCACGAGTAGGTCTTGGATGCGAGGAGTAGGTCTTGAGGGTGAGAAGTGTTCGGGATGAGCTAAAAGTGGTCTTGAGCGTGGAGGGCTGCTTAGCCTTCAAATACTGGGTGCTTGGTGAGTGAGACGCACTGCACAGAGTATTCAGCAGCGACAATATCTGCGAAAAGGATTTACGTCAAAAGCAGCGGCTCCCACTAGTCGGCTTAGTGGCTCTACGAGCGTAGGGCATGGCCTTCACATGCTGTATCAAGAAGAGACTGCATTTTCATCATCTTTATTCATCAATGAAGACTGTTCAATCTCAATTCATATGCAAGAAAAATTGGAAAAGTAACTCGTGGCTTACGACCGTTGGTTCTTTATGCAACAGGATAGCCACTTAACTACATGCTAACTTCTTCTAGACCCTACTCACTTAGTTGCTGATCACTTATTGCCTGCAGTAATTGGAGATCGATAAAGTACACGTTTCATTCACGCTTGGTTCCGTTTGCGCGTTACAGCAAAGAGTTGCTGCGGATGAGCAGAGGATTAGATTCATGTCACAGGAGTACAGTAGGATTAGAGTCATGTTCTCGCACCAGCAAAAAGTTGTCGACGCGGGGGAACGGAGCAAAGGATCAAGGCAGCATTGACATTGACATTGACATTATCATTCGCATTGGCATTATCATTCCTACTGAATGGGAAGCATTCATTGGATGCTTGTGAGTGGGAGGCATTCATTGGATGCCTGTGAAGGGAAGGGGTGGAATTCGAGTGGGCTTATGACGTCTGAGCAGTGAATTGGAAGCATGTTAAAGGCATTCGAGGCACGGGATGTGGATTCAAGACCTTTGAAGCCATTTAGTGGGGCAAGTCTCACGTATTGGAAGAATTTGGCGATCAGCGATCAGGCTGTCTCTTGCCGATTCCAGATCGGGCCTTCGTTGGATGGAAATTTTATTCTAGACACCTCACATTCAGATCTATAGCGCTAATTCCGCATAAATGTCTGACGAGACGAGATGAGAGGTGGAGCACCGTAAAGAGCCACAATTCTGCAACAGCCCACAGAACTGTACTAGTACACCCCCCAGAAGTGGATCATCCTTTTCGTATGACTGCGGGGCTCTGATGCGACTGATGTGACTGGTCATGGTCATGTACTTCGGGTCTAACCCTCCCTGGTCAAGTTTGAAGCAGATCTTACACACAGCAAATTTTATCAATTTCAAAGTCTTCGGCCAAGGGCCAGCGCACCAGCTCGGGTGGGCGCAGAGAAGTCGCACACTTCGCGGACGTTCAATCAATCAATCAATCAATCAATCAAGAGGACCTTCAATCAATCAAGAGGCCTGATAGACTCGAACACACTTAGGTAAGAAAAGGCTCAATCCACATTCGAGGGACCATACGCGGTAGTTCGCTGTATCCTAGGAGAGAGATGATCATAGACATAAACGTTGATGCGATAAGTGTACGCAACACAGAATTTTTTTTTCGACATCATTTACGCTTGTGGTCCTTGAATCAGGACCACAAGCTCGTGAAGGTTCATCACATTTTGGTGTTCATTTTCAAATGAGGTGCCACCAATCTTCTGAGGGTATGTAGTTGAGTTTCTGAAACTTTAAGTTTATCGTAGTTGCGCGGAGATTTTCTTTTTATTTCTTTCTCATATTCTAGAAAGTTCTCTAATGGAAATTGTAGTCACAGTGTGAGCGTGGCATGCAGGACCAGAACTATAGAGAAAGAGAGTGTTCTTCCTTCTTCTTAGGTGTTGCTATTTTGAAGGGACACAAGAGAGACCTCTTCCTTTTATAATTCTGGACTCTGGTCGAGTACGTCAATCCACCCTATAGATAGATACCTTATCTTTCTTCTATTCTTGGACTCTGGTGTACCTCTTAGAAGTAGGTTGCTTGGGAGCACCTTCTACCACTAGCCAGCGTGATCTAAGTACAAAAGTCTGCTAACATCTAATTTCTAGATCAAAATGCGAATTTTTCCAGGGAGAACAAGAGTCAGCTTTTAGGGCGAATCAGAATCTTCATGATGATGACGAGGATGTGCCTAGCGCGACTTTCGTCTAACATAAAAGTAAATGGTGCGTGGTCCCAAAAGTTGTGTCCCAAAAGTTGTGCTCTTGAAAGCTGTCTAGCGTCTGGGATGTCAGAAGAAGATATAGGATTTTTGCAATCCCTACTTTCTCTAGATGCCATCTCATCGGCAAATCTAGATGCTGCAATCTATACGGAAAGATGTATCCGATCGTAAAATGAAAATGCGCTAAGTCGAGTGAAGGTACATTTGTGATGTAAGAGCGAGTTTGCTGTAGATGTGTAGTTAAATGTGTGAAGTCTGCTACAACGAGGCATCATTAGATTTAAAAAAACCTAACTTCTCTACGAACATGTGAAGACAACATCTAAGCTAGTCCATTACCTAGTCTTCGGTTGGTGTCATCAATACTCTTAAATACTCAGATGATCAATAGTGTAATCAGAGGACTAGGAAAGAAATATTACAGAACAATAACACAGAAGATCACGATCTTAGTACTGTCTGGCGCTTGACTTCATCCATGATCTAGCACTAACACGCACAAATACTGACGAAGTCCAGGATATCACAGCCAAACTCTCTACTTCTCTAGAAAATTAGCATGTAAGACCATTGAGTGAGTGAATAGAACATACGTCCGGTATGAGGAAATTGGGGAGCCTAGACAACGTGAACACAGACAAGGTGGACCTAGGCAACGTAAGTACACCTAAACAACGTGGACTCCTTGCATGTTACGATGACAAGGCGTTCTGCCACTGCTTCTGCTACAACTACAACTACTGCTAGCACGACGCTCTTTCACAAACCACAACACTTTTCTGGCATTCTTTCCTCCATTTTTAATGAAATACTACTTCAGAACAATAGAAATACTACATCTCCGCAATAAGCTAGCGGGTCAACCGTGAAACTTATCACTTTTAAGTTATTCCTCAAAATCTTCTGAGCCAATCGCGTTCCCATCATGCTATTGTTGTAGTACTTGTTGAGACTGACCCTGGTAGTACAACACCCTTCTTAGAAAGCAAAGCTTACAGATCATGCTATCGTAATTTTACTTTTGGAAAGTAACTCTAACGTCTCTTATGATCACAATTAATGCTTCTACCTCTAAATAATCGTCTAAGTGCAGTTACTCTTGTAAACACGACCCTTAAGCAATGGTTGCTTGCAGCTCCTCTTTTGCGCGATTATGAGGTCGAAAGCGGAAACCATCTGTCTCAGAGACTTCCAACGCCTTTGTTCGCCGAAGACTCTCCAGCATTAATTCAGTTCCTGGGTAGTGCATATCTTTTAATCCGGTCAAAGCCGTTGCAGGAATCCAACCGTCTGAGTCCATAGCCTGTTAGGTCGTTGGGAGAAGGTAGGGAGCGTAAGTTTTCGAGAAAGTCCGCCTTAAGGAATTCTGCGTATGCAGTGGAAATGGAAAATATGACTTTCTTAGTAGGTAGAGACTTTGTAAGTAGCAAATTACGCAGTAAATGAGCGGAAGAAAAATGCAAAAGAACTCTATTCAGTACGCTGAGAATGAGCTGTCTTTCAGTCGGCGAGATCGAGCCGTCGTTTGGATCGAAGAACTTCTCCAAGTGTTTCTGCGTCACGTTGATACGCACTTCGTCACTGATTTTTTGCTGTGCCAACGATCGGTTCGAGATCGGACTGCTCGGCGCCGAACCGGGACTCAGCTGGCCCTGATGGAGTTGCTGATGAAGACTCGGCATTGTCATCGCAGTAGTGTCGTGAGGCGAAACAAGGGCAACAATTGGGGGACTAGAAGTATCAATGTAACCGCCCTTGCCCGGGACTTTGTCGTAGTTGTTGTTGCTCCTGGGACTATGTGGGTCTTGGCTGCGAACGACGACCGGCGTATACATGGCGGGATTGTCGTAGCCTCCCATACTCATGATCGACGCTTCACTTCCTGGCGCGACCTGAATGAGATATTTTTTTGTAGGAAAACATTGCTTGATATGGTGCTTTTTGCCTTGTTGATCACTGCGAACGAGAACTAGAACAGTTTCGATTTTCACATCAAATTAGTACCTAGTACAATATCTGAATACAATATCTTAATCACGATATTCAGTACTTACCAGGTCTTACTACATCCAAGTTATATAAAGAAAACTTCTAGCACTTGTAGTACATAAAGAGCAGCACTGGGAGGTGTCGTGGCGGGAAGGTAGCTGTTTATCGATATAATATTTCCAGGTGCGGTATTTGGCGTCGTTGTAGATTGCTGCCACATAGAACTGTCGTAGCCACTTTTTGCCGACCCTTTTCCATAGCTGTTACCTGAGTTTTTCGATAAGTGGAATATATATTTCGTTGCGGGGAGAAGGTGGTCATGATCTTAACTCGTTTTAGGTACCTCGGAATTTCAATATAGTGATTTAACGACTTTTCGCCTGAAATGTATTAAAATTTGTAGATAAGAACGAAAGCTGCAGACATGATGATAATCAATATGCGTCTCGTGATCTCTCGTGGATAGTCTCTGTTGAACGGCCCTCTGGAGATCTTGTGATCACAGCATCTCAGTACTAAACAAGCAGAAATTTTTTTCATTCTGATCTCCTGAAGGAGATTTTCATTCTTTTCCTTTCAGTGGTCCCTTGAGTATGTACTACTACTTAGTGGTATAGTTAGTCTCGAGTTCTACTTTCCTTGATTGTTGTTTTTGGATCTTCATAGCAGGATCTTCATCAGATCTTTCGCTTTTCTCAGAATTTTCCGAGGATCTGTCGGAGGAGCCGTTGTATTTCTTTCGTTAGTAGGCACTTACTAGTTTTGCCATGTACCTCTGCTTCCGTAGATAGCTCCTTCCGCACAGCTACTACGACCGCAGGACGCTGTCACTCGTGGGAATAGGGCCAGAAGAAGCAGTCAAAATTGCTCGAATGCGAAGATGTAGTGCTTCGTTGTAGAGATGTAGTCGTATTCGTAGTAGTTGTAATTGGCAGCTGTAGTAAGCGTTGTCGCTATTCAGGCTCCTCACGGTATGAGAACACCTTGTTCCTCCTTCCACACTGGTGCTACACCCACTTTGGTGTTCTCTTCTCCCCACTCCATGTCTTGGCATGCTCAAGAACTCCCTCTACGACTGTGACGGAGCATCCTCCTGCTCCCCCTCCTCATCGTACTTGCTTGCTGCGGTTCTAGTTTGTCCTGTGTGACTGTGCTCCGTCATGTATGCTGTCGTAGTGCCAGTCCGCGTCGAGGAACAGTGGGTCTGATCATCGCCGCTTGAGGAGGAAGAGTTCGGCACTGGTACGGGAACTGCAAATTGCTTTGATGTCCGAGGACTTGGCACTACTTCTTTACGCTTCAAACAGGATGTTGAGTTCTTCTTGTTGTTTTTGGTATTGCTAGCACTTTCTTGTGAAGTAGGTGCAAACCCTGACCCAGGTGTCGTCAACGTGCCTGCTTGTTCGAGTGTCTTTGTAGAACGTCGCGAAACTGACACTGTAGAGAGAGAGCAATTGCCAAGCAGACGCGACAAAGACGATCCGGACGGAGAAGACGACTCTGTTTCTACTCCACCTTCATCTGCTCCTTTACTCTGGTTGGATATGGATTTTTTTTGCCTTACTAGAGAATTTCTGCTTTCCATCGACTTTTCTGAGCTGACTGACTGCCTCTCTCCACTCTCCACACTAATGACTGATCCGAAGGAGGTGAGAGAAGAATGCGTCAGTGTTGAAGCGAGTCCTAAGGCATCTCTGATGCCGTTGGACATGAGCTCTGGAGGATTACAACTAGCACTACTAGTAGTACTCGTGGTTTTAGGCAAGGTCACGGTCTCCGGTCTAAGAAGAATCGTGCGAGTAGGACGACCAGCTTCTGGGTTATTAGAAGGAAGCTCACTAGTATTCTCCAAGGTTCCCGAGGAAGAGCTGCTAGTCACTACTTGTTCTGGTGACGAAGAACTGCGAGAAGTAGCTGTAGAAGAGCTAGCTGCTGCTACGTGCTGAGACGTGGATTCCCCGTTGCGGACGTCTCCGCTTTCCTTCTTGCCCTCCTCCATCTGCTGGTTTTCCACCTCGGGAACTACAGTCGCTGCAACACCAGGCTTCACAACAGGTTTTGCACTAGAATCCGCAGTAGTCGTTTTTGTAGCAAGTGTTTCTTTCTTGGCAGCTGCTGCTGTAGAAGTTTGCTTGGTAGTGTCAGTCTTGGTCTTGTCGGTCTTCGTGTTCTCAGCAGGATTTGCCACATCTCGCAAGCATTCGTCTATCAAAAGAAGAGTCTTGCCCCCACCACAGTTGTCCTCTAAACTGGAGATAGATATGTTGCGGTTCTTGTTATGGATCTCGGATGTAAAAGAGGGAACCTGCATGGGAGAATGCAATAGATGACTTGTTGGAGCTGCTGCTTTCGCGCTACTAGAAGTGGTTCTAGTTGCCACATCAGGTCTTGTTTTGTCGATCCCGGACGTACTAGCCCCAGCTGCTCCTGCGCTAACTCCAGACATGGCGCTTGGTCCTCCGGTCGCAGTAGTACTAGCTGTTGTCCATGTCGAAGAGGCGTTGGCCGTCTTTTTATTGCTCCCACTGCTGGAAGTAGTTCTTTTCACATTAACGTTACCAGCTGTAGCAGTATTAGCGTTTGGATTCTTTGCTGTACAACTAGCAATGTTCGTACTAGCAATGATATTTTTCTTACTAGTTGTAGCATTAGTAGTAGTAGAGGCTGTATTTTGAGGTTCCTTGTTGGACTCTCGTTGTGTCTCTCGTTCCTCGGCCGTTCCTCTCGTATTTCCTCGATTCGCTGTGCTCGAAGAAGCACTATCATCTGCAGTAGCTTTTGAAGTAGACGCACTAGCACCAGCTGTATTACCAGCATTCATTTTACTATTCATCGTCTCTCGTAGTTGTGCTTTACCTGATGAATTTCCCTTGCCTCCGTATTTCTCTTCCGCGTGGCGTTGCCTGGCTGCACCTTTAGAGGGTGTGTCGGTCTCGCACGGGAATGAAAAGCGAACTCCTTCTTCGTCGAAGAGCAATGGTTGCCAAACCTGACTCGCTTTGAGCATAGGCAACAAAGGACTGCGCTTCAAGCGTTCCAGATTCAAATGCAACCCCTGTACTGCAGCACGCGAGACCTCCGCGACTTTGTCTGTGATTTGTAGAAGAAGTGGTCAACGGACAAGAGCAAGATGAAGAGGACGTCGTGCAACTTATTTCAAGTTTGAAGAGATAGTTGCATGCCAGTTGCTAAAAGTATTTCAATCAATACCACAGTCACACCATCCAAGAAAATGTCAAAGTAAGTACTGCTGTTGTATCCCGGTAGCACTTTCTTCGTGTGGTATCCATTGTAAGCGTTTTGGAAACTCAATGCGTCCTCTTCGGTGCGAAAATTGAGGAAACAATAACCTGCAATTATAGGAAGTTGATTTTGGGTAGTCAACTATCTAGTATAGCTCGCATGGGAATGGAGAAAAGGTCTCGATTGCAACGAAAACTACAACTACGAGATAAAACGTTATGAAATTGACGACGTCAGGAAGAGACGACGTTGTGTTGCAAATAGAGGAGTAGTGACCAAAGGAATGTACCAACATTGCATTCCGTGACGAAATCGATGGGCATATAGAGAAAGTTGATTTTTCCCTTGTAGTCCTGCTCTAATCGGTCCACGAGCATATCACGCGAATACTTATTCGGTATATTCTTCAACATCATGGTCATACCTGTGGTTGTGCGAGTGAGCAGAATTATGAGGATCATGTTTAGATCAGGTGGTAGAGTCGGTTCGAGAATATCACGACCAAGATTTTTCGGGTATTAAGGTGCATGAGGTGTTACCTTCTACGCCGTAAAAAAGTGCACGTAAGTGGCATCGGTCTCTCTGTAAACAAGAATTACCTTCAGCCGTCTGTCCCTTTGCAGCTCTTTCGTAAGCAGCTTTATGCGCGGCTAGGATCTGAGCTTGCTTCTCGGGGTCCATCTCCTCGTCTCCTTTGTATTTCTTCTTTCTGTACCCCTTACCAGACGAACTCTTGCTACCAGCGGACCCAGTACTCTGTCCAGACCCCAGTTCCTTCTCGCGCAAGTTCGCAAGAGCTTGCGATCCAGCGTACAAGGCTTTGTGGAGGGACCCACGACGCTGGGACATGGTCTGTAGTATTTTTGGGGGAGATCATGATTTTGGTAGGAATCGATAGGTATAAGGAAAATGAAGATGTGGGTGTTATCGTCGCTGCTTTATCTTGGTTGATACAGTTTCTATTACTCGTGGTAAGGACTCCTGTTCAAGACATGAAGCTTACAACTTCGCTACTTTTGCTCCGACCCTAATTCATTAGAACCATTCAAGTACTATAAATCGTACCTCCGGCGCTTCCGGTCTTCCCTTATGTCTTCCACCTTTCTGTCCTTTTTCCGCGGGAGATTCGCTCCCCTTGTGACGCATATACTCCTCTGGCAGCCCTGGTGCTGGAGGATAGTGCATACTCATCATTGCGGGATCATAAGCGCCAGGCATAGGATAGTGACCTGTTGTGTGGGAGGAGAAGAAGAAGATGGCGATGGGAAGAGGAGATATCGATGTGGGAAAATTCGAAAATTATCAATGAAGATGCACACCTTATTTTTTGACTAATTCTACTAAATCATGTTACGCGTCGAACAATAAACGAAAAATAATAGAGAAGCAATTCCAGCATAGTAACATCAAGTTGTATACCTGGCAATTGCGGCATCACGTATGCGTTCAGGTATGGATCGAAGTACATCGATGGCATACCCATCGCCAAAGGGTCAACGCTAGCCATCATAAAAGGATCCTGCTCATATGGCGCTTTTATATTGGTCATCGGTGTTCCAGCAGGATTTCCGTTCGATGCACGGCGCATATCAGCAGACTTTGGGGTCTGTTTTAAGGAATTGAGAAAGATGAATCAAAAGCGTCTGAGAAACAGATCCTCAAAATATCTTTGTGCGTCTATGTTCAACATCGGACGATGATGAGAATAGAACGACGAGAATAAACCAAGAAACCCAACCTAAGGGAACTTAAAGAAGGTATCTTAAGCAAGTACGTATTCATATGCGCTGCTAGGATCGTAGAGAGGTGTTTCGGAGTGTCTGGTTCCATGTGTAGCCGCTGTATTTAAAGTTGCCGGCTCTGAGTATTCTAATCCCAAACCCTGGGATGAAGGTGGCAATCGAGAGTGCTGCGTCAGTCGATGCGGAAGCCTTGGTGGCGGCACACCCGCGGCGCCAGCGTTCGGTGACGCAAATCCTGGAGGCGAACTTTGGTGGCCTGGATGTTGTTGATGCGGGTCCCACAGGTGGGAAGTCAATGCTGTTGCACCTGGAGGAGGCAACTGCTGTTGATCCCGGTAATACGAGTCTTTCGAACCCTTTCCACCACCATAGTAGTTTCCGTATTGATGTATATGCTGAGCATGCTGTTGTCCAGACCCGGGATGATGCTTTTGGTGCGAAGAAGACGAACTACTACTCGCTGGTGCACTGACGCCATATCTATCCTTTGAAGAAGAGCCACCCGATGCATCCTTACTAGACGTACCACCATTTTTACTCGAGCTCATATTCTGTCCACTAGAAGGCCCAGCAGTACCACCAGACGACAAATTTCTGCCATTACTGCTACTTTCTGCACCAGACTTCTTGTCGGCACGTGGGTTCATACGCGAAATCTTACGGCTGGCTTCGTACATAGCATCGAGAGAGCCACCTGCGTCATGGAAAATGTTGCCGTCTTGGTCACGCCAGACATCTAGAAGCATATTGTTCTTCGAAATAGAGGCTTTCCACAGCTTGTAGCGCTTAGCACCGGCGCCCTGGGCCTCCAGAATGTCGGTGAAAACACCATGGGAATCGTCTAGAACCTGATAGGGATGATAGATGATAGTCCAAATGTTCTCGGTTTGTCTCATCTAAGAAATCAGATATCCGGGTTTCTGAGAATACAAGCAAGAAGTGTAGCACTCTAACCATCAGAAACAATTACAGATACAGAGTTAGAGACTCCTCTTCGTTCTAAATTGTTCTCATCCAATATACAGGTTTCAATAAACAGTACCATTCCATTCTGATCAAGGAACGCTTGTTGCTGTTTCCCGTTCTTATCCGTGAGCATCGTCACCGACACCGACATATCCGCTGGCGCCTTCGCGCTTTTCGTGGTGCCGCTGGTGGAAGTAGTCTGTGTATTCTTGTTCCCAATCATCTTGGGACTTAGGGATTGCCTTGCTGCTACAGGCGTGGTTGCGGAACCCGAAAGGCCGGAAGAGGAAGAATCTCTGAGTGGTTTTTTGCTCGTTGTTGTAGCTGGTGTTGCTCCGGAGGAGAGAGAGGTAGGTGGATCGAGGGATTCCTTGCGGACTGCCTTCTCCGATGCTGCAGCTGGAGGCGCACGCGCCACTCCACCATCGGCGGACGACCCAATTTCGCCCTCCGGAACCTTCATTGTCGCTCCTGGTTTGCTCATACTATCACTTTCTTGATGGAGGTTCTTGTGCTAAAGAAAGATTTTGGTGCTCCTTGAAGAATCGCGTCTTGTTGGCGCAACTTTTCAGTGCTTGTCGAAGAAGACGAGGGGAATCATGAGGAGGATGTTCTTAAGCGTGCTGTATCAGTCTTGTTTAGTCTGGATGTTGCGTGTCTTTGATCCGCGGGTGTAGAGTGCCACAACAATCGTATACTGCTCCACTGGTGGTGGGCAGTAATACTAATATGGCTGTTTCCTCGTCTTGTTTTCGTCGTGGTGTTCAGACGCTGTATGTTTCGCGGGCGCCAGGAAGGATTGTAAGGCTGCCGCCGGACTGTAGCGAACGAAATAAGCAGACAAACAAAACTATTTTTAGCAGCTACAGTACAGCACTTGTTAACAACGATGTACTGCTCTTATATTCCTCTATCTAATCGATCACTGCAAGGTGGACTAGAAGCAGATTTACGTCACTAGCTAGAGCAGGATCTTCTGTCAGAAATAGAACTAGAAGGTGATATTCTAACCTAGAAATGTGGGCTGCGCAACGAATTTCTTATTCCTGTATCAAAAGGGTAGTTCTTAGTACGAGCATAGGCATTAATAGGTAGAAGTAATTTTTTGCTACAACAATTTAATTACAAACAGATGATCCTTTCTTCGGTGCGAATAATTGGACGGCGTAGGTGGAACAAAGGTTTGTCCTATGATCTGACGAACTCCATAGGTGGAAAGGTTTATCCTATGATCTGACGAACCCCAAGTCGCGCCTTCTAGAATAGTATAACACGACCAATACTAGAAGAATCGAGGGGGGAATGCTCACATAGACCTCAACGACTCAAGTTTGGTCCTTGTTTTACTAAGCCTTCACTCGTTGTTCTCATGTAAGTACACAAAAGTAGTACAGAGTCGTCAGAGTTTAGCTTCGCGTATATCAAGTATGTCTGCGTGCAGTCCTATGGGTGTATGTGTTATTGTCCATGACCCAGAATGTTATCTAGAACTGAATATGTTTATGTTACTTCTTCAGCACTAGAACCTACAATGTTGTAGCCAGAGGTACCCAGTGCGAAGCATCTAAGAGCCGTAGCAGATTAGAGCACTAATTGATAAGATTGATTGATTTGTAGAAGTTGTTAAGCAGCACGACCTCTGCTAATTCCGCATCTACTCTATTAAATTTAGAATTTGAGAAGTAGTAAATTAGAAGTGTTGGCAGTGAGTAGCTATGTGAATACAATTACAAGCGTCAACTTAATTCTAATGTTCTTCCAACAAAGATGGGTTTCTGCGCGATGCTACTTTTGCTCTTTAATCCTGAGCTATAAAAGCAGTTTATTGCTATATGTTCTTTACAGGACTTTACTAATAATAATCTATCTCGAGGCGACCTCACCTTTATTAACTGCAGCTTGCGCCGCTCCTATATAACATCAAACACTCACGACCTCAAAAGTTTCACGACGGACATTTATCGGCTTAGATATTAAGACAGAATAAGTTCACGTCTCTTGCACGAAGATTCACCTAGTTTTCTGAGCACAGTCTCTATAAGAACGGGTAGATTTTTTTTGAGGAAATCGGTTGAGTTCTCGTCTTGTAGATCGTCGAAATGTAAGACAAGTTCAAGTCCTAAGAATCCTCATTCAATGAAAGGGAAAAGACAACTATCGCACTTAATAATCGCATTTAATAAATGTGACAAAAGGAGCGAGGAGTGTTGTAGTTGAAAAATCAAAATCCATGAACAAGAGCAGAAAGTCTTCTAAATAGTAGGAATTCGAATTTGAAGTTCTCGCGCTGAAATGAACAAAACAAAACATGCAACACTTACTCTGTGGTGTCGAATTTTGTGAGACGGTCAGGGGTCTATCGACGTTGAGAGGAAATCGACGTTGGGAAGAAGTCTATCTAAATCCTATGAGATGTTCTGACTGACGAATCCTATGATCCGCAGATCAGAATGGTTGTCTCTTCATAGAGCCGAAGGAGATTTGATTGATTTTCCGGCAATGCATGATCCTACAACTTCACAGCAATCAATGTGCTGTGATCCTAATCGTAGGCTTCAACACAACAATTCCAAAAGGATCGTCTCTGCAAAACTCAGGAAGGTTTTTTGAGGTCGAGGATCATGTGGTTGAAAAGTGGAGCTGTGGCTTTTCCCGAAAGATCGTCTTACAACTACACATGACCCGCAACCGATCGTCTATGTCTATGAAGAATTGTACTCTTTAACAAGAACGCTGGATGTGAAATTGGTGAAGGTTTTCCTTATGATGTTGTTGACACTGACGGTAGAGAAAGTTTCGTTTCGATCTATCTACGTACTTCTAGGGTGTAGTTAGTGCTGTTGATCGATTTATTCAAAGGGCATAATGATAATTCCTTTGAGCAGAGGCATAATTCTTTTAGTCATACTCACTAGTAATTCGGCGTTCAAATCTCACGAAGGAGCATGTTTCATCAAAATCAAACTCGATACTTTTAGGTACCTAAATGTAGGTGATCGTCCTCCTTGGATTGTTAGTTCAAAATCATAATACAGAATTTTCGTATTCTTGAGAATTGTTTTTACAAAGTTGATTCTTCAACGAATACAACAACTGAATTTGTAACTAATACAGTGCAGCTTTTTCTACAACTGAATTAATAACTGTATAATACTTCATTATTGAAAACGAAAAATTGCTGCCTGTTACATACGAGCAGAACTTCTTGCTTAAATTCAGTCTGTAAACAGGAGTTTAGTACAAAATATTGTCGAGATTATCATAAGAGGAAACTGAAGGAGCAAAAATGAGGGAGTGACTCGCGGTCTATGAAATGGAAAGCTGTTGGAGATTGATGTGAATTTGGCATGTGAAATCCATGTAATGCTGAAAGTTGTTGCTCTACCTCAGAAATGTCTCCACGGTAGAGGAGGACAGAGTCCTTCCTGCTGTCTCAACAGAATTGGTGATCACTCCAGTCGTAACAGAAGAATTCAATGTTGTTGTTCACTCATCATCTCGCGCTTAAGATCATGTTGTTACGTGTACCTAAATCGTGATCTCAGTAGCTTTTCTCGAAAACGGATTGCTCTTGCGAACGCCTCTCTCGCGCCCTCGGAAACAGAGACCACCAGATAGTATAGATCAAGAAACTCGTATTTACTCAAGAGGGATAATTATCGAACACTTGAATCACGTACACCGTGCAGGTTAAAGAAGCAGTTATTGACGAAAAGGTTCTTGACGCGGCATTATACACGTCGACAAGAATTAGATCTGAAAAAGTATTAGGTGGGAAATGCGAAGTAGAAGTAGAAGTGCTTGATGATGTGGTGACCACAGACCGTATCAGTTGCGCGAAGCGGATAGGCTTACCAGGACGTACAAGTCAAGTATGAGGGAAACTACAGCGGCGCCATAATACCCGGCTAAATGAACCTACATCGCAGGCGCGTGCACGCTGCATGATCCTACGCTGCATGACACACGACTACCTGACCCTACGCTGCGTGACCCTACACCCACTTCGCGCTCATGTATGCTTGGACGTAGTCAAAGCGTATGCGCTTCAGCATCTTCAAAAATACGTACTCCTCATCACTGATTTCGTTGCGTCGAAAAAATTTGTTGAAGTACACGTCGCATAGTGTCGCGAGGTAGAGGTTCGGAGTGGATGAAGGAGGGAGAGGGAGGTTACATTATAACGCGGGTTGTGGTCGCAGACGTCTCGAAGATGCTTCTTGTTACGAACGGTTTACTGAATCAAACTTAAAGTTAGTGAGTATGCACTAATGGTGTTGAGTGAGATTTCTAAGGGAAGAAAAATGCCTTGACCTCCAGAGAAAGTGCAGACAAAGGAATCCTTCGTGGTCTTCATAAAAGATGATCATCGATCATGCGTAGGCCCAATAGGACGCGGCGGTAATTTTGCCCAGAATTCCTAGTCCAAAAGCACGTGGGGGCAGCGGTGGACGGACGGACTTGCAGATGTAAGCAAAACTTGCCAGCTGGTCTCGGTGTACCGCTGTAGTCCTTGGCTGGTCGCTCACTACCGGAAAATAGGGATGATACGTAGTCTACGGCTTGTGTGAAATAGGAGGTCTCACTGATTTCGTCGGCATGGGTTAGAGGAGGTAGATTCAGTAGAGACTAGGACTCTAACATAGATCACGCATGGCACACACTTTTAACAATAAGTCGACACGAAGATGTTTTTCATGTTCTTGTATCCATCACTAAACGCCAAATTGGCTCTGATGTGAGTGATTACTTTGGCCACTCATCAATCTGAGAGGGAGCTAATCAGTATACTGATCATAAGAGTCGATCAAAGCTCTGCATCGACAATTGCGAGACGAAGTCTTTGCCACGCACTACCCCAAGAATACGAGGATCTTGTGTCGCGCGTACTAGATTCCCACAATCTGACGGCATCTCCTCATGTTCTGCAACTATGGCAGGTGAGCCGAACAATAACAGCCTTTTGTTCACCACTTGGCAGAACTTAAAATAGACCAGTGCAACTGTTGCTGCACCTAAGGAGTGTCCTGTGAAAATGAACCTGTAATCTGGATAGCGTCTAAGAAACCGTTCAACGGCAGTGCGGACTCGACGATAGACGTATTCTGCCGATTTGACAAAGCCTTTGTGGGTTCGGAACATCAGTTTGGTCATAGTCTCAGCGTCATCGCCAAGAATTGTCTGGTCGATGAAAAGAGGAGGCGGCGATTCAGGTCGGTCAACTCCTTGCAGATTGGGCGATGAAGAACTGGGCACAGAGGAGCGGCGAGGGGAGGTGGAGGAGCTGCGGTGTGGGGAACCCAGAGGCTGTTGAGGCTGTGGCGTCTGCGCTTTAGGAGAGGTAGGAGGGATCGAATTCACATTAGAGCCTTGCGAATAAATGAAGAATCCATCTTGAAACGCTCAACATCTTAGAAGTGCTGTTATTTTTCCCGCAGGAAAAGTGCTCTTCTAGCTCTGCGATGCTTCCCCCAGGATGGATTAGGTTGGGTTTCAAACCATAACTATTTTGCTGCTACTCAATGTCGGTGAGGAAGAAGAGTGATCGGGTTTGCGAACGGCGCCTATGTACTCGGTTCCTATGCAGAGAGTACTCTTCGCCAACTCATCTTCAGAATCCTCGTTCTGATCTCCTGCTGTCTTTTGCCTTGTTCCAGAAGCCGTTGGAGACCTGAGGCCCTGTTCCAGAGGCCGTTCATTGACTACTTGAGCAGTCGATGATGCTGCCTGTACTTCTTGATGGTTCTTTTGGGTCGAAGAAGATGCTATCTCCAGGCGTTCTCTTGCTCGCTGCTCGGAGACTGGCGATCCTCTCTCCAGGCGTTCTCTTGCTCGCTGCTCGGAGACTGGCGATCCTTTCTCCAGGCGTTCTCTTGCTCGCTGCTCGGAGACTCGGGTTATGAACGAGGAGTATGATAGTTGAAATTCTAATTGACGCACACCTGCTGTGTTGCAGGTCCTAGATCTTCTATACACCTGCACACACGCATCACGGAAACACACACACACACACATCACGGAAACACACACACACACACACACACATAGATCTTCTATACACCATCACGGAAAGGTGGCGTTGACAGAAACAACAACGTGTTGGAAAAAATTGCATGTCCTTCATCGAATCGCATCATAATTTTCAATGGGTCAACATTCCACAAGGGCCCGCCCTCTTTAGGAATCCGCACATTAAAGTCGACGTCGTTTGCCGCAATATCCGTCATCACGTCTTGCCACGCCATGGAGCCGCGGACGGACAGGACTAGCCAAATTGTTAGAAGAGAACGATGTTTAGTTGGTTTTTTCCCGTCATACTAGAGAGAGCGTTGAGTCGTGAGATCACGTCGTGGTCTTGAGATGGACTAAAACCACTGTGGGGTACTTCTGTTGGTCCTTAGTTATGTTATGAGCAGAAAAACAAAAAACAACAAGACATCTATTTCCACCTCATAACTTCAGTCGATGATTCGCACTGAGCACGAAGCCTGGCTCGTACATCTCTTCGGTGTAGCCACTGACCAGGACCTCCCCAATCTTCCCAGTCAAGGAATGGAAAGCTTTAGCATTTAGGATTTCGTTTTCCGTCTTATCCATGTTGACCTTCTGCATCGCGCCTTGGACCCAAGTGGCTGCGCTGTCGACGTAGCCTTCGTACATGGGAAGCCCATAGACAGCTCTAGTGTAGATACAGCTGATGAAATATGAAGAGGGGAAAAACCGGAGTCGATGTGATTACTCAGGGCTTAGGGTTTAGGGTTGTAGTTCGTCGGAGGACTACAATTATCGATCCACCTGTTGATGTATCCTGGAGACCCTCCGCTTGGAATCATTTGAATGACGACCATAATGTTCTTTAGTAATAATAGTAATCAATATTTTCTCCTTGCGTCCAGACATCATAACAGTGCTTCTATGAGAACGGACTTTTCCCTGAGGAGTGCGGCTCCCTTGAACATCTCTACATAAGCAGCAGAGTGTGTTTCGCGAAGACGCCAGAGGACTGATGGGTCCAGGAAGGAGAAGAAGTCGTGTGCTCCATGTCTCTGAGATGCTACCGTGGAAAGGACCTGTGTTGGGTGTCAGCTATGAGAAGTGTGCGGAAAATGGTTTGTTCTAGATTCAGCCTATCTTGGTGACGAGATGATGGAACAAAACTACTGCAAATTTACTGCATCAAGAATACACACCCCAGACCCCATACTCAAGAATAAAATTTACTTCTGATAATACCGTCGTAACAGTATCCCACATATGCGCAGATGTCCCCTCTTCTGCTGGTCTTTCCACCTCAGGGTGGTTTTGCGAAGCTGCCCACGCTGAAACATCCTCCTCATCTGCGTTGCGACCCCAGTATTGGGCTGGGTCCGGCGACTCCCCAAACATGAATCCTGTCGTATTAGTACTACATGCAACTGGAGCTCCCTCTGGGTTGGATGTTTCAGTTGGCGTAGTGGTAGTTGCATTTTGTTGACCCGTGGATGTGGTTGGAGTGGCAGTACTGCTGGTTGCTGAACTAGAAATCCCGGATGATGGTGCACCACTGCCTTCCCGTTTCTCCTCATTCTTGCTAACCCCTTCGCCCTCTCCTCTAGCTGGTGATCGCTTCTTTTTCGTCGCTTCTGCAGTCGGTGGTGGGCTACTTTCCTGTGGCCCTGTGTTTGGACTCCTCTTCCCATGACTTCCAGGTTGTCCACTCCCAGAAGATGGCGCACTGGGGGTACGCGGGTCACGCAGGACTTCGTTTGTTTGCTTAGAGATAGAGGTGGCATGTTTTATTGGCCTAGGGATAGACGCATGCTCTAGCCTTAACTTCATCGCCAAAAAGAGGCCCCGCTCTTTTTGGTTGTCCAGCTGCTTCCGAATCTCTGCTCATTCTCTGCGGACAAAGAAAGTTGTCATCTTACGAGGCTGGTTCGTCGACGAGAGGGATGGTCATATTTCGCTTCCTTCATGATGAAACTGACACATCACGATAGAAGATAATAGACGCAGCATCAAGTAGAAAAGAACTTTGAATTTACAAGTAAATGCAACCTTGTCGTCGCGTGAAACTAGCTATGCGTCAATGAACCCATTAGTTCTGTAAAAACACCGCTACTTTTGCTATTTTACCGCGCTCCCGCAAAGCCTGATGATACTCTCTTTGATGTGTGTGTGCAAGTTAGTCAGTTGCTGAGTTGCCACCGTTTTTCATTTTCTCGCTCTATTTTCGCACGGGATTGAGACTAGGACAGATACGCTTCTCTAGATGAGTTTCAGACTCAGAGGGAGCATGCTCTTTTTTGAGGTAAGACCGAATCAGCTTGACAACAAGAGAGCTGAACAGATCCCGTCAGAGAGAAAGACGAATATGATGATATCGGTGGATATGAAGACTTGTTTGTATTTTATTTCATAGAAATATACGCGGGGCGGGAACAGGGGACGGTGATTCTTGTCTACAAAAATGTCCATTTGTGCATGTCTGTTACTGTATGTTTTAACAACCTCAACAAACGGAGGATTAGAACAATGATGGATCCAAATCATCAAGATTCAGATTTTTTGACCATGCAATGAGATCATCCTCCTGACTACTGCGGAAGGAGCTTCCGACACTGACTCGCATAGGATCTATCCGATTGGGACTGCGTAGTTGACGAGGACTCTCATCAAAAAAATGGGAATCTTCCTTACTAATCTCCTCTTGCTGAAGTTGATACTGGTGATTCCTAGAAGTCTCCCGAGTATGTTCTTGATCCGGCGCACGCCTTGATATTACACCACCCGTCCGATCGCCATGAAAGATGTCTTCTAGCTCCTTGTCGATGTTCTTGCATTTCGAAGGAGAGGGTGGTTGCGACATGACAGCTGCTGCCCTTTCCAAGGCTTCCTCCATATCCTCCATAGCTCTGTTTTGCTGTGGCGACAACATCTGATGCAACGCAGCCTGTGCTTCTTCGTCTATTGAGAGGGATTCTCGTAGCCGATGTAAAGGAGAATGGGACTGGATAACATTTCGGAGGCCTATTGCCTCAAATTTCTTGAACAGGTCCGCCTCTTGCTCTTCGCCAGGAGCTTTGTTGTACTCCTTTTGCTTGAGAGGCTGGTGGGTGTCGATTCGTAACCTGGCGATAAATAAAAATAAAAAAAAAATACTAGTAATAAATAATAAAATAGTCATGTAAGTATGTGTAGGAAGGAAAAGGCCCCGAAAATGATCTCACTCTTTGCAGTTCAAGTCCTCCATTTTAGGACAATGTAAAGTAATGATCTAAGAATAGTAAGTACCCCTTGTTTCGGCCGACGTGGGTCTTTAGTAAGACGCGTTGTCCCTTGGTCGGGTCAAAATACTGCGTCTCGCTCGGCTCGGCGTAGAACATGCCTCTAGTTGTACTACTCTTACTCTGCGTAGCTTCATCTCTTTTGTCGGTTGCAGATGATCTATGCGTCTGATTCATTGATGAGCCACCTGCTTTGTTGTGGTCGGTTCGCGTGCTGTTGCTGTATATTATCTCGCGCTTGCTTGGGTCTGGCTGGAAAGAACAAGAAGTCTTCTGCATGTAGATTTGCTTGTCCTGTTCCCGCGCTGCTAGGGTTGCTTCTGTCAGTGCATAATCGTAGGGTGGTAGTGGGAGAGGAAGTTTCTGCTTCTCTGCTTTCACTCTGGGTTGATCACGAGGTTGCTGCTGCCCTGTCCATTGGCCTTGTTTCTTTACTTGACGTCGAGACTCACCACTGGCTACTAGTACCCCCTCTTCTTCCGACGAGGACGACGAAGACTTGCTCTGTTGGGCGCCGGTAGAGGCAGGCGTCTTATCTACTTGTGCTGGCTGATTCGCATCCTCGACTTTCGATGCCGTTGTTATAGATGTTTTCACCTCGGTTGGCCTTGGCCTAGTAGAAGAGAGTGGAGCTACATCGTCAGGTGCGGGTGCCTCCCTGGCGGATTCGTCGTCTTTCTGAGGTGGCAACTTTTCTGCGTCGATCATCTGACCTGGCGGTTCGCGAGTAGGAGGAACATGCGCCTTCATCTCTTGAGCATGTTGATGCCGTGATTGCTGCACCAAGCTGGCACCTCCATCTGGCATGTTCTTTTCTCTACTACTAGCTGATGTACTCGATGACTTATTGCGCTCTAGTATCTGCTCACTGTCTTGCGCGTCGAGAAGCTTCTTTTGCATTTGGTGTACTTGGTGTCCCGCTTCCATGAGTTTGTTCTCAACTGCTGGCATCGGCACGCCTTCTGTGAAGGTCTGAGCCGCAGGCAGAGGCCGATTATTTGGCCAGTCACTGAGTGTTGTTAGCAGCTCTCGTCTCACGGTGTTGTTGGTTGAAGCAGTAGAACCACCGAAGTGATTGTCGTGATGCACCGACCCGTTGAGAAAAGCAACTTCCGTAGCAGTGAAGCCAGCGATATTAGAGGAGGAAGCGCAGCGTGGTTGGACTGTTGCGTGTCCAGCAAAACTCAAGAAATATTAAACAGAAGAAAGTTCTAGTGGACGCAGCTATTCCAAGATGTTGCCAAGCCATAATAGTAAGACTGACACGAGGCTTCGACTTCGGACTTGCTTGCTCACTTTCTCGCGGTGACGTTTTCTTCGGACTGTGGTGCAAGCCATAGAGGCGCTTCATGCTCTGGATCCGCTGAAGTCGCTTTTTCTTCTCACTCTCCACTCCTCCACGCAAAGACGAAGTCGAATTTCGGTGAAGGCCACTTGTAATCGTACTACTAGAAATCGCCGATGATCGTGCACCGCCACTTACTCCAGAAGGAAATCCACCACCACCGAGTGTGGTTCTCGTAGTACTGGAGTTCCTCCTGTCCCCTAGGTGGAAGTTTGCTTCAGCATTAGCCTCGAATTTCTCCTGCTCCATGTGGCGCATGGTTCTCTCCCAGTACTTGTAGTACTCCTCCAGAGCGTCTCCATTTTGGGCAGCCGCACACGGCGACGCCTCCACCGTCGTCCGTGAGAAATGCGAACTTCCGAAGGAATAGTATGAAGGGAGGAAAGGAAGGAAGGGGGGGTTGTGGTAGGTAAGTAGGTAGAATAGAGGACGGACCAGTTGGGAGCGAGATGGAATGTAAAAGGTTCAGCTAGAAGTTGTAGTTTCAAGAAAGGGGGCTCGTATTCGAGGCCAGACGAAGGGCCAATGACGAAGACACTGGGTATCCAAAAAAGTGAAGTCAATATCTCTTCACCATAAGCTAGTTCGCCGTGACCTTGTCGAGAAAGTCGAACCAGTGGCAGCAACGGAAGCTTGGTCGAGAAGTGTTGCATGATGGGCAATGACTTTGGCCAACTTGAATTCCTGCCAAGGTCCGATGTACATTCTTAGGACTGCTGTTTAGGTAGTGGACGCGAGTTGGGTCTGGGTGGGGAATCAGAGATTCTAAGCGTTTCTGTCAGTGAATAGTAGTAGCCGTGGATTTTGATCATCAAATAATGGATCCCATTTGACTAGTGCGTTCTTACCTACTGATACTTTTTTGTGTTCTGGAGGAGAGGGAGCAGTGAAGAATGGTGGGGTCAATTAGCAGTCTTAGCCATCAAGATCAACGAAATGCATCAGTGACAGCGCTAGTAGTGGCGGCTTTTTACTGTAGGCGAATCGAGGGCGACGAAGATAAAGCGCAGCAACAAGGCATAGGATCTTCAAGAGGGGGCACGACCGACTTTCTTGCGATTTAGAGCAGCTACGTTCTGATCACTCGCCTGCGAATTAATTGCATTGACCAGATGCAAACTCTAATACTTAATAGCACACGACCGAAGAGAGGCAAAGTATTGTCGTTCTTACCGAATGCGACCATTGCAACCGAGCATTAAATGAAGGACCGAAGTGGCAATAGACGACACGGGCGATTATAGAGTAGACGCAGTAGAGCGGTGCTAGGACATTGTCGATATCGAATGAGTCTCCTGTGTGTTTTGCTAGATGCGAATTCACGCTTGTCTCCCTATTATTCTGGGTCGTATCTTTTGCATCCACGACAGGCCTTGCTGGAGGTGCTCAAAATGCGTTGAGTCTGAATATCCGATGGTCAACGAAGTCCCCGTAAATACTTCATACCTTGTGGTCATACTTGTCATCGTAAAAACCTTGTGTCAAAGTCCTCGCAAATAACCCTGTCGTCAGTGCTGCGACAGTCCTCGTGATTACCTTGCGTCAACATAGTGCTTGTGAACGAATCAGAAAAAAGATCTTGTGATCTTAGTTTTTTTGTCATCTATCAACATCACTTCTAATAGTGGTTGCTTTCAGTCACTTAAAGTGGCACCCTGACCCGTGTTTGTTCCACCGGTTCGGCCTCCTTCACAGGCTGAAACATGTTGTTCCTTCCTGTCTTCGCGAAAACGTCAGTGAGGACCATGATGAGGCGCCAAGACAGGTTTTCTAGGTCAAATTGCTCGCTTGCTCGGATAACATTTGCGCGAAGAGTAGATAAAGCTTGCTGCGACATGGAAAGCAGTTCGTCGAGAAGTCTTAGAGGAAGCGCGTAACTGAGGAATTTGATGCTTTGTCTGTCTGTACTTATGTGGTATATCTACACTCCACCAACACAGCTCAAAGATATCAGAATGAGACCAAGCACGGAAGCCTTACTACCGACTTTACCTGTACTGTTCACAAAAAAAAGCTCCATCATCATAACTTTTCCACCGCTTCCGGCACCGTGTCTACCAAGAGCGGATATTCTGGGTACCCTTGAAGCATATCCAAAGGCCCCGTCTCTCGGAAAACGATTGCTGGAATCCCTACTGAGAAGTGGTTTAACAACCGCTGACCCGTTTTGTAGCGACTACAGAAGAAGGCCTTCACAAGTTTGGTATTGTTCCAAGCATCTCGGGATTCTCCTGCATCGCAGTTCTGATTCGCCCTCATCGCTGTGAAGTCGAAGCTCGCGAAAGTCTTGTACACTATCCTCGTCTGTTGAGGTGACAAAATATGGCCTCCAGTGAAGACAAACTGGCCGTTCGGATCTATGTGCTGGAAAGAGACTTCGACCACCGGGGAAGTGTTTCCTTGTGATTTTTCTTGCTGTAGTAGGTGTCCTTCATGTGCTCTCTCTGCCACGTCGTTTCTTTTTCGTTGATCCAAAAATCCACGCATGGCGTCGAAAAGTTCTTTATCGTAATGCGTACTGTGCACACCGAAAATCTTTTCGCCTGCGTCAGGGTTTTCTAGAGGGTCTCTTGCGTATATCCGTTCGAAATTCGAGTGGTGGATGGGCAACCAATAAAAACCAGCTAAGCCATTTCTGGGGTCTGCGGTATCAGTGTCAGCATCAGCCTCAACAGCGCTGTCGACCTTGAGATCATTACTGCGTTCAATGTTCTGGCGCCTTTTTGCTCCCTGCACCAGCTGACTAGTAGGTTTGACGTGCGCTTGTTTGTGAGGAACCACAAGCGGAGTTGTGATATCGGTCACAAAAGGCCAGATATGCTTTGCCCGTGGTCTTCCTTTAGGCAGGGACTTTGAAAAAATGCCATCGGTCACTTCAAGAAAGCGTGAATGAAAATATCTCCGTACCCCAATATTTTGGATGAATAACGGAGCCAGTGCTTTCCACACTTGTCGCAATAGAATCGTCTCTTTTTCTTCTCCTGAGTTTCTCCGTGCTCCTGTCTTAGTGCAAGCAGTGGGCGGATCTTCATTAAGAAAGCCATCCTTGGCGAGCCCTGCAATCAAAAATGCAGCTTCTACTAGAAAAATGACGGCTTCTAGTGGTAAAGCGATATCTTCTTCCTCAAAGAGGGGCAATGTCCTTTGTATATGTAGGCTGCGCGTTTTTGTCTTTTGAGTTTTCGTTTCAGAGGTTGCGCCTGTAGAACTAGAAGTTGCACTATCAGCACCACTTTGATCTTCGCTTTCTTGCGCAGGGCTAAAAGGAGTGGCGTCCCCATTGCTTATCCCTGTCATATTTTCTCCAGACAAGAATAAAGGCCTTGTCGTGCTCGCGAGAGTTGGTAAAGCTAGCATATCACGGGCTGCGAGGCTTGTCTGCATCAAAACTGCGGAAATGCCACTATGCTCCATTTCACGCCAGTCTTGTAGGAGGATATCGATCGGGTCCAGGATGTGCACCGGATCGCCTTCGGAGGAAGTATTAGAGATGTCTAGATGAACTAGGACCAGTCACAGTTGTGCGTGCACTGCATTGACGGTGAAAAAATGGACCGAAAGAGATGACAAGAACTCGAGAAGGCTCGGCTACAAGGTGGAACTCGAAAGCCACAACGGAGGAAAGAAGCACGCTTGTTCAAGCCCTTTACAATAATGCGAGTACAAGTTTACTACTCAGCTGTAACAGTGATTTGATGCAAAACCACTACCCACTTGTTACACTTCACACATCAATATTTTAGCCGTAAATTGAAACAATCCCAAAGCGCACTTGCAAGGCATCTTGACGTGAACGACAACATTCGGCTCCTGCCACAATGATGGTGACTCTGGCATTTTGTAGAATGGTGGCTCTGTGTGCCGTCTTTCTTCGTCCGATAGCGCTAGGTACCAATTTACCTCCATGATGGCTTGCTTGAAGGCGTTGGGGAGTTAGAAACAGGTAAGTGTAAGTAGTACATTAAGAACGGTACAGATTTGTTAATTCCCTGTTTGAAGAGTGTGGGAGAACGCCAGAAAAATAGTCAATATTGTTTTACGTGAGACAACAAGACTGGGTATGGTCGTGTCATAAATTTTCGCATCATTGCTAGCTCTTGCTTGTTTCACGTGCTCGCAAAATTGGGTGCACTCGAAATTCCAGGCTCTGGCTTTAACCCTAGTATATTTCCGTAGTCCACGAGCGACCTGTCGGCCACGCACTGTGAAGGAGCCGTAAGCGGAGCCTGCTTTCGCGCCAGCAACGAAAACGATATCCAGCTTTGGTAGGGAACGGCACATCTGGCGTTTGTTCCACTCCAAGGTACGTCCGCGGACCAAAAGATTCATGATATTATTCTTGTATCGCTCTAAGCGATGCTTGGTAGCTACAGTCCTTGCCAAGTGGTGATGGTGCGTGGGAAGAGACGTATTTTCTACTTGATATTGTTGAGAGCATTGTTCTTCACTATCAGTGGTAGAAGATGTGGGCGAGGCATTCCTGCTCTTCGCACTACGAAGTTGCGCATTCTGCTTCAGTGCATCGAGTGCTGTTGCAACTCTCGGTAACGCCAAAAGCTTTTCCAGGACAATCTTGTCTTCAACAGGAGATACGCCTTTGAAGGCGCCGGAACGTCCAGACCCAAGAAGTGTCGCAAATGGTTTCGTCCCCTCAGCGTTCCAAGGCGCTTCGAACAGTTGCCATTCTAGCATTCGATTTGACAGCCAGGTAGACCCTGTTTCGTCCTCTCCATCCATACAGGTGGCGAAATTCCCAATGTTTGATAATAGGCCCTTGTCTTTTCGTCGAGAATCTCCATGACTCGGCATATCCACCTGACCTTTTCGTTTCCTGATTTCCACACTATTTTTGCCTCCAGAGGGATCAGTGTAGACGCTGGATTCTACTTCGAAGAAGTTATCTTCTTCGTCGGAATGTTGCCTTTTGTCGTTTGGGTCATGTGGTTTAGCAACATCCTGAGATGCGCCCTCGTCCTCCGAGTGCGCACGTGAATTTTCTAGTTCTTCTATCACGCTGACGAGGTTCTTTGCCTCTCCGTTCTGCGTTGCGAAGTCAGCTACTGCCTCCGCCTCGTCCTCGAAATGCTCGACTAAAGCATGTTTAGTTGATGAAACTAAAGCATTAGGTGATGAAGTTGTACTAATTTCATCGGCACCTCCTGTACGACTTCCCTCGTCGTCTTCCAGATCTCGCTTGTAGCCGTCAAGGACGGACAGGAGACGCTGTTTATTTCCGCGACCAACGTTCTGAACCATCTTGTCTTCGAACCAGAGGGCTAGAAATCGCAGAAAAGGCCACCGAGTCGTGAGGAGGTCGTACCAGAATCGCCTATCATACCCGGATCGGTCAGTGGCAAAAGCATCCCAGGATTTCAGGAGGGAATATGAAAGACGAGAAGGGAGTCTGAAAGTTCCATTCGTTCTCATATTGATGAGCGATTAGAACAACACTTCTAGGCCTATCTGCGCTGAGGCTTTCGGTAGAGACTGATCTAGATTTAGACGCAGAATCTCGTTGCTCTACTTACTTTCCATAAATCAAAGCTGAGAAACAGCCATGCTTCTTTATCGCTAGTAGCTTCTTCTTTGTATGCGCCAACCAGGGCTCCAACGGCTTGGGAAAAGGGACAATTGCGCGGATCACTGAGCAAGCCTTCAGCTTCTACGGAGATTCTAGCTCTTGTGCCAGGCCTAAATCCATTAGGAGATTCGGCATCTGGCTCTCGCACCAACACTGTTTCGAAGAAGCCGTCATCGTCTGGAAAGAGAACGCGTCCTGTAGCTGACCGCTTGTATTCAGGTGGAGGCGCACGCTCGAACCAGTGGAGGTCTTCATCTCCTTCTACTGTACTAGAGGCGTCTTCTTGTTGTCGTTCTTCTTTTTGTTCTCCTTCAATACTAGTGTCTTGTGGAGACTTCTTGTTGAGTAGAATCCTCTCCTTGTAGACCATGTTCATATGATACCTCTGCTCCACATCGACATACACACCTCTTGTGACGTTCGTAAAAAAGGTTAGCAAGAAAGGGTTGTGCGCCAAGTCCGTGTCAGTGTCCAAGAGGTCGGATTATTAGACGAAGCAAACAAGTTGCATGGAGATGAATTCCAGCAGGGCGCTGGCAGTTTCATTGATTGATAAGGGTGGTGCCATCATTGACAGCTGACTATCTACTCTAAAAGTCAGCAAACTGCTCATCGGAGGTGATTCGTTGCTTCGTACAAGAACAACTCTAATTTTGCTTACACATCCACCCTCTCGTCTTCCATAACACTGATTCGGTAGATGCGGTAGCATGTTGGCTGAGACTACCTCCGAAATCTCATTTAGCAGAACAAACAAAGGCCATTCGCTTTCCAAGACTATCTTCGAATAGGTGGCTAGATTGTTGCCAGATTTTGTGCCGCTGTGATTAGAGGAGGCCGAGCTTCAATTTGGCCACGAGTATTGTCTCCTACTACCCAAAATGAGGAGTGAAGAATCAAATACTTAGAGAAATGGGTGTGCCTTAATCTTCCCTTTCCCCACAGTGCTCTGATCAGCTTTGTATTCCGTATTGAGCGCCTCAGCATGCTCGAAACGTCGCCATTCGCTTTTTTTGGAATCAGGATCTTCTTTTTCTAACACTCCTGGATCTGATGCCGTATCCCTAGACCCTTGTTTTCTCCGTTCGATAGCCGCTGTCGTGTCACCACCACCATACACCGCACTCAAATAGGCTTGATGGCTGTCCGTAGCTTCATCATCGGTGGTTGCGTCTCCGTGTTCTTTATTGTCCTTACTCTGCTTGCCGGAAGACGACTTCCCCACTCTGTCATGAATGGCACGACCCATCTCGACCCCTTTGGCACCGAACTCCTGCCTCACTTCACTATCTGCATCCACGTAGAAAAAGAGTCCCTCCAAGTGAAGCATGACATTTTTGAGCTTGTAAAAGAAGTCGTCGGGCGTTTCTGCGCACAACGTGTCTAGGAGGAAGAAGGACAAGGTCCCCAGAAAGCAGTCATCCCGTATACCGGTAAAGGGAAAGTTTCCGGATGGATGCTCAAGCTTTTGCTCCAGGATGGCGACGTGGATTAGAAGGGCAGGACGATTAGTAGACTAGTCGGGTAGGTCCGCGATAGTAAGTTCTCCAGCATTTGTGACATAGCATTAAATCGTGTAGGAGAAGACGGGATAGTAGAGACCACGCACTTTGAGCAAAGATCTTGGTGTAGAAGAAGTCGTGATAGTAGAGACCACGCACTTTGATCAAAGAGTTGACTTCCAATCTCATATCAAATCCCACTTGTGGCCGACTTCTCCGCGTAGTTTCGCACACTGCCACTCGCGGTCAGGGACTGAGACGAATTTTCGTAGCATGGGCCAATTGATTCCATTCTGAAATTTGCAACCGTCCGCACCAAGTTCATAGTCCGAAAACTGAGACAGCTCATACTGACCCCAAAAGATTAGAGTGGAGAAGTGAAAAGTCTTCGACGAGAAGGCCGAAAACAAAACAAGGGGACTGGGCGAGAACGTAAAACCGCAAGGAGCGCAAGAGGATGCCCAAAGAAGTCCGGCGGAACTTCTGGCACCATATCAGACGAGCGGGCGACGCCTGCGAACTCCCCAAGACATGACCAGAGCACCCCTAGGGGGCCAGCGTTGCACTTCTCTGCGCCAAATGTTTGCACTTGCGTGGCTGGGTGGCTGCATAGCAAAGCCACAAGCGCCTGGACCCCCTCACTGTTATGAGTCATGGTTCGAAGGTGCTTAGACACCAGAAACGGAATAACCGGGATGGCAGCCTGAATAGTGTTGGCGTCCAGGTTTGCTCCGGTCGGTATGCAGGACCGGAGCAAGCCGGTGGCCTTTTCGGATACGTACCTGATACGCGTGGAGCCCAGGTCAGTGTCCTCGGAGTCCACTAAAGCCACGAAAGCATAGAGGAGCTCCGGGATTCCTGCCGGGAAGTTATCCAAGGCGTTGAAGAGATTGAAGACAAGGCGCTTGCTCTTCGCAATCTGCTCCGCTGCTGGGAACCCGAATGCGGAAAGGACAGCCTCCAGCGCCTCCTCAGAAGCCACCCCCAGCGACGGGATACCCTCACCCCCTTCCCCGTCGGCTGCGTCCTCGAAGAGCACGGCAACCATCTCGCTTGTGAAGGTGGTGAGCTTGGCTCTGTAACCCGCTGCGGCAATCTGGCGCGCCAAGTTAGCGCCCGCCGTCTTCAAGTTTCCAACTTGGGCAACCATTGACGCGAGAGCAGAGGCTGCGGACATGCTGCAGCACTGTGGGCCCAAAAGCACCGCGTAGAACAGGCACACTGCTCTCACGTGCGTCTCGTACCCCTTGCGTGGCACAAGGTAAACAAGGAGGGAAGGCAAGCCCGGGCCCATCTCCTGCGGTGTGGACGCTACTAGGGCGACGAGATGGCCCTACCATATCATAAGCCTCCACAAATCATCTCGCAGCCGGGGCCCCAACCAATGCCGCACGATTGGGAGCCTGCGAGACTGCCAGCGCACGCAGTTCCTGGCTTCCATGATTATGCCAGCAGCTGCCTAGAAAACGCCGCAAAAAACAGCCAAAGCCCCCCGCCTCTTTTGCGATCTTATCGCACTGCCGTCGGTATCCGGTGCGGCCTGTGCTTTTCCTTCTTCCCAGCGTGGCGCCTCTTCTGGCGTCAATCGCCGCCAGCACTCTTACGCGAGCGCTTTCTTCTCTCCACGTGGGCGCCTCACTTTGATGGGCAAGCACCACGAGAATGAGCCGCGGGAAATGCTGAAAGCCTCAACGCTACCCAGCCCAGGCTGCTGCCGTCCGTTTCCGATGCTTTTGCCCTTGGAATTGTTGGGGGTGGGGCGATTCTGGGTCGCTGTCGTCCCGCTCTCTATTTGCATGGCGCCAGCAAGCCCCCTTCCTAAAACCACAAAGGCCGACGCCGCTGCAAATGATGCGAACGAGGCACGCCCGTCAGTTCTGAAACCCCCGAGCGACTCCAACGGGCGACCAAGTGGCAGCGCTTGGCATCTGATTCCACGCCCAAACGCGGGCGCGCTATCGTTCAGACGGAAAACACACGCAAGGAGGGCCGGGCCCGGCCGCTCTTGTCCGTCGACTTTCTTCGCAGCCACGCACTGCGCGCGCCCCCTCCTTGCTTCACCAGCTGCGCTCTCAGCCGCCCTATTTGCGAGCGCTGTGGCGTCAACGATAGAAGAAGCGCCGATACTTTCAAATTCGCGCCTTCGAGGCGTGGGGCTTGATAGACACTGGCCTCGGCACTTTGGAGCATGTTGCCCCAGCACACGAAGCCCCCAATAACTGAACAAGGGCCACCCGGCCAGAGAAATCGCAGCGGCCCAGGGGAGGGAGACTGGCGTGGCGCTTAGATGGGCTGCCCTGGTTATCAGTGGCGTAATAAGTCACACACCGAAAGCGAGGCACCGCAGCGATTCTGGGCGGCTTGCGGGGCCACGTAGTTGCAATAGTGGAGCTCGAAATTCCGGGGGCTGCAGAGTAAGCGGAGGTGAATCAATGACTTCACAACATAAATGAAAGCTCATGCGGTGTTCCAGTGCTGCGCCAGCAGAGATCTCATAGGCCGTATTGCCAAAGGGTAACCATTGCTCGTACGGCGCAGACAGTTTCGCGACTTCATCTTTGCGAGGCCACTGGTGTTCTGCGAGGGCTTCGCTGTCTGCTGCGGGCTCGTTTTTCTTGGACCACACAAGCTTCACTTTCACCGGAAAAAGATGCGAATTCCCGCAATACCGCCAGAGCTCTAACGCCAGCAACTCGTTGCCTTCAAGCTTGTGACGCTCACGCGCTATAAGTGAGGTCATAGGATGAGCCCTTGGAGTCCATGTGCGGCGTGGTCTGCTTGAGGACGAAGGAGAAGGAGATGAGAATACTCCACCGTCGACATTGAGTTGCCCTTCCTGGACGTGGTCACCCGGAAGATCAACACCATGTCTTCGACAGACAATGTCCGGCCAAAGATTCTCCAAATCTTCCAATGGTGCGTGTACAAGGTGTGGATGTTGTCGGCAGACGTTGTTCTGAAACTCCACTATGCATGTTTTCTCCTTCTCCTGTGAAATCTCTTCACCTCCATCTTCGAAGGAGTGCACCACCAGCACCGTAAAAGTGTTTCCGAAAAAGATGAAACAAAGAGAGCTGCATAGCCTGGATAGCCGAGAGTGTCCCGAAGACGGCGCCATTATGGTATGATCTCATACTCATAGAGATGTGCAAGAGATATAGCAAGTCATGTCTATATCTACGCAATCTCTAATATGTCACTCATCATGCTCGCCCTCGCACTCGTCTTCACCCTCAGTCACTCTGCACATCATCCTACCTGCGGCATAACTCCTGTAACGAAAAAGAGAACCTTACTCATCTTTTAGTGTTGGCATTGGCACGACCAGTTAGACTCTGCCTGCAGTAGCTTGCTCAGTTTCCTCCTCCAGTAAGAAATTACAAAAGTAGCAAGGATTAGCGGGGCGAACGTTTGTCGTGGTTGAGCTATTCGGGGTAGAACAAAGGAGGGCGCTGACAGGAAACAGGCAACAAGTTGGCTTGCTTGGTGTGACAGCTTTTTTTGTACAATTCCGTATTTTTCTTCTGGAAAAATTCCAGCTGTTTCTTTGTGCTACTTGGGTATTGCGTCACGTATTTCTGTATTACTTGCGTGCCGGTTGTAACATCACCCTCAGTTCAAAAACTGAAAACAGACTAGCGGGGTTCAAATAGTTGAAACAGAATAACTTATGTAGTACAACCTGAGATGGTATGCGTGCTTGTTTCTGTTCGCTTTTCTTTATGGCTGCTGAGACTCATTATGGAAATCTGGTGTCTAAATCGATGGGTCGAGGCATTTCTCATGGGTCTTCTTCATACTCAAAACTATTTCATAATCAAAAACATGGAGACTTCTAATGCGATTTCCTAAATATCTGATAATTCCTAATACTGCGATATTGTTCGTGGTAAGTTCCTTTATTCTGCAAAGATACAACATGCTGCAAACATACTTAAACTTAAACCTAGTAGGAGGCCATCTTCTACATTCAAGAGGATTCATTTACTTCATGAAGCAAGATGAGCTACTTAGTCGAAAATCATAGCAAAATTATTTCATTCATAGCAAAAATTTTCATTACATACTTCTCTATGGAATAAAAATAGAAGCGAATAAACTCGACAATGTGCTGTCAAGGCATGATGACGCTTGACCATTAGATTAATGACCGTGTCCACGAGATGTCTAATAAAAGGTGAAACTCCTACTGGGAATGTGTTTTGAAGAATAAGAATGAGACTCTCTCGAAGCGCTTCCCCTTACTGCATTGGGAACGATAATCCCACTCCCTGGAATAGTCCTCCCGCTTGCTGCTGCTGTCCGTGCATCAGTATGAAGAAAGAGAAGGACATTTCTGAGCTGCGTGACTTGTCATGGAAATTTTCTTGAAGAAGTTAAAATTCCAGGAGTTGAATTACTTATCTGTTGTACTGAACCCCGCTATGGACACTTTTTCATAATCGGCAAAGATTGGAATTGCGCCATCTCCTGGCTCATGCGCAGCTGCATTTCAGCCTGCTGCTTTTCCATGTCGAATTGGGATTTTTGCATATTCTCCTCAGCTTTTTTTTGCTGATATTCCATGGAAAGTTGCATGGGTTAGATTTTGGCTATATTCATCGGGAAATGCATATCCTGGACCCAATTTCTTCTAACAATTACGGGATTACTTGATTTCTTGTTCTTCTCACCTCTTTTCCCTTGACAAGCCTCCCCAGAATTCTTTTGAAGACGATTTTCCGGAAGTCTTAAATAGATTGCTGTTCGAGAGCGGCCTTCTGCTGCGCAGACTGCTGCTGCAAAGCCATCAACTGCTCCATACGTTGCTGTAATATTTTTGTATGGAACAAAGGAGTACTAGGGTGTAGTGTTTGGGTTGGGAGGCTTGGGGTTTTTTATGGTGGTTTTGTTTGCTATGGTGGTTTTCTGGTATGGTATACTAAAGTTGATATTGCGTCATGCGATGTAATAAAAACGATGTTTTTTGACTTGCAAGTAAAGTGCATTCTAGTCTAGTTATGAATACCTGTTCCAAAGCCATCTGCTGTTGTTTGACTTCCATGTCAATCTGCATGATGAACTGTTTCTTCTGCATATCCGCCTGTCCCAATAAATGCTCTTTCTGGTGCCTCACCTGCGCCTCCAAGACCGTTGTGCCTTGTTTCACCTGCTCATCCAACGTGAGTTAGAAGAGGTTGAAAGTTCTTGGAGATCTTTATAGGATGATAGAGGTATCTTTGCAGAAGGTGGGGCCGGGCGTTCGTCAATAACTATGGGTAATGGGAGAAGTAATCTCCAGAAAAGCTGTTCTAACGCAAGTAGTTGTAGTGGTGTTTCCGCTTATAATAACAAGCTGTACAACCGTAAATTTGCAAGTAAGCGTTTTTCTGGCTGGCGATAGTGGCTGGGTCAGGCATGCCACTGGTTAGGGCCTGAGGAGCCATCATCATCTGGTACTGCTGTTGCTGCTGCATATTGTAAGCGACTGCCGACATGATGTTTTTGTTGAGTTGCTCTGTTGTTTTAGGGAATTTCCTCTCGGATCAAAAATTGAGATTTAGATAGATAATCGAATTAACGACCTTGTGGTTCTTTTGCGCTATCTGTTAATTTGTCCCTCTACTAAATCTAACGTCATATTAAATGCATATCATGAAGGATAAGGAAATATATTGGAGGGCGTTGGTAACATAGCTTTATTAACTCGGCTCCGAGCATCTTATCACATGCATCAACGCAGGAGTCTCAGGCATGTTCTCTTTCATTTTCAAAACACGACTTACATGCAAGTTTTTGCTTCTTCTCTCGTCTTCAGTTTGATTGTTTTTTTGAATCTTCGTTCAATCGGAATTATAGAGTAACTCGAGATATTAAAAGGACATCACAAGAGGCGTTTCTTTGCGTATTCTTTCTTGACACGATGGTGCATGCCCACTTCCAACCGCACTCAGGCTTATGCTGTAACAACTATCGGGTAGAAGAGGTCTCAGAACACACAATGGTCTTGACTGGGACCACACACTCTCTGTTTGAAATAGCACAGAATCACACAGCACTAAATTGCGAATCTACTGACACCAACGAAGGCTCTGTTCTTGCGCTGGTAACTCGAACAATACTACAATTCAGAGACTAAATATCGACATTCTGTACAGCTGGGCCGGCCCACAATTGGCGGTAGAGGTGACAATATTCGCCACTTAGTTTGTTGAGATAGAAAAGTTCGACGAGGTGGATGCAATCACATTTTTTTACCATGCTATCACTTCGTATTTCTTTTCTCCATACTCAAAACTACTTCATAATCAAAACATGGAAGCTTCTAAGGCTTTTCTTCTTAGCTATCTGAAATTCTTTATTGTTCGTGGTAAGTTCTCGATTCGGAAAAGATACATGCTGCAATCATACTTACAATCAAACCTAGTAGGAGAACGTCTTCTGCATTCAAGAGGATTCATTCATGAAGGAGCACAACGGAGTCGTACTTCGTCATGAAATTTCATTATGGCAAAATAGACTCATTCATTTACAGCAAAAATTTTCATTACATACTCCTTCATGAAATAAAAATAGAAGCAGATAAACTCCACAATGTGCCAAGCCACCACGCGTGACCAATAGATTAATGACTCTGGTGTCCACAAGATGTCTAATAAAAGGTGAAACTCCTACAGGAAATGTGTTTTCAAGAATAGAAATGAAACTCTCTCGAAGCGCTTCCCCCTACTGCATTGGGAACGACAATCCCACTCCCTGGAATAGTCCTCCCGCTTGCTGCTGCTGTCCGTGCATCAGTATGAAGAAAGAGCAGTATAGGAGAAAGAGGGATACTCTTCTCGCAACAGCATGTCAAGAAACGACAGTACATGAAGAATTTTCTTTCTGCGTAAGCAAACTGATTAGTGAGACCCAGTACACGTCTTACTTGCTCTTTCAGTTTGTTTGAGAGGAAGTTCTTGCAGGTAAATTGCTATTATCCGTGCTACTGCTTAATTTTTTGTTCATAATCGGTAAAGACTGGAATTGCGCCATTTCCTGACTCATGCGCAGCTGCATTTCAGCCTGCTGCTTTTCCATGTCAAATTGCGATTTTTGCATATCTTCCTCAGCTTTTTTTTGCTGATATTCCATGGATAGTTGCATAGATTGCTGTTCGAGAGCGGCCTTCTGCTGCGCAGACTGCTGCTGCAAAGCCATCAGCTGCTCCATGCGTTGCTGTAATTTTTTTGTATGGAATAAGGTAGGGCTTAGTGTTTGGGTTGGGAGGCGGAAGGGTTTGTTATGATTGAAGATGGTTACAAGTCTATATTTAGTGCGACGTAATAAAAACGATGTTTTTTGACCTGCAAGTAGAGTGAATTCTAGTCTAGTTATGAATACCTGTTCCAAAGCCATCTGCTGTTGTTTGACTTCCATGTCAATCTGCATGATGAACTGCTTTTTCTGCATATCCGCTTGTCCTAATAGATACTCCTTCTGATGTTTCACCTGTGCCTCCAAGACCGTTGTGCCTTGTTTCACCTGCTCATCCAACGTGAGTTAGAAGAGGTTGAAAGTTCTTGGAGATCTTTCTAGGATGATAGAGGTATCTTTGGAGAAGGTGGGACCGGGCGTTCGTCAATAACTATGGGTAATGGGAGAAGTAAGCTCCAGAAAAGCTGTTCTAACGCAAGTAGTTGTAGTGGTGTTTCCGCTTATAATAACAAGCTGCACAACCGTAAATTTGCAAGTAAGCGCTTTTCTGGCTGGCGATGGTGGCTGGGTCCGGCATGCCACTGGTTAGGGCCTGAGGAGCCATCATCATCTGGTACTGCTGCTGCGCCTGGTAAGCCACTGCCGACATGATGTTTTTTGGTGTTTTAGGGAATCTCGTTTTGGATGGAAAATTGAGATTTAGATAGATTTAGATAGTTGAATTAACGACTTTGTAGTTCTTTGGCACTATTTGTTTTCCTTTCTTCTATGTAAATCTAACGTCATATCATGGGAAAATAAGTTGAACGTCGTTGGTCGCATAGCTTCATTACCTCGGCCTCGATCCATCTCATGACAACGCGGGAGTCTCAGATATGTTCTCTTTCATTTTCAAAACACGACTTACATGCAAGTTTTTGCTTCTTCTCTCGTCTTCAGTTTGATTGTTTTTGTGAATCTTCGTTCCATTGGAACTACAACTACAGTGTAACTCGAGATATGAAAAGGACAGCACAAGAGGCGGTTCTTTGCGTATTCTTTCTTGACACGATGGTGCATGCCCATGTCCAACCGCACTCAGGCGGATGCTGTCACCGATAGGAGAGGTCTTAGAACACACAATGCTCTTGGCTGGGACCACAGAGTCCGCAACTGAGTACTTAAGTATGCAAAAGACACTTCTCTTGTGTAACTTGGCGTTATTGTGTCCATCGACTTAGCAGCACTCTTGCACATAGCTACTTCACACGACCTGCGAACTAAAAAGTCTTCATGGTCCCGTAACGACTTCGACTGCATCCTTCTTGGAAGCATTTCCGTACTCTGTCCAGCTTCCGTCATAAAGCAGGAGACTTGATGTTGAAGCTGCAGACCCAGAGGACTGCTCTGTAGCTCTTAGAACTTCTGCCGCAAGTAATACGATAGCTGCCGTCATCCCGGAACCGCAAGTTGCTACAAATGGCGCTAGAGGGTCCACACCAGCGGTCTGGAACACCTTTTGCAACTCAGGGGGATTAGAGGGATAGCGGCACAGACAGTATGCAAGATAGTTTAACTTTTACTTAGAGGTCTAAAGGTAGATACTTAGGAAGACGACTGTTAAGGCTACTAGTGGCTTGTAAAATGAAATAGGTGGGGATGATGGATTGACTAGTATGCTACAAAGAAAAGCTGTACGAAAAAAATTGTTTTAGTTTCCTTTCGATAGAAGACAGCCATAACAGGGGGTAACATCTTCTTATCTGCTGTTAGCAGGGTTCCAAATGGAATGTTGGCTGCTCCAGGCATATGCCCTGACCGCATGCCTGCACGCGGCTCAGGCACTTCTCCAGTAAAGCGTCCAGCTGGGCGAGCGTCAATGATGGGACATTTTGGCGGCGTTCCTGTGGTTGAAGATGAACCCACGTTGTCCTGCATGAAGGAGAGATCTACGACACCGTAAAATTCGTCCGTTGATTGGTTCTGCTGCGGCTTTGTTGTACTAGAGGATGTTGTTGACGACCTATTGTTTTTCGCCACAGAATACACTTCTACTTTCGAAGATCCTGATCTGCTAACCTCAAAGTGATTGTCCGCATCTCGAGGATTGTCACCATCTTGTGGGCCACGCCCGTTAGCCTCATCTGCATCCCAAGCTGGCAAGCCACCATCGAGAACGAAGACTTCTTGGTGTCCAAAATGTCGGAACATGAACCACGCTCTTGGAGCCGAAAAAATCCCGTGTCTATCATAACACACAACCACGCTGTGGTTATCGATATGGAGCGTGTCAGTCACGTGTGTCTCGAAATCCTCGACCGCTGGCATCATATGTGGCAAAGTAGAGCGCCTGTCGGCACACTCGTCTAGATCGAGAAAGACGGAGTGTCGCTGTAAGAAAGACGAGCCAGACTGTTCTGTTGTAGCAAGAAAGTGCTCGTTTGCTGTGCGGCCATCTGGGGATGCAAAGGGCGAATTCGGAAGGTACCATGTCGCGTCAACCATGACAATGCGCTTGTCTCTCTTAGCAGCCTCTTGTCTTACCCAGCGAGGGCTAACTAACGGCATCCGCACAATTCTAGCCGAGCTGGACATTGTGGTGGTACTGTCTTTACTGGTAGGCGGGAGTCATGTAGTACGAACAGGCTGTGTGGTATTCAGTTCAATTCGTCTCGCGAGCTTTTTTTTTTGTAGTGCGAGCGAGTTCCGATAAATCAAAACCTACCTGTGAGCCTCGTATCTCCTGCTGGACGTAGTCTACGTGTTACTATTTAGAAAAAGTCTAAGGCTGTGATGAGGAAGGGGCGTCTTCTACTCCGTGCGTTTTACTGTGTGATTGGACTGAGATTCTCTCACGACGGAAACGGAATCCGTGGTCCACGTCAAAAATCGAAAAGCCTTCACCAAGTGTTCTTGGCTGCTGCTCTCGGGACTTTTCACAACACAATACCTTCCTTTTTTGGATTAAATAATTGGTTCGGTAAGATGAAATGCCATAATATTATGTTCTCGTTGTCTCGGAACTTTTTAACATCATTGAGTTCTCAGGGAGAAGAAGCATCGCCTCATCTAAGTTAATGATGTTAGTTCGCCTCACCTACTCCTTTTATAAGCATACGATGTTTTTACTGTTAGCACTTTTTTTCATTCCTGCGTGTTACTGTACGATTCCTTAAAGTGTTGGTGGTGACTGTAAATCAAGTACGCTTGGTGGGAGATTTTCGATCCGGCCGCAACAAACTACTCGATATTTTGATTCTTTAATATCTTCGTGCCTATGTCTAGGCTATAAGCGAGACTGCGTGCTGTCTGTTTTTCCTACTTTAGATAATTGAGATGAGAAAAACAAGAAAGGACATTCATTCTATGATGCAGAGGTACAGAAGATTACTACTAAGTGCGACTAAAAACTATTAACAAGGTCATCATCTAATGATATGGGGAAAGATTCTCATCATGCGTTTTACATCAGTCTTAAAACAAACGATGCAGGAGAGTTAATTTCAATCGTTGTTCGTCATGCGTAAAGCATTTAGTTAAGCCTGTTGTCAATGTCTCCCACTTTAAAAGTGAGATGAAAAGTCGTCATCATAGATTAAGGTATAGAAAAATTGAGCGCTAAATGTTGTCTATAATTCGTGTGTACTTAAAAAGTAAATCTCTGCATTTCGAAATGCATTATCACCTTCATCAATCCATTAATAACGTAATAGTGTTCAGGTTCACGGTGTTGTGCTTAAAAAATCATATACAGTAAAGCTCGTCTTATGGTTATGCTTCAATCTACATCTCTAACATTTGTGTTCTATTCATACTTCATAGCGGGATCCGAGGGGGCAATTTTGAGAGGATCTGTGATTTGACGTGATGTACATGTAGAACTATGTAGAAGTCATACATAACGAATACGAACAATTTCTTGTAGCAGTCTAATACTAGAGATTGACAGAAAAGTTCGCTGATTGTGTGAGGACACGCCTCCGACTTGAGGACGCATTACTGGCTGTTTCGGCGTCTCCTTGCCATGCATCACTTCGCTGCTCCGCTGCCAAATACTTTCTACCTACGTGCTTGTTGTCCTCATTGGTACTCCTTCTGTCCCGATTGATGGCTTCAATTACTGTGCCAGGTAATTGTTCGAATCTTTGTTGCCTTGATGTCGACAGAGTTGAGAACGTCGAAAACTGAGATTCTCTGGAGGATGGTCGTGATGAGATCCGCTGAGCATCACTGCCAGAGTACTCACTGTTACAATACTCTGATACAGGAGCCGCTGCTCTGTGACTCCCCTCCGTCTTGCCAGGGTTTACGGCGGCTGGTGTGGCCAAGAAGTCACTGACATTTTCTTCAGATGCCCGTGAGTCACCGTCGCCATCGCGTGTTGATATTCCTGTATTTTGCCTTCCTCCAGCGCCGGTCCCTGTGGTAGTGGAGGGATCCTTCCCAGGTGGGACGCACTGACTGGTGGTTCCTCCCATAGGAGTTGTTGTCCCTGCTTCAGGGCCGCTTGATCGATTTCGCTTCATTTCCCGCAGTAAGCGGTTCTGCATTTGCAACATCATGCACGAGACTTCGCTGTTGCGTGTACGCAAAATACCAGCCACAAATTCATCCAAGGAGAGTCTACAATTGCCATCCGTGTCCAAGATCTCAAAGAGCCATTCCAGCTCTGACCCAGTACGCACTTCCAGGTTGCGGAAGACCTGTTTGCGGAGGTCTTCATCCCTTAAGAGGGATTTCTTGAACTCGTCGATGGTGATAAAGCCGCTCTGATCGACATCCACGGCGTCGAACACGGAGCAGAGCTCGTCGGTGAGAGCTTCCTGTTGGTCTCGGATCTGTTGGATCAAGCGCAAGTCCGCAGTCTCCGTCGCAGTGGTCAAGTTCTCGACCAAAATACCGATGAAGAGCGACATCATCATGAAGTTCGTGGTAACGATGAACCAAGTGAAGAAAATGCCGTAGGCTTCGGTTTCTTCCATCATGGGACGCACGATTTGAGGCCATTCTTCCAACGTCGTCACTTGGAACAGGGTGAGCATGGATCTCATAACTGTAGAGTGGTAGTCCAGCAAATTGGCAAAGCGTTCATCCGTTTCCGCACGTGCCTTAAAAAATTCGTTGTCCCGGACTTGTGCCGTTAAGAACAAAGCACAGCAGTAGATCATCAGCGCCAAAAGCATCATCACCCAGAAGATGGACCGCAGAGCACGGCCCAGACCGTGCACCAGCAACCACAAGTCCTTGAAGTAGCGAATTAGCTTGATCGATCGCAGCACACGCAATAAGCGGAGAATTCGTAGTGCGGAAACGTTGGTCCTTTGTGAGCCATCCGTCATTAATTGCACTCCCCATACGTCCACTGCGGACGCAATGATGACCAGCAGATCCAAGCCCAACCAGGAATAGTGCCCAGCTCGGTAGGTGCGCAACCACTTGAACATGTACTCGAACAAGCGGAAAATCGCGTTGTTACTTGTGAGTTCAATCACGTCCACTAAGGCTGCGTTTTCCTCTTTCTCTTCCTCCGTCTGCTCGTCAAACATGATAGTGAGTGCGCTGTCGTACTTCGGGTTCCACTTCAGTAGTTCACTGTTGTTGTTCATCCGACCGCTACTGTTCATGCGAGTGGGACTATTCGATTTTGGGGCTGGGGCAATCACGCTAGATGAAGAGGACCCGCCAGTTCCAGTCGCGTTCTCGTCTGATGCATTGATAACGGTGATCTTGGGCACGGGTTCTAGTTTCAGACGGAGATAGAACTCCACGATGAAGCAGGCGAGAATGATAGATTCGATCCACCAGAACGGACTTCGAGGCCCAGGCGGGTACTCGTCGCCGTGGTCCGTTTCTATGCCTAGAATGAGCATATTGAAGCAGATCAAGCCTCCAAAGTAAGTATCGAGCACCAGACTGATGTTGCTGCGGCCTGCGTTGCGGTCGGCGATGACATCGGCTTTTTCAGCTTGTGTAAAGCGGTACTTCGCATCTTCGAAAGCAAGACGGCCAACGTCGATCACAGTGGTGCGTGCACCTGCCTGCTGTCGTATCTGCTGACTGGGGGTCATCATCTGCGTTCCAAATGAGAGCGATCGGCGCATCTCCATATTCCTTGTTTTATCCCCAGGGCTCGTTTTATCCCCACCAGGAACCGCGAGGGGGTTACTCTCGGTCGTGGCCAATGCTGGAGGCCGATTGCGACCCCCTCCGGGGCTTGATGAATCCGACATGATGAAGATGCTCACTTTATTGTAGCGAAAGTAGGGTTGATTTCGAAGATGACCGTCACTGTGTGCGGAGACAAACGAGCTCAAGAACCTCCACTCGTTCTTCGTATACGAAAGCGTATTTTCTGGCACAGACTGAAACGACGAGTCAGTCGGCGATGCCAATTTCAAGCAAAGCCTCTTATCGACGTCTAGTATCTGTATGGAAAGTAATAATTTCTTGCAGAAGTAGTAGTGTAGGATCTGTTTCTACATAGACTGACCACCTAGCAGAATCACCAAGTACATACGAAAGTGAGCACTTGCTTGTGTGACAATGACCTCTCGAAGGTGTTCCACATCTACCAAAGTAAGGAGGGGTAAGAAAATACCCAGCTGCTGCGTCGAGGAGGAATCGGAAAAAGCGTGGGTGTGCACGCCCAAAAAGAGCCGCGTCGCTTGCAGGAGCGAATACAATAGATTTAAATGGTAAGAGCTAAGAATCTAAGCTCAGAACTTAGTGAGTATCCTGTTGCCAGTATAGGGAATGCTCGGGAACGACTAAAATAGCCTTCAATGGTACGCATATACGTTCTTGTAAAATCTAAATCATGTGAGTCCAATACTACATACACCAGAGCAGATTCTAGACAGGCACATTAAGAGCAGTGGCCTTAAATCACAATCCTACCGCACTTTCGAAGAGAGAACGAAAGGTGGAAGTGAAAGAATTTTTCGATAGTAGAACAATCATATCAAACATGACATTCATACTAAAAACGAGAAGTAAGTCAAAGATGGAAAAAATAATACTACAGAGGGGCTATTATTTTGTAAGGATATCAAATCGACAAGGGTAGGGGAATTGTCATATGCGCGGGATCTACAACTGTTGTAGGAATGAGATCAGGATTGGCATTGGATTAGAAGCCAGAGGTATCTATGATTTTCATGGATGACAATGATTTTCTCTCTCTCACCACGCTTTATCTAGGATGTCTCACTCTCAACTGACTGCAGTCTTTCTCGACAGACTTAGATGAAGCAGATTCTTGTTGTACTCTCTAACATTCTCAAATTCTTCAGTCATCTCCTCTCCCTCTCAACTACACAGAAACATTAAACTCAACAGAATGGGAATTTGGATTCGAATTTGATATGGTGAACTCAAGGCAATCAATAATCTCTCATTGTACTAGAACACTATGTTTACTACGATCTCCTTTTGCATGCGAAGGTTCGAGGCCCGCACGTCTAAAAAGATGCGTGGTTTGTAGTCGGGTCGAAGCTATGAAAAATCATAGAGGTGTTGAGAAAGATTTGAAATATTTACCTCGTTTCAGAGTTTGAGTTCTGTTGTGTCTCCTGTTGAGCTGGAGTTGAGAGAGAAGTATTCGTTGAGTGAAATAGAAATTCAATGTTGAATAGGCGTGCAACAATGTTTAACCACTAAAAAATGATGTCTAATATAGAGAGAATTTAGAAGTATCGAAGGTCGTCGTGCTGCGTACTCCTATCGCCACCTCATATTTGGTAGGAGATGATGTGCATTAATCTGATTTTTGTGTCGTCGTAGTTCCTATGGTCCAATCGTCCTCCAATGCTCGCTATTTTCGACCGCGGCAGTATTAGGCTTCGATTGTCCCCAACCCTATAAAGAAGATCAAGATACTTGTAGTACTATTTCCACCATCATCTCCGTTAGCACTACTACCTCCTACTGCGTTCCCTTTAACCGATGTTCAATCGGAACATGTCGTTGATGATGATGAAGGAGCCACCATGTGGCACTAGGTGAAAGACCTCTGCAAATTTGAGTACGTTGTCATCCTCATCTACCTTCAAGTCGCCCGTCACGAAGATCATTACTCCGTTGTTGAAAGGGTTTGGCTGGCAGTCGACCTGGTTGGAATGTTGCAAGGAACTTTGATTTTCTTGTTGTAGTGAAAATTTGGAAATCATCATTTGAGTATCTATAAGTTGAGTCAACCAGGACCTCGTTTGAGATCAAGTATCAACAACAACAACCTCATAATAATTAGTATAGATACCTTCGTCAACTTGTGCGCAATCTTTGAGAATTTCAGGTTGTTGAGTTTCTCCATTATCTTTTGCTGTCCCTGAAACGCCTCTCCTTCGAAGGTGAGCATGGAGTCGTTAGTATAGAGCTGCGTCAAGCCCATTCGGTTGGTATCGAAGGTGTTGTAGAAATGCTGAACGAACTGCTCACCAATCTGAGCGAACTGAGGGTTAACTTGCGCCATTTTGTTGAGTCTAGTGTGGTGTCGTGGTGGTGGAAGGATTATAAAAGTACACTACGAGGGAGGTCGATGTAGAAAGATGTCTGATGGAAGGTGCAAGAACTGTGCAGCTGTGGCTCTAGTATGAGCTAAGCTAGAATGGTGAACTGCAATCTAGTACCTGATCACGACTTGAATGACGGAAAAGAAAAAGCGTTCCTGTCAGATAAGCATAGAAGTTGAAAGAATTGGTGATGAGGCAGAAGACATTAGAGTTCATCTACAATCGTGAGAGTAACCTGCGGCTCTGGATCAGATCTCGAAAAAGCATGATCTCTTCTGGATTGCACGGATCTTCTTATTCCTGTTGGCTGTGTGCAATAGATTTTTGATCATGATCTTTGCCATGTGTATAAATTTTTTTTGTTCTTTGGAAAGCACGATCGGCCGTTTCATTTTTTTTGAATTTCAATGAAGAAGAGCAGAGCTTTCTGTCAGATGTGAGTGCTCCTCCAAAAAAAGAAGATCCTTTTATAGGTGTAGTGCACAGTTTTTCCAAGCCATAATGCCCTAGTAGTTTGCTCTATCGTCATGGTGTTACAATTTTTTCAGTGTCAAATGAATATGTGCTGATCGGTGACTTTATTACGCTAATATGATCAACTTCGGCTTCCTCTGTTGTGGCACTGTTCTTCGCTGCAGCCAATTGCGCTGTACGCCGCAATGCAGTAGCTGTCTCCGGTCCATTGCTTTCTAGCATGTGATTTAAATGCGATGACGGGTTCTGCATCAGTTCCCATGGTACTCCATCCTCTGCGACTCTGCCGTGGGACAGGAGTTAGAAGAAGGGGTCTATAGTATCACTCAAGTTGTAATAGACTGGTCTTACTATTCCTCCTCGAAAACAACCTATTCCTATCGCCTTGCAGTCCCATCAATACGAGTCATCTGCATCTTCACTGAATCAGGACTCTGTAAAGCAGAAATTAGAAGTAGTACATTCTCCCACACGCACCATAAATGACCAAAATTCTGTCGAAGTCGATGATTGTCTGGAGTCGGTGTGCCACTGTGATCAGGGTGCAGTCGTGAAATTTGCGTCGTACCAAGCTTTGGACAAGCCTATCCGTATGATTGTCAATGTTGGCTGTGGGTTCGTCCATGACAACAATAGGCCTCTTTTTCAACAGTGCGCGCGCAATTGCTAAGAGCTGCTGCTGTCCTGCTGAAAGTCCGAGGAGGCGGTTTGGACCTGGAGAAGTTGTACTCGCACTAGTACTTGTTGTGCTAGGTCGTAGTTTGGGTGGTGCTGTTTCTTGTCGTTCTTTCTCATTTTCTTCGCGTTCATCTGCTTCAGACTTATCTACTTTAGCTTGCTGTTGCCTCTCGTCCTTGTCCTCGTGATACCTCTGTTCTGACGAAGCAGCTCCTACAGATATTTTGGTTTTCTTTGTCAAAAACGATAAAGGTGATGCTGGAGCGCTTGCCTGTGAAGATGATCTTGATGTTCTCCGTGAATTTCGTTTTTTTACTCCAGAAGATGGGTCTTTTTTAGCAGCAGTTTCGTGGCCTCCTGATGTTCCTTCCTTGGAACTGACGCGCAGGGTATGAACGGTGTAGTTTTCTCTTTCCTAGGATTAGGAATACCTGAGAAGGATCACTAAATCCGTACACAGGAATGACATGCTTGCTGGCTCGCTTAATTCTGAAGAAGATGAAGTCGTCGATAGAAGAAAATACTACAACACACATCCACATCCATTTCCATAAATGTGTAGCATATCCCTCACCTGCAAAGTCCCATAGTTGAGACTTTCATGTAGACCCACCTCCTCTAGAATGCGGGTCAGTTCCTCTTCCTCGTGCTCACCAAATGGATCCAAGTTCCGTGCCAACGTGCCTTCAAGCAATAGAGTTTGCTGCGGAATAACGGTAATTTGCCGACGCAGCTCCTGCAGTCCCATCTTCCGCGTATCCATTCCGTCGATCTTTATGCACGACGAAGATGAGGGTTCGTGTGCCTTGCTATAATCGTCTATCTCCACAAGCCGAAACAACGCCACCAGCAGACTGCTCTTACCTGCACCAGTGCGGCCAATGATGCCTGTTTTGGATCCCCTCAAAAATTTCAAGTTCACACTCTCCAAAGAAAGCGATAAGTGTGGTCGATATCGTAGGCAAACATTGGAAAACTCAATATGGACGCTCTGATTTTTTTTGGGAGAAGGCTTCAATGTGGTATCTTCTGTTTCTCCTTTTGTGGTACTAGGTGCTTCGATAGACGAGGCTCCGCCAGACGTCCTTGCAACCGAGTCTTTCGTGTACCAAGGCGGATCCTGTGGAACAAACTCCGCATTTTGCAGTTCCAAGACGCGCTCGAGACTGACCATCATGTTGACCGTGTAACAGGCCAGTAAAATGAGCAGGGAGAAGAAGTAAGGCAGGATAAAGGAGTAGGAGAGGGCGAGCCCAACTTCCCCAGGTTCGAAATCGTTGCTGGCGTTAGAGGAGTAATGGGTAGTGGACTTGGTGCACTTGGTCCATCGAGAATTTGGACGCCCAAAATCTTTATCTTAAGCAAACGGAGCATGACGATTGCCGCTGCGATGCTGATAGCATAAGCGGCCAGACTAGCCCACAAAAAGCCAGCATGCGTGACCGTCTCTGTGAAGTATCGATATCGTAGGAATTCGGCTAAAAGTTCGGCCATGCGGGTCTGAAAAAACTTCTGGAGGTGCATGGGTCCATTAGAGGCTCTATGGGGCCGTGCGGCGATCAGGACTGAGTGAGGGAGAGAGCGACAGATATAGAGAACAGAGAAGGCGTTGTACAGGGACGAGAGGATGTTCACAAGAGAGTGTTTCAGACTCAGCTTGTTCTTGTTCAACGAGAACGATTTTTTAAGTCGCCTAATCAACTCTCTTTCAGTCTGAAACTTGCGTTCGCCTGTTGCGATGCGGAGAAACTCAGTTCTTAAAAACATGAATAAGCTCCCTTCCTGCGTTCCCAGACTCCCCCAACAGCGTCATCACCGGACCGAAGGATTGATTTGTCAAACGCTTGCCTTCCATAGACAACAAGGCTACGCGCGTAGCCTACACAAATCGTTAAAGATATCACCAAGTTAGACGGGAATCACTATGGGCACCACAATAGCGATAATGACCACGAGGGCTCCCACAGCAAAGACAAAGTGACACATATCGTCAGAAAACGCGAGTAAAAAATGGTCAACTGCACTCAGATCAGCGCCGAATCGAGACAGGATGCGCCCAGAAGGAGTTTGCTCGAACCAAGAATAGGTTGCGTGCATCACGGTGGGCTTAGATGCGGGAGTGTTTCGTGATATTTTATCCTGTATGTTCGTGTCAAGTACTAGTTGGTTGACAATCTGGTAGGACCACGTCGATACATGAATTTTTCTTGAGTTGGATGAGAAGATACTTCACACAGAAAACACCAGAAAAGCACTACTCGCCTTAATGGTTGCAGCATTGTCGTGGATTTGCCGACAAGCGCGATTCATCGCTACTGCATTGAACAACGACAGCGAGAACAGGCCAAAAAGGTACAGAGTTGTCAAACCAATGTGGATGAGAATGCGTTCTGTTTCGGAGTAAGAATCCTGCTCTCTATTTGTCGCACTTTTCTCCGCCGACGTGACCCAATCGGAAAGCCAAAAGTCCGTCATGGTCATTGCTGCATAACAAAGGGTCGCAATCGTAAACATCTTTACCACATACGTGTAACGACCTAGACTATTGAAGAAGGGTCGCAACGTTTGGAATGTGGAAAGCCCACCTGTCTGTGCCATCTCTTTTCCGAATACGCCTTTAGAGGTGGTGAGCACGTTTTTCGTATCGGGGTTAGCCTCGTCAGAGATAGGATCTGTATTTGTAGCAGTTTCAGGCTTTGTTGTCGCGCTGTCGGTGGGAGCTGCTGCTGTGGTAGTGGCAGCGTAAGCTAAATCGGTATCAGCAAGATCTGGCTTCTGAGTGGAGCTACTCCCATCCGCCTCTTTTTCTTCTGTCGTATTGTCGAAATAGAACCGCCGAAAGCCTTCGTTCAAAATTAAGGCCTGCAGCTACGTTTCATTTCTAGTGACCTTCTTGCACTACATCTTAGCATGAAACGTATTAAGCCATCTCTCATAACACCAGCAACTCCTGCAATGATCCTTGTGCTGATATTCTCCCCTTCTCCAGAAACAAGATGTGATCGCACCGAGGCAGAAAATGCAGTTGGTTCAGGGCGATAATTATCGTTTGTCCAGTCGGTCTTCCAGCGAAGACACGGCCAAAGATCGCGTTCGCTACGTGGCCATCCACTGCGGAGAGAGCATCGTCTATGACTAGAAAATCGGGATTCCCGTAGACCGCACGCGCAAGTGCCAGCCTTTGTTGCTGGCCTCCGGACAAGGTTGTACCTCTTTCTCCAATCTCAGTTTCCCAATTCCAATCGCCACGTGAGATATCGTCTGATAATTGGCTTTTTTCGACAGCCTTATCGAGGAAGGAAGAGGTGTCTTGTCCATGTTGTCCATCATCTTGACGGCTGCGGCCCATTAGAATATTATCCCGAATCGTTCCAGAGAGAACGAAAGGTTTTTGTGGTGCATAGCCAATACGGAAGGATCCGCTAGGACGGACAGCCTCTGTTGCCTGCCTAGAATCCGTCTGAGTCAGGTCGTCTGAAGAAGCTTCCTCCTGTTGTTTCGACCAATTCTTATCATACAGAACTTTTCCCTTCCTCCTCACCATGCTGCCGATAAGGGACAAGAGTAAACTCGTCTTTCCGCATCCCGTACTTCCAACAACAGCCACAAGCTGGCCTTGTTTTACTTCGAAATTCAAATCTCGTAGAAGGAAACTCCCACCTGAAGGGGAATCGTCAGCAACAGGTGTATTATCGCCATGCGCAGCATCCTCTTCCTCTGCTGCAATTTGCCATGCAAAACATCCGTCTACAACTTTCACAAGAACTTGTGGCTGCTCCGCTGTGGAGTCCTTTACTCCCAGAGGTGTTTCTGCCCCGTCTGTACTGTGAAAAGTCATCTCCTCTTGATCTGGTTTTTGTTGCAAGTAAGAGTCCAATCGCTGCACGATAACTTTCCACGTAAAGATTGAGTTAACGCAGTTGGGCAGACTCGCAATAGGGAGTCGTAGACTCATGTACGCGGTGATGGTGGCAAACACATTGGCGGCGGTTAGTTGATCGCCTCGTGGATTAGAAGTGAGAGCCCTGAAGTTGGTATAGGCATGCACAGGTAATGTACTTATGATCATAAGAACAATGTCGAACTTGTTACATGTGTCATCGTGAAAGCGGGAAGCCTTCGAAGAAGAACAAGAATCAATATATCACTCAACGATCACCATTGGAGACTGAGCATCAACCACTAGTCATCCACTAGTATGATAAATATATTTATTGTTGTCACACTCACATCTAGAGTTTTTCATCCCTTGATAGAAAAGCGTGTCATTCTTTCGCTACACGTGAAATATTAGAAGAAGATTACAGAATCGCAATTTGGATTGGAAGCTTACGAATTTGGGTTCTCAAGCTTAGCCTTCCTAGAAACCACGGATCCAATGTTGACCTCAGCGTCATAAGTAAAACCATGAAGACGAATGTTGCGCAGGCAGCCATCGCAGGAGCATTCCTACCCAGGCTCATGCAAGCTACTTGATACGACCGAAACCGTAAGACTTCCCAGAGCTCCTCTTTGCGTTTCTGAAACAGCAGTTGCAAATAATTTTCTTCCCATGTTAGGTATTTCACTTGCTGAATCCCGGCTACCATTTCGCGCATGGTTCCCATTCTGCTGTCTGCTATGCCCGTCTCTTTGCGGACTATTGGTGCCATGATATTCCGCGACACTGCTGTAGAAAAAACAACGTAGGCCACCATAAAGAAGATGCCAGCTAAAGCTGGCAGAATCCCCACAAGATAAGTCAAGCCGCCAAGTCCGCCTAAAATACCGACAAGGCTGGCGATGAAACTGAAGAGGCCCATCCGCAGATCGTCGCATAAGCGGAGAAGGTCGTTGCCGACTAAGGCCAGTTCGTTAGCAGACGTTCCAGTGGTTTTGGTTTTGTTAGGCTGTACTGCTGGAGCTGGTCCGTTCTGGAACGTAGCACACCGCGTCCTCCGCATCACTTTCAGATGTACTACCGGAATGGCCCACGCTAAAAAGCTGCGAGCGAAATCTGCGAGCACTGGCTTTAGAGACAGACCTCATTTAATAAATTCGCCACATAAAATTCGCTGCGTTTCCTTATCTGATAGCCTCATAACAGTTGTCTCACTTTGACGATGAGGATTCCTTCTGATACCAACACGAAAGCGAAAACGCACATGAGAATGATCAACTCTTTATGAATACTCGTCCCATCATCCATCGACGCATCTACCACGAGCTTCAACACCACAGGACGTGCCAGATTAGTCAGCAGACCTTGCAAAATTGATAAGAAGCCGACCAACAGGAGATGCTTGCGCCCTCGAAACCATATTTCGTCCCACAGAGTCCAAGCGCGTTTAGGCGTGGGTGTCAATGGGATGTTTTCATTTCCTCCCGCATACTGCTGGTGGCCACCGGTCGTGAGTTTGCCACCAGTCATGATGGCCTTTGGCGAGAAGTTCCGGAATCTCGGGATAGCGTCCACTAGTTTTTCAGGAGTGCTTATCAAGGACAAATAAGGCCATATCCAGGCGAGACACAGACTGGAGAATACTCCAGGCTCAGCCTGGTCGGAGTGCGGCGGATCCCGCGTCATTGTTACCGTTATCATCTTCTTGCTTCTAGGTAGACACAAGGATTAAGTCTAAATTTTCTTCCCTCAAACTCGAGGCATTTTTGTCACGTGATCTAAGATGAGCATTCTTGCCTCCCTTCACATGGTCTAAGCGAGGCGAGATCCTACATTTTCATGATCTTCTGAGATGGTCGAGTAGTGCAATATGAAAAAGATTATAAGATCTTAATTCAACAGTGGAGCAGTCTACAAAAACCTTTTTTCAGTCAACTCTCCATCGCAAGACTCTGCTCAGATGATTGAGAGGTGATCATACAAGTCCAACAGAGGGTCATAGTCCAACAGATACCTTCGTACTAGCAACCGACCACACACTTGTGGTTGGTCTTGTGCGTTTTCCTACACGGATGAGCTCAATTATCAGCTACGGATGAGCGGAATTATCAGATGATAGGAGCTGGTGCCTGGAGGACGTTTATCCTCTAAAAATTCACAATGTTTGGTGAATGATATGCAGAGTGTGGTAGCGTTTGGGGGTTGAGTGTTCCTCGCCAGGGATTGAGAAGGATGTCACCCCGCGACATATATTGGGCTACGGGAAGGGGTCAATGTATCCGTGTCCACGAAGGGGAATCATGTGAGTGATTGAATCAGAGCAGAAATGGGTACGTTAATGTGAGAGAAGATGCGTAGACTAAAAAAGCGTGTGAAGAGCAATAGAAGCAGCTTGAACAGGTCAATTCACCCCACTAATCGTAAAAATTGAGATCATGTTGATACAATGTGCACCAGCAGAGTACTTTTTTTTTTATTACACAACGGCTGCTGATAACAGAATTGGCGCACTGTAACTATTAATTCGAATCAATGTTGATCTCCCACGACTAGTTGTTAAGCACGAAGAAATGCCGAGCTACTCATCATTGTTAAATACGAGAGCACCAAACTCGAACGAATCTGACATCAAGTCGTTTTCATGGACACAGGGGTGACAACAATCCAAATCGCATCCTGGTCGAGTCCGCAAAACCATCTTTTGCTCTTTGCTGATAGATTGCTAGCAGGACAACTATGGAACCAAATGTTGAACCAAATAATGGGTCTATCCACGCACCTATGATAAATGATGGCGTACACTAAATCATAATTGATGATGATGATTAAGTGGTCTCTAAAAAGAGCCTCTATTCTATGTGTTCTGTGCAAAATGTAACCAAGCAAAAGCTGCATTTGATGTCGTGTTATGCTGTGTCATGCGATTGAGTGTCCATCAATCAGAGTGCGCTTGTGAGCACCAGGACGCTTTTTGACATGTCATGTGTGCATAGCTAGATCTAGAATGCGCAAAAAAAAGTAGAACGCAGTCATGCATTTGCTCCGCACAGTGTGTCGAGATGGTAGTGGAGTTGGAGTACAATTGTGTTCGTGTGAAAAGAGAAACTCCTCTGCCTTAATCATTCTTGACCGCACGTGGTACTAAATGAGCGACATCACTTCCGGAGCAGGCCATGGCTGTGCTGATAGTGATCGCTGTAGCCCCGTCTCTGCTGCACCACTGACAGGTGATGAGAGGATCCCAGCAAGGCCGTCATTCACATCACTCACTGAGCAAGGAATCATTCCACCAAGGTTTCTGCGGCTACCATCCATCTGCTGTAGAGGAGCTGCGATCGGTGCCTCACCATTGTAGACTTCGACACGGGAAATTAGAGGTCATGTTTATCAACCTAATAAGCGACTATTCAAGTAATTGATTATGGACTCAACACGACCCTGTGGAAAGGTAGACTCACCTTATCATGATAGTACTACCTCATCTAGAAAAAAGTATCGCAAGTAGTAGTATTTCTTTCATAACAATCGCAGTTCATCGTTCGGCAAGTTGTAGAGGTCTATCGGGAGATTGCGAAGACCCGCGTAGCCTGCGAGGATGTTAAACGAGACTGCATCCCACACCGCAAGTAACTGGTCGTTAGCATAGAGTTGCAGAGGCGGATACGTTTGGCCAAGCTTCGAAGCACGTAGAAAGACATCTATTGACGTTGAGCAGGGTTGTGCACGCAGTTGGCTGCTTGGGTTTACTGCGACATTCATCTTGTTGATAGTAGTAGCTATCGTATCTTCTGGAGGTTTACTTTTCGATGTTGTTGTGGTGTTAGAAGGAGCTCCTACTGGTCCATCATCCTCCACATCCATTTTATCATCTACTTCTTCTTCTTCAGCGTGGCGTTTCTTTTTGGTTTCTATTTCTGTTCCATGCGGCTCCATGTTTCTGCCTCGCGTTAGTGCTGGAGCTGTCTTTCTCATGGACAGCCGGAATTGGAAGCTTTCCTCTCTGTCCCCAAAGTCTTGGGTGATAGTGTCAGAGGAGTAAAAGTCTTCGGGTCCACACCATTGCAGCTTCTTTCGCACGTTTCCGACGATCCAAGTGTGTCCTTCGACTCGAAATTGGGCTGGAAATTCTAGGACCTCGAGACCGACGACGAAGGGGGAAGGCACTGGCCCGAAAGTTGCGTCTCCCCACATGCCTCCTCCACTCAAGATTCTGCGAGAGTAGACTCTACGGCAGTTCTCAGTGAAGAGAGCAAAGGTCATATGCACATCGGGCTGCTGTGGAGGTGGGTCTTCTGGTTGTAGTTGCTGCTCCGGCTTAGTAGAGTTTTGTTGTGGCGATTGGTTAGGACTGCTTTGAATGCCGAACCTCGGTATGCTCTGGCCTGCTATTGGCGATGCTGCTGCCACCGGAGAAGAAGGCAAAAGTTGCATGTCGAAGTCTTCGCCACTTTGGTCTAGTATGGGTCTAGCCCCCAGGTCGAAGTTTCCTAACTCCAGTCGTGGACTATTGCTCTCCCGTGCTGGCTCTGAACCTGGAGCAACTCCAAAATACAACCTGTGTCTGCCTTCCGGGTCTAACATCATCGAGTTTTGTAGTTGTTGACCTGTATCCTGATGTTCCACTCGATTTTGATCTGGCGTCCTTCCACCTCTACTATCATTCCTATTTGCACCTCCACCAGCTGGCGACGCAGCTGCTCTCTGTTGATCGCTGCCTGGTGCTCCGCGTACTGGCCTCGGTGACTGCAGAGGTGCTCGAGTAGTCGGTCCTAGAGAGAAGGACGTCGTAGACGTTGGGGACGATGAAGATGGGTGTTGTTGTATGGAGAGTGGTGGGGATGCCATACGTTGATTGAGTTGATTGACATGTTGATTGGCATGGTTTGCACTGGGTGAGGAGCTCCTTGTAATGGCGGTCGGACTAGCGCCTGCAGACGCACTTGCACTGCCACCGCCCCCACCTCCATTGCCTCTACTGCTAGGACGTCCATTTCGTCGTCGTGCCTGTGTTGATGGATTTCTAGGCACGATGTAGAGCGAAAAATGATCATCTTTGGAGCAGAGCTCGTTTCCGTCCGGGAAAACACGGAAGCAAAATTCCTGTGCCGATGAAGGTCCACCTGACAGATCGCGAAGAGGCTCATGCTGCTGTTGATGATCATAAGGTGCTGCTTGACCCGTCGAGCTGCTGCTACTATAATTGGTTGCCCCACCGTTAGGAAGTACATGGCCAGGCTGTCCAGAAAATCCACCTCCGATATGCGGCATGGCGGGGTTGTGGTTGGTATAACGACTAGGACTACCCAACGGCGGCGAAGAAAAAGGCACTTCTCCAACTGCAGAACGATCTGACACGACTAGGTGGTCTTGGTGATTGTATGAAGCACCGCCAGTAGCAGTTGATGATATAAGGAAGGGCTCAGAGTCGAGAAATTCAGCTTTTGGGTCTGCAGCAAACGCGTCAGGCTCTGAATCCACTATCGACATTTGACTCTCACTATGCGCGATAGAGAACTCATCAGTTGCTCGTCTACCACGACGCTGTCGAAACAAGGATGTCGAAGGTCCCATGTTGGAAGTGCCCACGACCATGTTGATTGCACCTCCACCTAGACCTATAGTTGAAGATGAAGCGCCACCATTGCTTGTTTGGAGGTTGGAAAGTAGCACATGGTTGATGTTTGAGGGTGAGTAGTTCACTAGTTGGACGTGATTCTGAGCGTTGTTGGCAACTCCTTGTTCACCTTGTTGCTCTTGACGTTGACAAGCTAGCTGTCCTTCTCCATCCAGTCCTTCCACCTTCGGCTCTGGAAGGCCGTGACTCAAAGCTCCAGTAACCGGTGAACTACTACTAGGCCATGCCTGTAGTCGTGGATTTCGAAATGGAACCCTCACACTCGGAGACCGAGAGGGAGATCTTGAGGAGTGCCCGGATTTTTGCCCACCAACGAGAGGCGCAAGGTCAACGAGCTGGAGAGGATGACAGGCTGCTGCGGTCGAGAGCGGTAGCTGCAAGAGCGATTCATCAACAAATGATGGATCCTGGTTTGTGGAAGGGAAAAGATTCAGCGTTGCGGATGTCATTGATGAAGATGCTAAGGATGGGGAGAATGGTGGAGGGTGGGCGCTGGTTCCCAATGATGTAGACGCTGAGACGGAGGTAGATGGTGTACCAGTGCTGTTGCTGTTCATTTGTTTTGCGATCTTTTGCAGATCATGTGTCTGTTCTTCACCTATAATTGCGCACTGCTCCTTCGCTAGCAAGGTCTCTATCATTCGCGCACCCCGACGTGATTCGCCCCTTGAGGCTGTTCTAGGTAGCGCAGTAGTCGTACACCGAGGTGGCGAGGATGAACGAAGGGCCTTGATCCTCGTAGGAACAGGACGCGAGGAAACTTGTCTTTTGGATGTGCTTTGAGGAGAGGAGGATGGACTTGGATTTGCACTAGCACTAGCTCCATTCTGTCTCGAAGAAGAAGATGCACTGCCACTAAATGTTGAAACTCCTTCTACTTGATGACCTCCACTGAGAGGAGACCTTTCAGGACCACTTTTGATCCTAGACGAAGACCGTGATATTGACGACGCACGATCGCTGTCGACGAGTTTCCTTCGCTTGCTTTCTGAGCCTCCGCTTGCTAGCGGTCTTTTGACTCTACCAGGACTCAGCTTCGGTGATGATGGTGTTAAACTGTCTGGAGAACCATTCACCATCCATCGTACAACAGTCGCGTTGGGGAAGGAAGGAGGCTCCGGTCTTAGAAATCCTCGATCATGAGAGGGTCCTCTGCTTGGTGGAAACACGATGGACGGGGAGGGGGATGTACTTGGATGAAGGTGTGGTAGCTGTTGCCCCTGTGTGGAGGTTCCTGGGGGTAGCTGAAGCTGATAAAAACTTCGGGACGACGTGGCCGCGTTCGAGTTTGGAGCGGCCGATGAACTACTGGAACTAGTACTTCCTCCTACTAGAACTCCCTCAATTGTTGCTATGCCTGGCAGAGACTGGTCCTGTCGACTCCTAGTCCGCGATAACGGTTTGCTCTGCGTCCCTGAAGCTCCATTAACATTGGTACGAGCTGAAAAACCCCGTCCACCCCCTCCGTAGGAACGTCGTGACGATCCTGATAAACTGCTGGCTCCAGACACTACATCCACGGGAGCGCTCTCCGTACGGAAGAGAGAGTTGTTTGTGGCGGCATTTGAGGCTAGTTGTGGTCCGACCGTAAAAGAAGAAGTCGTAGCCGATGACGACGTCTCTCCTTGAAGGGACGGCCCGCCTCGTCTTGGCTGTCCCACCCAGAAACTCTGCACACTATTTCGATGGACATGGCCAGAGGACAGCAACTCACTCTGGCTGACATTCCTCTGTTGGGCGAGGCGACGAGGCAAATGCGGCAAGACTAGTTCTGTTCCGTTGTGACAACGAATGTAGACCTAGGATCAAATGAAAAGTGTAATCTTGACTTTCAAGTTGTTCTGATTTCAGTGAAGATGCATCTTTCCTTATACTGTAGCAGTAGCAGTAGAGCAGGAAGACATAAGTAAGTAAGTAGTACCTCTTTGTTAACACGCAAGAGGCTGATGATATCAGGGGCCTCCAAGTAACCAAGAGACGCCACGAGCGCGAGGGCTTCGTCTGCTGCAGGCATCTTTGAAAAGAAACACGGGTCCTCTTTGTCGAGAAAGAGTTGTAAACGAATTATACTTGTAAGTGCTAGCTTATAATGACATCGAGTTGACCACCCCTGCCACTGAACAAGACAACTGAATTAAGATGAAGATATTAATGCCTACGAAACCAAAACCAAAGAATGCAAATCAAGCTACAGCTAAAAGAGCAAATAGAACCGCCTGCTTGTAATGAATTCTATTGATAGTTTTGTATGAGTAAAATGCGCTTATTTCTACGAAAGATATCCGTGTCAAATTCACAAAATGTATTCGTTTTTCATCAACAATCCATCACTTTTGAAGATTCTTTCATAGGTCTGCACTTTTTGTGCTCTGGTATAGGGCACCACTCTACTTCTTATCTTTATCATGCCGCGGGCCCTCTTGATTTTGCTTCACACTCTATCGGGTACTGCCTCGCTTCTCTCACTCAGAACAATTTTCATTTGCATATTGAACACGTCTCATCAAGCAAGAAGGGGAGACAAAAAATATTATCATTCTCGGTGTTGAAGTCGTTTGCTAGGAGGCCCATTTTGAAATGGCTCAGACCACAGAAAATGAATCCTGGACATCTCATTTCATGCTACAAATGTCAGACCTGCACTGCAGTCAAGGCCAATCCTGGACATCTCATTTCATGCTGCAATCAAGGTCGTCAGACATGCCCGTCAGATCTGCGCTTTCGTTTCTTGTATTAGAAAGCTTAGATCGCCACATACTGTCTGTAAGGCATCATCTGTTGCTGAGAGGTACATCTGGTGAACGAACTCCAACTGCACCAGAGCTATCTCGAGTTTCACAGCTAATGACAAGGTGTCAGCTCCTGAGGTATCATCTCCCGAAGAAGCAGTCGAATCGGAGGTCCGTCTGAGCGCCTCCGCCGTGTCTTGAGCTTGCTGTAAAGCAAATTTGCAGAGGATTTTGCCGGGATGATGCCGTTGCAGCGTGAGCGAGTCGAAATCGGCGCCGTGCTGGGCGGTAAAGTGGGAGAGACATTTTTGGGCAGCTAAATATTCCGCCTTCAAATCGAAAGCGAAATGGTTTCTCTCTATCAGCTGCAGGGCCTCCACTAAGCACGCAGCTGCTTCTGCGGGTTGAAAGGCCGCTAAGTACTTTTCCCCTAGAAACAGAAAGGAATTGACCACTCGGCACAAATTCTGGCCGAAGTGGTCTTGTACTTTTACGCTCTGAAGAGAGGGAGTCGTGCCCTCTACTGAAGATGTTCTGCTCGAATGTTGTCGTTTATCGACAACTTCGTCATTTGTTGTTCTTCTAGATGTTTCATCATCTTTTTTCAACAAGACGTTGCGCTCACCTGGGTCGTTGTCTTTTGTCTGTTCGAGACGTGGCTGCCCATCTTCTGCATCCTGTTCTTTACTTCCACTACGGCTTTCTCGTTGTGCGCTGGGATCCACTCCGATGCTGCTCTTGCATCTTGTTAGAGCCGTAATCATAAAGAAGATGGATAATATAAGAGGTGGCATATTCAATATCATCTATATGAAGCAATGCCCTCTGTAGTCGACCAAGAGCAGGTAAAAATAAATTATTGGCCATAAGTCCAAATCTCTGCCCTCATTGGTTCCCACATGGTTGCTTGCTGAAGTGCCTCCCACATGGTTGCTTGATGAAGCATCGGTGTCACATGTTGACAAAGGCCACGGCAATCTCTCGCCTAGTGCCGGTGTCGATGTTTTAGGTTGGTCAACTAGGTGGTGGTCGTCGTCATGGATATCTCGTCCCCTTTTGGTGATGTTCTCCTCACCGAGATCGAGGTCGCCTACTGTTTTTGCAGTGGGTGTATCGTCGACAATTTCGGCTGTGCCTTGTGATGACGGCTCACCTTCAGACTGGTTACTCCGTTTCCAGTCTGAGCTTCGTTCTTCCACCAAAACGAAGGAAGTGCCCTGCTTAGCTCGCTGTGGCTGTTCGTCTTGATCCCTCGCTTCGATGCCAGAGCTTCCGACCGTCAAAAGATGATGATCATCTTCAGTACTAAGATGGACATCACCAGTGGTTCCTCTAGGGTTTTGTTTCTTGCTATTTTTATCTAGAGAAGTGGTTACACCTTCTGGATGTGGGCCCTGCCGTGATCCTTGCGCTACAGAGACTTCGCCTTTCTCGGTTCCTGAAACTTCGGCTTTCTTATTCTCCTCCTTCTGGATGAAGACACCGTCGTCTTAGAGCTTTTCATACTACAATCTAAGTACCATTTGGCAAGGTCTACAACTACGTACCATCGTAACAATGACCACTCACATTATGATTTTTTAGACAAATAACTTTTTCTTTGACCTTGGAGGAAATCCAGATCAATCGAGAAAGGCCTTAATCATCAGTCGCCTTGCTGCTGTAGAGGCACAGCTCCATTTCCTCGAGAGGCCCAGCAACGTAGTCATGCTGCAGGAAGCGATTAGCAGGTAGCCGTTTTCCTGGATCCTTTGCGAGAAATTAGATCAGATGCTCATAACTACCGAGATGGTTCTCCTAGATAGATCGATGATGCTCACCAGCTCGTGTTTACGACGTCCTACGCCATTTTTTGTACTGGATCATAACGACGTGCTCTGGATTATGGCGACCTTTGTCTAGATTGTGAGTAGTAGTCATATCGATAATCACGGACACAACTCAACGTAGTCATAGCGGATGCTGATTCATGATGAAATGATTTAGTAAGCCACCTAAGCGACAGTTTCTGAGAGGCAACTCACAATGCGAATACTTCGAATACAGCATGCATAAAGTAAAAGCTGCAGAAAGGCACGTCCCTCAGTGCTAAGACTGCAATCTTCTGGGAACTTCAGGGCTCCTGCAGATTCAATGTTCGCCAGAAGCTGCATTGGGTTCGGACCCGTGAAAGGCGGACTTCCACAAAAACACTCAAACAGAATCGCACCGACTGACCTGTTGTTCGGTGTCGATCTTACAAAGTTCAAGTAAGAATGCAGACAGACCTTGCTGAGTATGAGTAGAGCGTGATCTACTTGCAAAAGTTCTGACTAGATGGTGAAGATGTACTTGCAAAAGTTCAAATAAGAAAGTCGTCCTGGTGCTCTTCGTAGAGATTTCCCCTTTGACAGACGAGCATGCATGAATCCAGCGAGACAATCAACTTGAGGTTAAGGCAACAACAGCTAAAGACGACCTACATACGGAAAAACCTACAATAGTTTTGTACCATAAATCCGCCTTAGAGTCGTATTTCTGGTGCTGCAGAATCTCTGGAGCCATATACAGTGGAGATCCGCAAATTGTTGCCGCCATATCCATCGGTTGTAAGGCACGAGAAAATCCAAAATCTGCTATGTGGCTTAGAAGGGAAGGGGCCTTCTATTCTTGTATGTTCTGCGAATAATGATGTAACTCTAATCATAAGGTAGAGGTTGAAGTTTCCTCACGTGAGAGTAGCTGTGCTAGAGAGTTCGCCAAAGAATTATAGCTTTGCTTGAGTGTCTCCATGTCTCTACATGAGTAAGAGCAGCTGTACTAGAAGAGTTCGGTAGATTGAGTCAATCACAATATAATCAACCATCCATAACCTCAGCACTGGTGGCGTTTCCGCGATTAAGAGAATATTCTGAGGCTTCAAGTCTCGATGTATGAAGTTGTGGCGATGAAGGACCGAAAGTCCAGATGCAAGCTGCCGCAAGAATAGGCGACCCTAGTTGTGAGTAGTAGAGGTTGTTTGAGGGAGGGTGGTAGCTCTAGTAATTAGACTGTCTTGATGAGGCGTAAGCGTCGGTGATTGGTACCTCAATCATACATAGAAAGATGCAAGAACAAGGTAATTTGAAGCAGTCTTCAACAACTGTGTCACCGTCTCTGAAAGAGGAGTGATACTTCTGATACCTTATAACTATTCAATATCATATTTACCAGTGATTCCGATATTCTTCCTTGATTTGCGATATAGCTGCTCAAGTCGCCACCGTTGCAATATTCTAAAACGAGGTAGAAGTGACTGGCGCTTTTCTTCAGGTCTCGAAATCGGACGATGGGGGATTAGAGCTAGTAGCAGTAGTAGTAGTGTACCCATTCACGGGTATAGAAGAAGTTAATTATGCACGTCTACACGGTGAACTTTGGGACGAGTAAAGATGCATCATGTTTAGATTCATCCACCTCAACCTAATTGGCACGTGCACTTCGACGTCGACTTACTTTTCGCGCAAAAAAACAAATACATCGAATAGGGATAGTGAAGTAGTAGACAATCACAAAAGGCATCAAGAAGAGTCAGTCGGGTATAGCTAACTTTGTGTGATCAACAAGTGCCCATGAACATAATGTGGGCTTGACAATTTCTTCAGCACAGCTACCTCCTGTTTCAGCTGTGCTGTTTCCTGCACGGTCTGCCTGGAGATCACCTTAACGGCCACGGCTTCATTCGTAGCCTCAATTTTCCCTCGCCACACCTCGGCAAAAGACCCCTTCCCTATCCTCTTCTCAAGGATGTAACCGCCAACTTGCTTCTTCGTCGACATCTTGATCTTCTTCTGCGGAGATTAAGATCAAAATCGAGGTAAGTAAGCTCCCTTTACATTCAGTCGGTGATCCTTTTCCTGTCGGTGATATAGCAGTGAGGTGATCTCCCTACATAACGAGGACTTCTCACTACATCACGTAAATGCCAGCCGAAGAGGAGCGCTCGAAGAGGATAAGAACCGTTCGCGTGGTTGACCACCACGGTATTTATCACGTCTGTAGCAGTCGCACTGCTATTTCACTCGCCAGACATCGTGGCATTGGGGATCCCAAGTCGTTCGACTCCAACGGCAGATCGAGAGTAACCCCTTGGCTCTAATATCGTGCCACGTTTAGCGGCTCAGGCTTGTAAGCAGTTTCTTGCTTAGGCGCGTTGTGTGAAGAGCGTCGTGGTGTGGTGGAAAACATGTGGATGTCTAGACCTTGAGCTTGTTCGACTTTTGTAACGGCGGACAAGAACAGCGCTTCGAGTGGTGAATTTTTGACACACACCGTAAAACACTTTAGGATAGAAGAACTTACAAAAGACTCACTCTACAAGAGCAAAAAGCATATTTCAAAAAATTCGGCAGGTTCGCATTTTATGGGGAGAAACAACGGGAGCGAGGAGGGTGGGAAACACGTAAGACTAGTCCTAGTGTGTGAAAAATACGACAAAAATATTGTGATAAAATTGCGCCTTGTCGTGTAAGACTCTAATGAGCATGGTCGTGTCACCTCCAATTGCTCTCTCTCACACACACACACGACATACTAGATAACATCCTTTTACTTCGTAGTACCGATTCAAGTGAATGAGTCTAGCAACTACATCTACAAGCGTATGTAGTACATCGTGAGACCAAAGTGCTTTCCTGCTTGTGGTTAGACGTGGTTGCTGCTGCAGTATAAAAGGTTGAACACATAGGACGCTACAGCGTGCGTTACAGTGTGGTCACCTCTTTAACTGAGGAATTATCTTTTCAAACACTTACTCAAAAAGAAGTGGTACCGTAGAGAATATCATTCTCATCAGTACCATGTCTTTTCCTTTTAACATTTTATTGTCCAAGTACTGTCATATAATATTGCGCATGACTGATAGCCGTTCAGTATGTGGTCGACCCCTTCAACCCCTGCTTGTCCGACCAAACAAAGCGCTTTTTTTTTGACCCTCGGAAAAATCGGCCAGACTCTGTACAAGACAGCGATTGCCGAGTGAAAAACAAAGATCAAACATAATTTTCCAGATACTACATTTGCAGTGCTGGTGATAACACCATAGTGCACGATGTCGTTCGGTATGTATTTTACACATTCAATTACGAAATGTTTTTCGTCGTCCGTGGTTGCGTAAGGGGCTTGGCCGTCGTTCCGCCAAATCGCCCTTGAAAAAGAGGAGTCCTCGAAGAGTAGTAGTTGAAGCAAGTGTTAGTTATACCTAGACACACTGCTACAGCTAAGTCTGATTCAATACTTTGTGCAAGTTCTCGTCGAAAACACTGATATTACCTTTAGTTCTTGAAAAAGCAATGTGAAACGTAAACTAGTAGCTAGCATCGATGTTGCTTGTTAGTAAATAGCATCTTGTATTGATCAAAAATCATCATGATATTGACTTCTTCAGATCCAGATTAGAGTGCAATTTTTAGTTTAGCGAGAAGAATTTTTTGTTCAGCGAGAAGCCGGAGGAGGTCTCAACTTGAGCGAGGAACCGTGCCCAGCCAAGTGATTGACAATCAAAAGCTGTTCTTCCGTAAGCGGTACTTTGAAACCATCATCGCCATTGAGTTCGAGCATGTCCAGGTTAGCGACAACGTAGGGATCGTTAGCCTTCATGATTCGAAAGGCATGAAAGAGCGCAAACGCAAACTTTTCTTTACTCCCCTGTTTCTGGGCTCTCCACTGGGAGGGGAGCGTGGTGTCGGTTGTGCGATCCAGCGCGGTCTTGATCTTGTTATAACTATCCTGCGGGATCGTCACCTTCTCTTGAGTCATCAATCCTTGGAAGAGAATCATCTGCATCTCCGATTGGAACGTCACCTTGTGATTTCTTTTGTTAGAGAAGAGTTTATGTGATTGCCACTATCATCTGGTCAACAGTTTATAATCCGACTTACCTAGGACTTTCCAACAAAGTCAGTATTTCTATGGACGAGTAAAGATGTAGCGTATTTCTATGGAGTAAAGATGTAGTGTAATTAATATCCCCGTACATGATTTAATACAAGTTCAAGTTGCTTAGGGGGGTTACTCTAGATAGCTCACAGCCGATTAGATGATTCAAAAGCGACGTAGAAGTTAGTACAGAAGTCCAGAACTTCTATTAGTAACAGTTAGCCAAGTCCTTCTATTACTAGTAACAGAGTCCTTCTTGCTCGAGGAACTCTAGAAAAGTAACACGCGACTAGTCTAATGAGTAGGCTTTAGTAGAGTTACAAGAGACGTAAGTCTAATGAGTAGGGTTTAGTAGAGTCACAAGGGACGTAAGTCTAAGTGCACCTCTCTGTTATAACAAAAGAGGAAATCTAGAAGCCATAACAGCAGGGACAGTTTTGATGTTGTAAGATGCCTTGTCGGTCGACGCAGAGGTGAGGCCGCGTTTTGCAAAGATCTTGCCGAGAGCAAATGCGATTTTCGCAGCAGTGTCCCCGTTCTTTTGGCCTAGTTGTGCTTGATCGTCGACATTGCGAAAGAGCAAGTCTTGCATAACGGGTGTGAGCAAACGAGTATTCTTCGGCAGTGAATTTCCGATACTGTTGTCAGCATCACCTGTGGTTCAGAGACGAAGAAAATGAAAACAACAAGGTCAAACTTTTGTTAGATAATAATCGTAATGGAGCAGATAATAATCGTTTTGTTAGATAACACTTAAGAATTACATAGAGTGCCACTAACTGACACACCCACAACAGTTAGACAACAAGACTGAATGGAGTACCTCCACACGAGCCACAACATTCGTCAGATTTGGAAGCAGTGGCTGTCGCTGTCTTCGAGTCGATATCGAGTCCAGGCATGTTCGGTGCTTGCTCAGACACAACTTTGCTCAGAGCATTGCCACCAGCATTTTGAGCGATAATTAGAGCTGTCTCAGCTGGTGCTCTACGAGCAGGTTCGATAGAAGAATGCTATATTTCACCGATAGAAGTAGAAGTATTTCATTTATACTGAAATATCAAGTGAACAGGCCAAAGCCTGAACCATTGGACCAACTGCGCAGTTGGTTCAGCGATTTAGGCGTTGGCTTGTGCACTAGGAATCCTGGATGCCGTAAGTGAACCAACAGGCAAGTAAAAACACTTTGCAGACTTTACCATCTTACAACATCCTTTTTTTGCGGATGCTGTAGTTAAGATTGTTAGTGGGGGTAGTTGTAGCCGTAATAGGATCTTGTTCTGAGCTTGACCGACGAACTCCACAACGTCGTCCGCCGGGACCGCATTACCGCGCGACGCGTTAGGATCACGGGAATTACACGTAAAGGGAATCAGAATGACTGGGCGGCCGCGCGATAAGTTGTCCTGCATGCGATCGGCGTAAAAGCCGAGTCCAGGTTTGTTCGCGTTCAGAAAAACCTCGTGCAAGTCGCTCTTCATACGGCTTTTCACATTGGTTGCAATGTCTTGAAGGCTCGTTCTCGAGCAGATCTTCAGCTTCTCCTGGAAAGAAGCGCCCTCCTTTTCGAAAGGATAAGTGAGCGGCGCGAAAACAGATCGACCTTCGATGGTGGCACTTTGGTAGCTGGCCAAGACTGGGCACCAAGAGGGGTTGGAACCGGCAAGGCATTTGGCCATAGGCGCAGAAGCCCACGAGGGATGGAAGTCGCGAATGCTCGGACAGGAGTTGGCACTCTGCTCGTCTTGGGCGAACGGTGAGTAGGATTGGTTGGGGACCTTATCGCCTGGCTTATACAGTTTCCAACCGCGGTTTTTGAAAAAGACGCCACCAGTAGAAGCCAACATAAGTTCCATATTGGCACCTGAAGTGGAAGTTTGATGGATGTAATTGGATCAGCAGGTCCATATTTATCAGCAAGTTGTACATGGCAGTAGTCGTGACACGGCTAGTAAGAGATTTAGAGCACCCTTGGAGGTCAGGAGGTCCATACTTATTAGTACTTGAAGGACGAAGAAGTATGACTAAAGGTAGAGGAATCTTTTTACTAGCATCCGAAGGATGATCAAGTATTTACGAAGTCAGTATAGAAATTATTTCAAATAGAGAAGTCAGTCTATATTTCAAATAGAGAAGCCTTGTTGCTGCATGAAGTGGCATAACAATGCGCATGGTGCATTTCTATTATGCCATGTTCTCTCTGAGAGTAGTCTATCCTCTCTGAGACTATTCTATCCTCTCTGAGACTATTCTATTCTACGCCATGTTGACTATTCCTTTATAATTATACGAAAAATCTATAGGATCATCAATACTGGTGCTCAGGCAGTAGTGTGCATCCAAACCGCGCTCATGCGGAACCAGAAGATAGACATTCTCCGGCAAAGTGAAGGTTCCCGCGTCTTGCCCCCCGTGCGCATTCCAACTGACGACACGTGGGATAATATCTGGAACATTCGCCTTGATGCGTTGCTGCTGCAGCTGGCTCAAGGAGAGACCTTGACATTGTTCGAGGACCTGGATGAAGGTCCAAAATTGCGAAAACAGCAGAGGACGCGCCATGGCGTTTGCCGCTGCGACTCTTTTTGGACATTTTCGTGTGACGATATGTCTCCTGGACACAACAATGATCGGAAGAATTAATTATGTAAAAAAATGATGATTTCAAATATTGAAGATTTTCGCCTTAGTCAGAAATCGTTACGCAAAGATGAAATCCTTTCGTGGCGAATAATGAAGTTCAAGACGGCGGTCTTTGCTTAGCGTTATAGCGAATGATGAATAGGATTAAGAAAAAGGACTATCAGGCAGTCCATCCAACGTCGAGATAGTATACTTTTGCCTTGAAAAACACAAGTAGAAGCGTTTTAGGGCGTTCTCGTTGCTGAAATGAATTGAACAAAATGAAAAATCTATCAAACCGAGGTTCAGAATAGATCTCACACTAGACCTCGCACTTACTGAGGGAGAGAAAGGGATACCATGATTATCATCTCGTCCAGACATCTTCAAACTCACAGTATAAGTACAATCCTCACTGAGACGAGGAAACAGACGACTTCGCTCAGACAGACAGGAGACATTCAGATGGCCTCACTCCGACAGAGGACGGGGCGCTTAGCTTCGCTCAGACAGACAGGAGAAAATTGTCGATTACACAGTCGCTCTTCACACAGAAAAGTCGCTTCCCATGGAGATACAGATAAACTAAAGCCGCCTTACTTCGTTACTTGCATCTATTAGAAGATTTGCCTCATTGCATATGACCTGTACGCTCGCGCTCCGTGTCCCTCGTCTAGAACGACAGATGCTGATAACACCGGTTTTTCCATATTTAGTCGCAAGTAGTAGCAGCAACGCACTGTGCAAGGGCTTATCATATTCAAAAAAGGTTGCATCACTGAAAAAATTTCTTAGCGAGAACTGCGCAGGTGTCGCGCAAGGCGTATATTTTGTCCGACCACGACTGATAACATCCGTCAACTCCAATATTGCAACGGAGATGATAGGCCACGAACATAGTAGATGTTGTTGCGAAGTGTAGACCGCCACGCGTTGCAGTATCGACCGGGAGTCAATAACTTGGCGCGGTGTTCTTGTGATCATGATTTATTCATAGTCCCCAAGTAGGATGAGAGACATTGGATCTGCCACTCACAGCGACAGACCCTCCACCCAGACCGTTTGAAGCGGATCCTCTAGACGCATGGAACGCTCTTACTACATGTGCAATAGAAGGTACATCCTTCATGCAATGTCACCTGGTACCTCCAGCTTCTTCATGCAATGTAAACCGGAAGTTTTTGGTGGATTACTCTGCGGCAAACAGGGCAGTGGTCGAGACGTTGCGAGCGGGTGTTAGACAGAGCAATGCATCTTCCTGCAGAAGGCTTTCATTCCCACTCTTCTGAGGTAGTTTTTCTGGATGTAGTTTTTTTGAAGATCTAAAGGGGATCACTAAAACCCCAGGAAGATCTAAAGAGACTGCAAGAATTCCAAAACCCATAAAAGAAGGACCCCAGGAAGATCTAAAGAGACTGCAAGAATTCCAAAACCCATAAAAGAAGGACAGCAAACGAGATGGCAGCAAGGGTAGAAGACAACTGAACTGGGCTTATCCAGGCATGTGCAGCACGTTCGGTCGGAGGATATAGAATCCTGAGGTTGTCGATAAAATTTTTATCAGTATCTGAATGTGAATGATGATCAAGAAACATTCACTCGCTCCATCTTGTTCTATACCAAAGATCAAGACCACTATCGTTAGCTTAAATTTCTATTTCACCTGCAGCTCTTGTTTTTCGGCTTCCACGGCTTTTGTGTGAGCGAAGAGCTCTTCCTTGATGGCTTTGAGGGTCTCGATTTGTGTCTGATATTCGTGTTGGTCTAGTGCCGACATCCGCCTGTAGGTCTGCTGTTGCGAGGTTAGAGGATAGCGTATTGTGAGTGGCCTTGTCTTCAAGTAAGAGTCGATGTTGATGTCACTTTCCCACACTCACCATGCATTTCCTACTTCTTAAGACATCCCTCTAAGTAATTTTTTTCACACCGTTGTCTACTTCTTATAAGACAACATCCCTCCATGTCTGTAAGTAGCTTATAAACATTTTCCCATAATTGTCTCAAGAATTCCTCTGTCCGCAACCTGCGCGCCTCGAGCCAGGCGCATCTTTTGGCCAATGCTGCTGACCGGCTTTCAGCTATGGCAGATCGCTCTTTCCAACTTAAGGTGTCCAGCTCCGCCTGATTTAGTTCTGGTTCATCTAAAACAGGTGGCGGCTCCTCTGCATCGAGGTCGGCGTAGATTTCGAGTAGACTTAGAAGAATGAAGAAGTTGGCTTTCTTGAGTAGAAGACTCTTGAGTACTTAAACTCACTGGACTGCTACATTATTCCTTCGTTCATTCATTCATTCATTCATTCATTCATTTCCCTGTTCTGGAGGTATCTTTTGACGCCTGAGCGGCTTTGAGCTTAATTATTGATGTAAAGAGAAGATAGAACGGGATTTAAATACGAAAAAAAAAATGCTTCATCTTAAAAGTTTATTCCTGGCAGAGGAAGCTGCAGACGCGCCACTTTTATTGAAGACATAGCTCGTTGTGCTTGATGAGCTATTCGCATGACCACCTGAAGAACTACTACCTCCAGCAAGACTACCCAAAGCACTGAGACCAAATCCACTAGCGCAGCCAGCCGTTGATCCGGAACTTGTTGTCCGGTAATTATTGGCGTTGTAGACAGAGGGACAATACGGCACTGGTCCAAGGGTGTTTTGGTTATCTCGTTGTGGTGAGTCGTCCCCTGAGAGTATGGTGGCGAGGCCGTCTCTGACAGCACGTGCGGCGCCGTCCAACAAGTCGAAGACGTTTGCTGCGGGAGGTGGCCGCGTACCATCGTAAAAACTCTTGAGCGGGGACAATTGGTTTTGGGAATGGTGAGAGTAGACCTAACCGTGAAAGAGATCGTAATTTACAGCTGGTGTGAGGTCGTGGGCTCGTTCTTCCTGTGCTTATAGACCTAAATAAGGAAGGCGAAATATTATAAACTATGCGCGAGGTGGGCTCGTTCTTCCTGTGCTCGAAGAGCAGAAGGTCACTCGGCTTTACATCTGATGGCACCACTAGAAACGAAAAGGGCTATCGATGCTTTAGAAAGTGAAAGGGGAGTTCGTGTTGAATACTACCGTTCATACATCTAGGGGTGTCTGGCAGGGTTTCCAATCTGGCTCTTGCAATTTGCTCAGCAGTGCGCAGGTCAGGCAGATCGGCGTCGTAGAATTGTACTTGCTCTGCGCCAAGGTCTTAGAGCCTATGAAAACCAGTCATCTCTGAATACTCACGTGGAGCATCTATCTTTCACTTTGTAATGGTCTTTCAATTCCGTACTGTTCTTTTTGAAATAGGTAAGTACTCACCACAATCACGCATTAATGCACAAGTAGGTACTTACCACAACAACCAAGCGGAAGAAAAAATCACACACATAATCAGCTCCTTCTCTCGGTGATGTCGGAGACTCGCTGACCGCGCCAGGCATCGCTTCTGTACGTCCCGCACTCGCACGATAGCGCAACGAGGAGTGTTGGGAAGCTGATGGTGCGTCAACATTGCTTTGAGATGGTCTTGCAGTCGAGGTAGACGTCTCATTTTGATTGCGTGATGAGGCAGCCACGTTGCTACTCGATGAAGAGGAATGCGTTGCACCACCTGTTGGAGCCGAGCGTCGATTAGTTGTCGCATTAGAACTAGCAGCACTGTTGTAGACGACATTCCCGTTAGACGTACCTCGTGCACGACTGCTAGAACTAGCGCCGCTGTTGGCCGAATAAGCAGATCTAGCCGATGAGACAGCATTCGTTGTGCTAGTTGCAGGAGCATTTAGTTCGGCACTAGCTCTCGTAATCCTTCTTGAGGAAGTGGAGGAAGACGCAGCTGTAGCCAGTGCACTGGTGCCACTTGATGCAGCTGCAGCATTCAGCCTACTTGAATTAGTGACACCACTTGATGAGGATGCTGGTGTGTCAGTGTGTGTCCTCCTACCTGTCGTACTTGACAAAGAACCGGTCTGGTTAGGTCTACTGCTGGTACTTGTCGCAGTCGGCGCAGCACCACCCTCAGCCCTGACGATTGGCAGATTCTGCCGGGTTGTCGTCAGTATCGCAGGATTTCGATTACCCATCGGTCGACTGCTAGTGCTTTCCGCCGTACTAGAAGATGTTGGTCTCTGTTGCCGCATTATGTCATCACTCGTCTCTGCACCGGCTACAGCGACGATCGCATCAGGAGAAGATTCTGCGTTACCCATGTTTGCTCTGCTTGAGATACTTGTACTTGCTGATCCTTGATGACAGAGGCTGCCTCCTGCTGCCCTGCTACGTCGTAGAAAAAACGGCCTCGTCGATGGAACTAAGCGCCGAAAAAAGTTCCTGCTAGATGAGGAAGTCCCAGAAGTGGAGGTCGCATTCGGGTGGTCAGACATCTTTCTTAGGGTTCCGTCGTTCCAAGACGCACTCCCCTTGCTCCTCTGCTTGTGTCCTTCAGAGATGTTGAGTTCATGTCGTGTTCTTTAGATATGAAGAGGCCATGTTCGGATTGGTCCTTCCAGTCGATTGCATTAATGGTTTTACGTAACTAGGGGGCACTCTTCACTTCTGTATAACTAAGTAGACTTGCTGCAGCTGCATCATTCGTTTTCTTGCAACCAACACGCAAAAACTCATTTGTTGTCTTTTTTCGTGCGGTAAATCTAAAAAAGCGAAGCCTCAAGGTGGTCCATTTGATATCCATCCCTACGACGCTAAACAGAGACCGTGGGGTCGTGTCACAGCCACTACAAGAAAGTTTCTTGACTCGCGGGTGAAATATTTCCTGTTCTCTCGGTGCCTCTGCTATTTGGCATGCTTGCGGATGATGAACATGGCCGATGAGTCGATGAAGATTCAACGGGACTAGTAGCGCAGTGGTGATGAGGACTCGCCGTCATCTCAGTCGATATCATGACAGACTTAGACTATTCTAGCACAGCATTCCAAAGACAACCTCTGATAGATGATGTATTTTCTTGAGAAGCCCTTTTATTGTAAGAACAATCTTGATCTTCAACATTGACGCGTAGTCGAAGAAAATGGAGTAGTCGGTTTGTGCGAGAGACGCCTTGTAGTCGTGCGATAAGAAAAAGATGGAAAAAAAAGCTCGAAACCACCTCTGGCATTTCAATATCGTCTTCCGTTTGATTGGAAGGACTACGACAGACACAGTCTTCTGTATGTGAGAAAATTAGTTTCAGATCGTGGGATTACGTGCTTAGGGCTTAGGACTAGTGGTGCTAGGAAGGTACCTGCTGTGGCCTCTGTTGTACCTACTCGTGAAAATACAGAGTAATATTACTGGAAGTACTTTAATGCAATTACATTAGGCGGAGGTGGACATTTTCGTTGTATCTGGCTGTGTCAGTCGGCCCAACTGCTTACAACAAGATGGATCATTGGAGAGCAATTTTTTGGCCCTGGTCTGTTTGCCATGAAAGGAAAAGAACATGATAAGCAGCGTCAGCGTGAGTTTATTCATTTTTCATACTCACGCTTTATCTAACAAAGTAAGCATTCAGGAGTGAGGGGATTCCTTGGCGCAGAAAACTAGGGAAGACAGCGATAGGACTTTCTGTAGCTATACTAGAGCCCGGTTGTGCGGTGCGTTACTCTTACTGTGGGTTTGGATCCTTCGCTAGTCCTCGATGTGTCGCCGCGAGAGAGAAGGGAAGGAGGAGAGATTAATCAAGTCCAGTTGCACGTTGAAGACAATCTACAACAAGTTTGCCGTCACTAATCTCCAGCATCCTTCTTTTTTAAAAAAAGTCAATGAGTCGGCACACACAAACTAAATACTTGCTTCCCCTGTCTTGAGTGTAGATTCCATACTCTCAGGACGAAGCAAGAAAAAGAACTTATAGCAAGAAATAATTGTCTGGTAACCTTCAGGTTGAGTGTAACGAAAAAAAACATATCTAGTTTAGCCGAAGACGAGAGTCTATGATATTAGATCTAATCGAGAATGAGCGAGAACTCGAGCGCTTATACTATCGTAGTCTATCATGAGTACGCGAAGATCTTCAAATCATGCTTGTTTGTCTTTGTATTTGGATTTTTTCATGAAATATCTATAGCAGGCGAAGAAACATCATTAGATACGAGCCCTATGATCGTGACTATTATGTCTAAGTAGGTGTGCGTCGCTAGCTTCAAAGTGTGCTTCGATTTCTTCAACAGCGTATAAGTAATCATCTTGTCCCCCTTCCAGAAGTTCTCGTCACCTATCTCCTGACATCTCGTCATTGCAAGAACAACTCGACGTCGGTACTAGCGCCACCCCAAGAACCACCTGCTGATAATCATAGTACGCCTTCAAAAACACAATTTAACTTTTAATTTCCATCACAGTATAATCGCACCCTGTAGAAGTTCTACCGCTACCTCTGTGTAGACAACTTACAGAACTTCTAATACACGACCATCAACGTTGCTAGAATTAGCACATGCACATAATTGTGAAAAATCCTAAATAATCCTGAGTTATCTATTAATGTTGAAACAACTAAAAGAGTCGTGTCCTAACCTCCGCTCATGTGCGGAGGGTGTAGATGACGCATACTAGTCATGATACGGTGTTAGTACTATTTGGAGTTTTTCCCTTGTCGTGTTATAAGGAACCTCTGTCTAAGGAAGATTTAAGGGTTTTTTTCCCACCTCTGTTGAAGGAAGATAAAAGGCACCCCTACGCCAGGTTCTACATGAATGCTTTTGCCGATGTTGAAGTAGTAGGAGCGTCTCCTTTCAAAGTCGACGCTGGACCTGTGCCTTCTGGTGCAGGACTAAATCGTTGTATAGGACTCGGCAAAACAATCTGCTCTCGCGATAGCTCTCCATTCGAGGAGCTTCCATTCACCCCTTGTTCCACTGCCTTGTCTACTACACCAGAGACTACACCAGAGACTACACCTGGGCCAGCAGAAGATGTCATCTTGTGTGAACCAGTTGCACTAGATAGACCACTAGATGGAGCTACTCCTGAAGAACCGTTTTTCCCGTTACTATGTTGAGACCCTGGGAGGACTGCTCCTACTGCAATCATGCTAGGGCTGTGGTAAGAAGCCGAGGACTCACTTTTCTGTGTCGACAGGCCGGAGGATTCACCAGGAACCGGAATGTCAGCCAAGCCGCTTTTCGGGACCAATTTCTGATAGCAAATCGCATCCGCTGCGACGCCCTGAAGATGTGAGTGAAAGAATATTTAATTTGTGGGTCAACTATAGGATTTTTTGTATGTTGGGATCCATGATGGAAGATAGTATCCTATGTATATTGATTTTCATCTTTAGTGCAAAATGCTTCGCCATACAATATATGAAAGAAACGTTGTTATTCCCAACCCCATGATCTTGTCTTGTTGAGCAGGTTGTTCAAGCAGACACCGAAGTAGCATCACTCAACTCTCACTCTCGTAACGAAGAAGGTAGGCAGAGGTCGCATGTATAATAAGTAAAGCTAAAAAAGCATATAAGTCCGTAGCAAAGCTTCTCCTCCTGAAGTGAATTGGAACTTCTACAGGTCAGATCGGTGAGCGCTACGTGTATAAATTGTCCATTACCTGAAACTTAATCACCGCCGTGATGAATCCCATATCGAGTTTCTGCTGTGCGAACTGTGGGAAACAATCTCCATAGTAAAAGACAGTTCCCTTTGGTGGTCCGTTAGTTTTCCCGTTTGTTTCTGGTCCCTCTACCCAGAACGCCGCATTTCCTCTGGTCAGGTCGATTTCGCACCAGATGTAATCTCGGTCCTCGAAGGGTCTCACGGAAAACTCCTTACATCTAGTGACGTCCGCTTTCCGTCTCACGCAGACAATGCCTTTTCTGCTCACGAAAACAGACTGAATTCGCTGAATATTCTTGGCGCAGGGTAGCTTGTTGGAAAAAACGAAACCAATGCCGTCTGCCATAGAAAAGCCATTCACTTGGTCGACGTAGTCGCGTTCTGTGATGTTGGAGGTAAAGGTTGCAGAGAGTTGTAGATAATGCTCGGTGATGTTGGTGAGCAGATATTGAAACTTCAAATTATACTTGTTTTTCCTTATTTTACTCTCTATCTTTATTTGTGATTCAAGTAAGTAGGTAAAGCAAGACAGCACAAAAAAAGTTGTAATGCTTCACTACATGGCTTTCGTAGCAGAAATACCTCTAAACCGTATGCAATATCGGTGTCTGCCTCCATGACGAATTCTGTCCTCCGAAAGTGTACTAAGCAAGTCGTCATAGGCGTCGTTTTTGACGAAAATTTGAGAGTCGTTTTCTAGCGTGCCCATGCGTAGGGACTCTTCGTGCCATATAAGCGGTTCTGTAACCCATTCCTTATCGTCTTCTATAGGCATTTCCGTTGCCTGCACATGCCGCTCACAAATGCCAGTGATAGGCCAAATGGTGCGGGAATCTGGAGGTTGAAATAGATTGTCATTGCCGTAATCTAATAAAAGCAAGGGTGAGTGCTACGTCGAAGTAAATAATGTAAATCTGGTCCTGGTGTGAAGATTTGAGATTTTCCTACTACTCGAAATTCTTCTTCTTCAGCAATCTTTTATGTAAGTTTGTTGTGGATGTCCTTGTTGTCCCTAGTCTTCATGTACTCGGGCCAGTTCACGTCCACGCAACGACAAAGCGAAAGCTAAGTACCTTTTGCCGCTTTCCCTTTTCCCTTTGCATCCCATTCTTGCCATGACGCTCCCTTATCTCCTGCTCCCCAGCCGCCTCTAGCTGAATCCCAGCCTTTGGTTTCCCACCCATTCTTGCCTGTATCCCAACCACCCTTCGCTGCATCCCAGCCGCATTTCTTAGAGGGGGAACGGAATTAGGTACATTCCTCAGGACATCGTTTTCCTCGGCTTCTTATTCTCTTCTAGAAACAAAGCGCCAGGGAAGATGGTAGTGAGGAATTCAATTCGGAAACCCTTAACTCTATGTTCCCACGATCCACCTCTGGTATCCCAAGAGCTGCCTCTTGCCGCATCCCACCCTCTTGTTGGATCCCAGCCTTTTGCGGGGTCCCACCCTCTCTGCGGGTCCCATATACCTTTAACTGGATCCCAACCCTTATTAGACCTTACGGATGATCATCCTAAAGAGCATCTTGGCATAACTGTATTCCCCTTACACGACTCTTCCACCAAGATGCCTCTCAAGATAAAGGAGGAAGTCTTAACCTTAGCCGCATCCCATGTTGTGCCTTTCCCTGACTCCCACGTACTTGAGGCCGCGCCTTTGCTAGGAGGCCAAGAGCCTTTGGACCCCCAGGTAGAGCCCTTGGTGGTTGCCGTTGCCTCCGACCACCAGGAAGCATTCTTTCCGTCTCCATTCGATGCTGATCGGTCCTTGCTAGACTTGGGGCCAGAGGATCCACGGGAGTTAGGAGAAGAGAGAGAGGAATCCTTCTAGGAGTTTTTACGGGGATGGATAGGAGAGATAGGAGAGATGATAAGTACGCTAGTAAGCATGTCCTTCTTGGGAGAGTTGAGAGTTGTACTTAAATCTTGAAACTTATTCTACATGATAATCGTGCGAAGAGAATATTTAGCTCAGTAAGCTTTCGTGGACCGAAGAGGAAAACGAAAAAAAGCACTTCTATTGAATGAGAATAAAAGATGTTAGAATCTCCTCATCAAACCGTAACTTTCGACCCTGTCGCTTTTGTTGCATTGGATGCATCGGTTTTGCCAGATACCGTAGTAAGCGGCGCAGCGCTAGAGGTTGCCACTCCTGAAATCGCAGAAGCCGCATTCTTTGCTCCGCCTATGTCACTCTGGTAACTCAGTGCACTGGCTAAGTGCCCGCCTTTACTTGCTCCTTCGAGTGCGCGAGGGTCAATATAGCTGTCAGCATAGCTGTTGAGGCGGTACAGGCCGTGATCTGACGCAGCAGCTGAGGCAGCGGCGGCTGCTCCGACAGACTGTTGTGGGTTCGTTGTGTGTGGTAAGTTAAATCTTCATGTTTTGTTTGAAAATTTGGTTGACAGTGGAATCGAATCGGTAAGTTCGAAGCAAGATGAAGATCTTTTTTCAAGAGCATAAGTCCACCGTAGATCGGAATCGATGCAGATTTCATTAAACAAAGGAACTCGCTGTTCAAGAAGATAAGATTCCGAATAGTTGTACTGATGGTGCCGCCGTCGCGAATGGATATGCGCCTGGTGGATATTGCGGCATTGCAGCTGCTTGTAGTCCGGCATAGTAAGCGGCTGTTGCCGGATGGTGTGCTGCCGTTGCAGCCGCGTAGTAGTGCGCTCCATAGGGTATTCCTGCTGCCGCATGCGCCGCCACGTCCGCATGTTGTGGTGACAAACCTGCTGCTAATGCCTGTGTGATTTGCAACTGGTACTGTGCTGCTTGGTGTTCGAGCAACGCGTTGGTGTGAGCGGCTGCTGCTTGCTGCGCTGCTGCTGCGGCAGCTGCCGCGTCGACCATCAGGGAATTATGGGCTGCTGCAGCGGCGGTAGTGCCGGAATGCGCAGCCGCGGCTGCTGCAGGAGCTGAGCCGTTGAGCTGGAAAGCAGCGGCTAAATAAGCATTTGTCCCAGGCGACTCAGGTTCTCCCGGAGAATATTCACGGGGGTCAGGAGAAGCGGCGAAGCGACTCCTGTAGATCGTGTAGGGAACAAATGGAGTGATGTATCATGTAGTTGAACAAATAAAAACGGAGCTTCATCAAGCAGAGACTTTTTCATCGTGGTCAATTTAAAAGAAAAATTTTTATAATCGCTGAATACATCATGATGAAATAAAAATCTTATTCGCTGCATACATCATGATGCGCCGTTGCAGTCATCAATGAAATAGGCACTATCTTTCCGCAATAATAGCCTAGGAGTAAGAAAAAGTACTGGTCTTCAGCTATTGGTTCCATTCGACTGCGTCCTGCGGCTCTGCTGCTAGCTGAGGAAAGACCTGTGAGAAATTTTCTTCGACGAGGTAACAATATTAACAGGCTGCATTCTCGTCAATTAAATTTTTCAACAAAGTTCAAAGGCGCATTGATTCTCGTCAATTAAATTATAAACATTAATGTTTAATTATAAAGGATCTTCGTGGATCAAAACAAAGTTTAATCATAAAGGATCGTCGTAGAGGATCAAATAGTACCAGGTGCAGGCGCGACTCTTGACTCGCTATCAAGTGGACCTGTGCCAGGTGTCCGTTTTTGTTTGTACTCCGTATGAGCAGTTGCTGGTAGGGACTTAGTTTTCTCCAACATTCCACCTCTATCCTCTTCTTCGTCCGAGACGATCTCTACGAAGGTCCGAACCATCTTCACTGCTTGCGACATTTCGGCAAAGGAGAAGAGACAAAAGTACTAAGATGAAGATGAAGTACCTAGTACTGTGGATGTTTTTAGCAGTATTTTTTCCTGTCCGAAGGAGGATATTCCGATTCGCGCGTCTTTACGGAGAAGATGTTGATGATATTCTTGTGGAGGTGTTTCAAGTGGTTGGCAAGCAATGTAGCGTAAACGTTAGGGTTCTGCTGCAAGTCCTTGTCGTATAGGAAAGAGGGTAAGTTCTTGCCTTGTTCTCGTGTGAAGGAGGAGGAGGTCAGTAGCATCCCAATTTTTGTTGCGTTCTTATGAAGAAGCAGTTGCGTTGCAGGCGTTTTGTACTCGTCGTTGAAGATCTTGAATTCGTACGCTAGTCCTAGTAGTTTCCATGGTACGGGAGAAGAACTCCTCTGTTTCCAAGTGGCCGCATGTATTCCAGTAGACGCTGCACTTGTTTATCCCTTTCTCCGACGACGATGCAAGGAGGCAATGGGGACCACAACGAGGCGCAACGAGGAGTATAAGATAGCAAGGTCCAAAGCTTTTCACCAAGAAGGAGTAACAAGATAGCAAGGTCCAAAGCTTTTCAATAAAACGCTTCTATATTCTTGTTGATGCATGCAACACTCCAGGTGGATTGTCAATCCTCGTAGACGAAGACCTCGTAGAGCTCCTAAGATTGGTGTGCAGCACTGCTATCTGTATCTTAGACGTAGACCTCCTTCTATAAGGTTGGCCTCCTAGAAGGTTGGTGTATAGATACTACTATTTGACCCAAGGTTAGCAGAAACAACAATCTGTATCTTCTTTTAATAGTCCAGTAAATACACCAGTTGTGATATGGCCTTTGCAAACACCAGTTGGATAAAAGACTTCTTCAGAAAAACAAAAATGGAAAGCAGCTACTACCTCTTGTTCGGCTCCAAATCACAACTACACCTTTTCCTTTTCCTTCTCGGTAGATTATTATGTTAGAGATGTGATAAAAGGTGGATCTAGAGGAGGTTGCGGAGTTAGTTAGATAGGGTGGGTACTTAGATAGGGTCGTTACTTAGATAGGGTAGTTCAGAAAAAGGCGACTAGCCAAATTTAACAAGCTGCCTCTTCGCTAATCCCCTTGTACCCTTGTAGGTGAACTACAAGAAGGCTTAGCATATTAAGCTTTTTGTTTTTAGTACCTCACAAGAAATTCCCTAATTCACTTACATACGGACATCATTCATCAACAACAGCTTGTAGTTCTTTGATGCGCCAGAAAATACACAGCTTACGTGCCACTAGATCAATCAAATTAGTCTACTCTAAATAATCTAACAAATGATTAAGATAATCTCGAATCCAAGAAAAATCCATGTGCGATGTTCAGGGCTCCAAACAGCATAGACAACTTGGTGCAATAGTAAACTTCAGCAAGAGACAAGGGAAGGTGGAACAAATCAAGGTAAGGTTCACTAACTCAAATATCGATATGATAAGTGTAGTCAATTCTTTCCGTCAGGTTTTATGTACAACCAGGTTGTGGCTGGCGAGGCAAAATTGACCTATAGTCCGTCTATAACCTCCAATCAAATTACTACTTCCTAATATAAAAAGATAGCTCTTATATCATCGATTTCTTAAAAAGTTGAAGCTCTTCTCTAGTAACGCATCATGCAAGAAGTGGTTCTAGAAGTTGATGTGGAAGATATAGTTGGCCAGGTCTTGATATGGTAGGTGGATAGCTGGTGTATAGACGGCAAGGTCTTCTTGATATCATGGTAGGTGGATAGCTGGTGTTAGTGTCAGGTAACTACGTGTCACAAGGAGTACTTGTAGTTCCACATAAGCAGATAAGATATCCCAGCAGTTTTATAGATGAAGTAAACGAATCCATTTTTTTAAGAAGAACTACTACTACAAAGATTGGGAACCTTTTTTTTAAGATTGGGAACCTTTTTTTAAGAAGAACTACTACATCAAGGTAGTTAGAGCTTTAATACTTTCTATAGTCGTGTTGGTATAACTTGCGAGACTTCTCAATAATCTTTAGATTTAAGATGAATAACGTAGACCACGGTGTAACTTTCAAATACTTAGAAGATTTTAGAATAACACGAGCCAGCTTTACATTCAGGGAAGCGATCAATTTTCTTACGTACAACCAGTCTTTTCGTTTTTACTTTTACACTTTCAACAATAAAAGGACAACATCAAGGTAGAGTTTTTCATGGAGCTTCGAGGTTTACCTCACCTTGCTGACTCCTCGCCCAAACACTGGAAATGGTTAGGTTAGGTCGTTAACATTCGAGTCTTTTCATGACATGAAGCTCGAATTGAGCCTTTGAATGCTTGTTGTCAACATAAAATCCTGAGATCTTGTTCTTTGCTCTCTGGTCAGAGAAAAAAAAGGATCTTGATCTTCATTGTTCTGATTTCAGTTCTTTCCGGAGAAGAGATTCTTGCATGTGGAGTGATTAGTCGTTTCTTGGAGTGAACTTTCATCAACTCGAACTTCTTCAAATCCAGTGCTCAAAATTTCTGTCCGCTAGATGTAGCGGAGGATCTTAATCTTTGTGCTTCAACTATGGGGCATTTATTGAACTCTGGCTCTCCTGATTCATCCAGTCATCATCGTCTGCACTTCCCCATTCATTTGAAGAGAACAAGTAGCACATCGCTTTCGCGGTAGTACTAGCGTCGACTACAGCTCGGCGAGTTAACGCACCAACAGCTGCGGTTGCGCACCATGGACGACTCATTCCAATCTTTGCACCATGTTGGGAACTCAAAAAGTTCCAAGCGAACTATCTGTGCAGGCTGCAAAAGAGTGGAATTATAACCTTCAAGAACATCTCTTGCGTCATCAGGAAACAAGAACTGAAGCTCTTAGTCAAAAACAAAATGCACAGGACCATACAGTCGTGACCGTAGAAATCTCACATAAGCAGCATTAGTACCCATCCAAAATCTCGATTGTTCGGAGAAAAAGCTCTGTCTCAGGCGGTCGTAACTAGGTATAACGCTAATCATGGCATTAAACGATGCCAACATCTGAGTTTTTGGCAAGAATAGGGGTCTCCTGTGAAGAACTTGAACACTAGAACACCGACTTCTTAGGTTAGGTTAGGTTAGGGCCTACCATCCGACGTGGTAGACTTAAGCGGCTGCTGAAGAGCCTGGCAAACGTGCTGCACTACAAGTTGCTTACTATAGCCTAGCTCAAACCTGGAAAAAATGCAGAGAAAAGAAGAAAACAACCGATCACTGCCACTGAAGGACCATGTATATCGTCATATCATACAACCGTGTTGTGTGGTACTGTACGTTACGGGTATGCCTTATGCTTTGTACTATTTCTTCGTCGAGACTCAAACCTCCGTGATACATACGATTTCTTCTCTAATGATTTCAATTCTCCTTTAACATCAGTAATTCGAACAATAAAAGGACATAGTTGTAGTTGTTTCTTTTTCCATGCCAAAAAGTCGCCAAACGCCTCTAGGCTCCGCCAAGCGCGTGGCAGTTCAGGCTATTTTTTTTTTAGATTGGTCCGAATCACAACATCAAGAGTAAGCGGAGAAAGTTCAAGACTTCTAGCAGATGCAACGAGACATCATCATACCAGAAACACATTATATTGCAAAAGAAAACAATTATTGCAATGCAATTACACACGTATGAGCTATGAGAGCTTAAACACCACAACTAGCCTGATTTTAGTGCAAACACTTCTGGAAGCACTCTTTGCTGCCCCATCCAAATTTGGGAAGGGAACGACCACACACTTCTACTAGAAGCAAGTTGTCTTCGTTGTCTACTTACCATTCTGTATTCAATACCATAAGCTTTTTTCTCGACGTTCTAACGATAATAATTCCGCACAATAGCTTTTTGATCAAGTGGCTGAATATATTTAGTAACCTCTGCTAGGATAGGAGTTCTTAGTAACAACGCAGTAGCTGTCGGAGTTCTTAGAAGTAACAATAATGCATTCTTCACAGGTGTATCATCGAGACGTAGTTTTTCTTGTATCGAAAATCAATAGCCTAGTGCAAGAACAAATGAGACTTGGAATCTTACCTATAATCACGATCATTGAAACCTATTTGGAGAACAACGTTTACTTTGATCCTAAAACTGTCAGTCGCGCGAAACCACTGCCACGTCCCTCCCAGTGGTAGAAAAAAGTAATGAATTTGTTTGCGGAAGGGTGAGGCAAGAGTCAGAGCCACGTGGATGATGCTCTGACGCTACCTCTACCTCTGCGGCAAAGGGAGCTCAATAGTTGTACGGGGTTCCTCATTGGAAAATTGCATTGAAAAAGCAAATGGTGCTGACTTTACAGGCGTTCATAGTGCTTGCTACCAAAAGGCATCAATATACGACTACAAGATGTTTCAAGCCGAGTTGTAGATGCCGTCGCCGCGTACAAATCAATTACCATGATGTTACATAAATGATAAATCCTGTAAATAGCCTAATTATTCTACGAGACAGCTGTAAGAACTTCCGCTGCAAAGGACAACGCCATGTAAATGTCCGTTGTCATACGGTTGCGCGATCCCGAGTCGTGCTAGCTCGATTGATTTTCATAGAAGGTCAGAAAAAGAACTATAGATATCTATGAGTCGACAAAAAACTATGAACATTTCATGAGAGACGCAGCACTGTCGACATCGAATAATGTCTTCTTCAGTCCTAGAAATGTCGCGCTGGCGATCCAACAAAAATGCCCATGTTAATGAGCAATTTTTCTAGACAACACCAGACTAGATCGCATTACATTTAGGTCGCATAAGGCCGTGCTGAGAGACTTTGCTCCTACTCTATGGCCCAACTACAAAGCGCAAAAAATTTGTTCATTTTTGAATATCGAACGAGGCTGGAGCCGCAGATTATATCATCATAGAGACATTGACATTTTCTAGCCGACTGCGTAAATAAGAGTGTAGTTCGGAGTCCCTGTATGGGGACGCCATGAATATATGTGGTTATAACAGAGAAGAATATGAAGATTAGAAAACGCAAACTCCTTGTGAAGACATATCTAGAACGTGCAAAAACAAAAATGAAAAATGTTCATACTGCTCATCGTTTAAATATTGAGGCAAAATAAAACGGTGACCACCTTAGAGCACGAAGTCACGTTCGGTCATGTGCTTGCCTCTTGGTGTCGACTCCCCATGAACTGCTTTGGATACGCGTGATGCCGTAATCGTCATAACTTTCTCGTTCACCACATCGTCACCCCACATACTGCGCATGCCTGTGAGCGATTTAAGCATTTAAGGGACGAGCAGGGAGGCTTTATTTATTACGAAGGAAATTGCTCGCGGCCAGATGGATTATATTGGGGGGAAAAGACGACCACCACGCGGCCCCCCGCGCCGACGCCCCACGCAGGTAGATCGGGGGCGCAGCTAGTTGCTACGCCCATGCGTGCTTGTAGTGTGCCCCAGCAGATCGACAGCCATGCACTCAACGCGCACTACCTCCCACGAAGCTGGCCCGCGGGTGTGGCACACTCTTCGCTGAGCTGCATCGCGAACACGAAGAGCAGCGCATACATGCCAAGGGGTCACAAGCGTTGGAGAAGTCTGCCAGGAGGACCCAGCTACCCCCGAAACGCAATCCGAGAACACGAGCAAAGCGGGCCGAGCCCCCACACAAGAGCAAACCCCAGTCTTCCACGACCCGCACCCAGCTGGCTAGCAAGCCAAGCCCGCCGCTGTTGAGCATGCTTGCGCCACCCCGGTAATGCTGACAAGCGTCACCGATGAAGCCAGAAAACCCAACAAGCAGTTCAGCACCCTCCGCCAAGGATGCCGGTGGCAATGATAACGCGCCCGCTCTTCGGCAGCCCCACCGGTGACCACTTTCGCGGATGATGGTGGACGAATGCCACACGGCGCCGGCGCCCTTGTAGCTCCTCCAAAGTCTCGCATGGCGCTAGCGCGCTGGCCACCCCTCCGGTGAGTTCCCCGGGCCTCCTCCGTCACAGTTGCCACGGGCACGGCATTGCCGCAGATCGCACTCATGAGAGACACCCGCCAAGCGTCAGAGCCGGCGAGCCTTGCTGGCTGATGGGGGAAGACAGCGCGCGAAAGTCCCGACATTTTTGGCCCCCAGAAGATTACGGCGCGACACTTATACCACGACGCCACCCACCCTAGTGGTGACACGCGTCGCCCCCAGCTGACTGCGTGCGTTCGTCCGCGGCTCCGGCAATGCTGTCGCGGCGGTGCGGCCTGCGTGTCCGCGTCCGTGGCTCCGCCAATCTAGTGGCGGGACGCAGCGCCGCTCTCCTTTTTGTACCTTCACGACAATGGCCGGGACATTCGGCCCGAATCCTATCGGGCCAGGGAAGACCCCGGGCCCGCCACCTGCGATCGCTGCCCCAGCTTGGAGGCGTTGCAGCCTGTACGGACAGTGTGATCGGTCAGGAATCACCATGAGAAGACAAGAAGTGGAATGATACCAAGTAGGTGCCTCGCGTCGTTAGCAGCATATTCCAACAGAAGTGCGTTTAGCGGCCGCTTCCCCCATTCTCCTACATTCTCATGCAGCGCAGTCCCCACTTCCTTCAATCGTGTGATGCGTGCCTGTTGCTAGTTATGAAGAAGTGGATGGGCCGAGGCCTTTCTACTCTACGAGTGGTGGTAGTATACATTCTGAAACTAGAAGATTCATCCATGACCTCCACTAGAGGATGATGTAGTAGTAGTAGTAGTGTACCCAGTCTCGAGGTATATGTATTTAGTAACACGATGAGTGTGCCATTCCCAATTGGTCTACTTAGGATTTGGAATCTCTATTCATAAGATGGCGTCAATCCTTTGTACTGTCGCAGGCAACGCGAAAGGCCCACTAGGAAGAGATGTTTTTCCTTGCCGAATTTTAACGAAAACAGCACTTGAATGTCATAGAGACACTTTGCGTCCACGCCAAATTGGTGGTATAGCTGTTAAGTGTTTCAGAAGATAGGTTTGATTTTGAAGAAGATAGTCATGTCAGTGTAAGAAGTAGTTCAGAGCCATGACAATCGGGATAATCAAAGTAATGGGAGATCTTCTTCAAAGACGATACTTAATCATTCGACCACATACATAGAAGTACCGCATCATTATCTGCTCTGCCATCGAAGAGCACTTTCAACAGAGTCGGGTCCTCTAGTATCCGCTTCAAACCACACTCGTGAAACAATGGCCGTCCTAGAGCGCACACGTCGAATAGGTAAACTGGCGAAAGGTCGTTACAGACTTGAATCAAGCAGATCTGACCGTTGCGACATAGTTTTTCTCCTTCCACATCCACCGCAAGTGGCATGTTATCCTCTTGCAGGTTTTGCAAGACCGTCTTCGCAGTTTCGAGACTGGAGGAAAGAAGAAAATGTTTTCAACGAAAGACTATCCTTGGAATTTAAGGATAAAAAGTGTTAATTGAAGAAGACCACAAGTGAGATACTTATATAATATCGAGGAAACGTGATATGTTGTGCACTGATTGATACAAGTTGGTCAGATTTAGATATCGCCTTAAGCAACCACATAAATCCATATTACTCGTCAATGAAACATATTGTCTTTGCTGCTGCGGTCGGATTGGGCTGTGCATCGGTCAAAGACGGTGCCGTAGCCATTGACGCTAACTCGGACTTGCAATCCTCGCCAACTCGTAGATGGGGCAATGCCTGTTGAAAAGTTAAAAGAGGTCATGCGCAGGCATCATAATTAATGAAATTTTGCCAACTACATCTTTTTCTGTTATTAATAAGTCAAGGTTGTCAGTTTCCAGAAAATCTTGAATGTTGTCAAACGCAGAGAAAAACACACAAAGGCTTCAAATTCTGGTAGTACCACATTCACCCGGTAAGACGTAAACACAGCGCCGCCAGCCTTGTGTCCTTGAGAGCGAAGCATGCGCTTTATTTCCACAAATGGGCGTCTGGTCTCGTGATCGTCACATCTCGAGCAAGGCGACGACTCTGCGTCCGACAACTGCGGCAGTTTGTCGTCGGGGTGGGCTATGTTGTGATTAGATGTGAAAAAGAAGTAACAGCGGTTGACTACTACTGGAGGAACAAGAAAACAGAGGGGTCATGTATCGTTGCTTGCGTGGAGCTGGATGAAGTTTCTTCAATATTACTAGCGATGTATCACCTGTATCATCTCTAAGGTTGTTCCTAATTAGCGAATTATAGCTGTAGCTTAATCATGCATAGTAATTAAAAGTTTTTCCCCATCATACATAGTAATTAATCGTATATAGCTCACGATCTTAGTACCCTGCAAGCTAGTACCCTGCAAGCTACTTTCGGTCAAGCTTCCGGGACTGATATTCCGATTGCTGGTTCGAGGAGGTGTCGCAACAACCTGAAAAGTCGATGTCGCTTCTGCATCACTTGAGGATGCAGCCGCCTGAGAATTTAACGGGAAATGTTAGAGAACTACAAGTCTTCCATTGGAGAGAAGCTCAAAACAGACTCAAATTTTTGGTGCTTCTAGCCTTAACCCCCCTGTGCAGTATGAGGTCGTTCACCGTCCACAGCGCTTTTGTCTTGTGTAGACGCCGTTTCCTTGCTAACGGCTGGATGATCGCACTCTTCTGCTGAGCCTTCTTCTTGTTGGAGCCAGGTCTGTTGTGTGTTTATTAGGTTTGATATTTATTGGTAGAGACAACATAGACGAATGAAAGATTGTTTCATTATGTTGGCGGGTGCAGTACTTATTCTACTTACATTCACACTCAACACGATCACGACTTCTTAGTTTCTTTTAATCTTGTTGGAACTCGAATCAATTGTGGATCGACGAGAAATCATATACCAATAAAGGCGAGGATTGCTTTCCTGCAGTTTCTGGGTCACTATTGCAACCCTCGACCTCATTCAACGAAAGCATGTGACTTCTCGCCAACGTAAGTGCGGCGTCCGATACTGATCGCGTCCGTGTCTTTTTGGTCTATGAAAAGAGCTCACAAGAAAAGGAACTATTGTGGTCAAGTTTGTTTGTAGGCAACTAGTGTAAATGCAGGCATTTCCTTACTCTTTCATGTTGTCACAATCGATTTGATGTAAGTACAGGTGCGTGACAGTTCAGAGCTACCACTCGATGTAAAAACTATACGGATAGTCATAAGACAGCGTGAACGCTCTTCGAATCCTCATCATCCTGGTTGCAGCTACTGCTACTACATTCTTCGCTCTTTGCTAGAACTTCGACACTCCCCGTTTGGTGCCCAACGTTCGTCTGTAGTGGGTAGTTCTGTGCCGGGTCGCTAGTGTTACCACCATTGAGTTCTGGAGGGTAATCGCTAATCGGGGAAGCTAGAGCTGGCGCAGTGCCGAATGCTCCCGTGGATTGCAGGAAGTTAGAAGACGAAGATTTGTTACTTTCCAGAGGAAACAACTTTTTTTTACAAGGTGAGACGGAACAGCAAATGCACGTCGGCATTTACTTAGAGACTCATCCTTACGATGATCGGCATCAAATGATGAAGATGATCGGCATCATCTATCTCCCTTAAATTGAGGAAGGACGTTAGTAGTCCCGATGCCGACAATATCGTGTTGTAAGAGTGGTCCGTCTGACTGGCCCCCCATATTTGTCACAGATTGTTTAGTGTCCCAGGACTGGTAAAAAGAGTTGTAATCCATTTGGCCTGTCGCCTGTTGCTGTCCTGCAAGTCCTGCTCCCAAAAGAGATTGTTGCTGGTGAAACTCCTGCTGACCTATGTGGTTTTGGGTGAATAAGAAGATGAGCGGCTACTGGGAATTCATGTGGAGTCACGAAGTGATACTAGGACTCTAAAACTCATTTCTAGTATAATGAGGCACGTACTAAAAGTAGGACCTCCCGTCATGCCGGCACTTGTGGCTCCTTGCATCGCTAGCGGCATCTGCATCATGTTGCCGTAGGTATTATTCATTGACGCTGCGCCAAAACTGTTGGTAGGAGGAAGAGCAGACGATGCATAGTTGGGTGGGCCCACAGTGGTGGGTGTGCTGATGTTGCCCATACTACTACCTTGTCCCACGTGTCCCATGCCTGCCATGGGCAGAGCTCCAGCTACCATAGTGGGTAGTGCAGGATTTTGGTAAATGCCAGGTGTTGTTGGAAGGCAAGGCATAGCTGAGTGCGCAGTCTGCGACACCAACATGCTGGAGGATGCGGGACTGTTCATCATCATCGCGGATGTTGGCGCATTGTTGTATGCTTGCTGCTGAGCCATCATGTTCTGCATATGCTGCGTCTGTTGTTGTTGTACCAAAGAATGCTGATGCTGTTGTAGCTGCTGCATGTGCTGCAATTGCTGTTGCTGTTGGAGTTGTTGCATCTCCTGCTGCTGTTGAAACTGCTGCATTTGTTGCTGATGTTGAAACTGTTGCATTTGCTGCTGCTGCATAGAAGCTGGACATCCCTGAAACTGGTGCAGAGGAGTCATAGCCATCGCCGCTGGTGTGCTGCTGTTGTGAATCATACTACTAAATGCCGCGCAGCCGTTCGCAGCCCCTCCTGTACCAACACCAGAGGCCCACGCATCACCTTGCTGCCCTGGCACTTTTAGAAGAGATGCAACATTCTGCAATAGTAACAATGGACGCACTTCCCTGAACGCCATGCGAGAGGCAGCAACAATGTGGAAAGCTTTAGTGGCTGTTTGCCAGGCGCTTCTCCCTTGGAGGCGCCGCCAGCTTTCTTCAGCTGAGGCATCTGCTTCGAGACACCGACCTGCCCGCGTCTCCCCAAGCTGGACACAGGTGACAACGAACTGTAACCAACCACCTGAGCGCGGGCGCGCCCATCTTACAGACAGCAACCGCAGGCGAGAGCCTGACCGCTGCCCCACCTACCACAGCCGAAACCACCACCACCACCACCCCACGGGGCAAAGTGCCCGAACATTCGCCGAAATTCAGACCACAACAGAGCCCGGGGGCCCCTTAAGCTCAAGCGAAACTGATCGACAACACTCGCCAATCTCGCCACTTTCGTAAGCTGCTCCGGGGCTGTTTCCATGCGTCTCCCAGGTCGCCAGCTTGACACCAGACACCGGCCAAAGAGCGCGCGACCAGCGTGGACCCACCCCCGCCAAATGTTGCAAGCCCTGCAGCATGCCAGTTATGCTTCCAAGGCAAGCGCCCCCCTTTGGGGGCGGCGTGCCTGCCTGCTGCCGGTTTGGGAGTACACCGGCGCACCATGTGACCAAGCACGCTCCTTCCACTGGCTTGGAGAATGTTGCAGACTCATAGACGTCGCGCCGTGTCGGTGCTTTCAAGGCACTCAGCTTTGGCATGCCTGCGTCTTTGTACGAGTCTGGCCAGCTTACGCCCGGCGTGACCCCTTGTGGCGATCCCCTTAGTGACACGCACCGCGCTGCTGTTTGGAGTTGTTTTCGAGTTACTCCCCGACGTAACCCTACACCCGTACAGAGAATCGCCCAGCTTTTCTTCCTCGTGGTCCTTTGCTCGTTGTACATTGTGGCTTTGGATCACATCTCTGGGCCTCAGATCAACGCCACGAGGTCAGGTGTACCCTCCAGATGTATTCCCAAACCGAGCCTCCTGACCCTATGACCCGCGAGGCGGCAGTCCATCACTACTACGGGGACTGCGAGCCCACTTTCTCGCGCCTTTCTTCAAGCGAACCACAAGGGTGCGCCCGCGCTGGCTCACCGCTAACCTTGAAACCCCGAGCCACGTCGCCAGACAGCACCATAAAGACGAGAGCGCATCGAAGCAACATGGGGCCGCCGTTTTTCCGCAGCTTTGACCGCTCCCCCGTGGCGTTGCCTCACCCAGTTCAACATCCGAGACCCCACCACCAAGAAGCTGCGCGGCGTCTACGTGTGGAACAATCAGCAAGAGCCAAGGCGAAAGCGCCGCGGGGCAAGCCTGCCCCCTATTTGGGCCACCTCCGAAAGCTGTCGCGGTCTCGTCTCCGACCGCAGTCGGCTAGTGGGCCTATGGCAATCACCGACCGCAGTCGCCTCATGCGCCTAGCTATCGAGGCCAGTGCTCGCAGGTCCTGAGAAGGCTTAAGCCCACACCATTCACCGCGCGAGCCACGCCCCCTCCTTAGAGCCACCAAACCACCACGCCGAGCGACTTCGGCCCTCGAGGATTTTGGGCCATTGTACTAGCCATAAGATGGGCCCACTGGGCTCCCCCTCGCCATACGCGTCCCGCGATCGCTCGCTCTCGAGTGCCCGCCTTTTCAGGGCGGGCCTTGACGCACCCACTGCCGGCAGAGCCCGGCCGAGCCGCTTGGCCCCCCATCTTCCGCGCGGTCTGGCGTCCTTTTTGATCAGCGGCCCAAGAGGGGGGCGGGCGCTGTTTTTTGTGGAGAATTTCAACAACATCGGGGCGCACTAGCTCGAACTTTCGCGCCAGCATTCGGCCCGCGTCGACATGTGTCCACGTCCCTGTCTCGGTGGGAGACTCCGCGGCCTCCTGGCCAGACGTCTCTCCCAGCCGCGACGGATTCCCAGACGGTTCAGGGGGCTAGTCCCTCTGTAAACGCGCGGGGCTATCTCGGCCCCCCTAAGCGTGCAGCGCCAGGTCTGCAGGCCCACTTCCCCGACAGATTCACGGGGAACGGCGCGGAGAGCCGCAAGTGACCGCAGCCGCGGACCCAGTCTTTCTGTGCCGGGGCTCGGGGCGCTATGGTGGTGCCCACGCAGCTACACGACAGGCGCCCCTTTGGTGTAAAATTTCAGCCATAACATGATCGAAGGCGGCTGCGGTGCGGCTACAAGCGGAAAGCTGTTCGGATAACTAGTAGGGAGCATCCCGCTGCCTGTTCCTGTGAACGTTGCGAAGCCTGAGGAGCCCTGCAGTGGCGTCTGCATCGGGGTCACGCAATTTGCTGCCAGTCCTTGGTTACTATTGCTGGCAGCAGCTGCCAGCATTAGAGCGTGCTTGCTTATAATTGCTACTATGTCCTCCTCCACATAGCTATCCTTCATTATCAACTAGTACAAGAATGTCCTATCATGATGGTACATCGAGGTCTTTATAGAACCTTGATCTTTCTTCCATCACATAAAAAGAACTACGTATGTTGCCAAGAACTACTGTACTTGATGATGCCTTGTCGAAGATGTACAAATTCTCATAAATTGGCCGCTCCTGTTTGGTAGAATTTATTGGCCGCGTTCTGGGCAGATGCGTTGTAAAAATTGCCACCCAAGGCAGAGACACCGTTGTAAGACATATCCTGCTGGTGCGTTGCATTGTTGTCCACGACTGGACCACTCTAGTGTTAGAACTAGCGGATGTTTGTGTTTTTCGATCAAGATCACCCTAGGACAAGAAGATTAGTGAGAACAGAGAACTTCTTCTAGACTGCAAGTGTAAAAGTTTCCTCATAATGTTGTTGCTGAGTAGCTCCCGTTGGATTGTGTTGGTTAGCGTTGCCTTGTTGTGTCTGCATCTGCACGATGTTACTATGTTGACCACCCCCGTAGAATGAGCTTGTTTGTGCAGGCGGAAATTCTGGGACGGGTGGAGGTAAGGGGAGTGGTGGTGTGGTACTAACAGGTCGTAGCGGTGCAGGTGGAATAGGCACTAGACCGGACGCCGTTGCCATTGGGGTTACTGCAGTACTAGAAGCCGTGTTTTGCTGCATCATATTCGTTGCTGCGACCGAGTTTATTTTGTCTTAGAAGTTATACTGTCATCTCGCGAAGAAATATGTCACGCCTGGAGGTCCAACCTACTTCTAAGCAGAAGGCTGTGCTGTACTACCAACAGATCAATTATACATCTGGACTGAAGTCATACGAAAAGCCTTAACGGGTTGTATTCTGTCTGTTCATCGATGTCGAGGTTCCAGAGCCATCCTGCACAACGAGACTCGTATTGTTTGCCAAGCTCGGTAAGGTTTCTTGGCTATTCATTGTATTCGCTAAGCCGGGACGGGTACATCCTCCAGTAGCCGTGCTGGGAAGAGGTGGATGTTGATTGTTGCCAACGTTTGTGTCAACAAGACTTGGCATGCTCATCTGTGGCAGTCCTCCACCACCAGTCCCAAACCCACTAGAAGTGCTAGTCACATCTCCTGCACTTACATTTTGTTGTGGTCCCCCGTTTGGATTACCCATCTGATTCATGTTGACACCTGCTGAGAGGTTGCTAAGATTGTTCTGATTCGTAGTTTGCATCATGCCACCTGAAAAGCTGCTAAGGGTATTCGCAAGCTTTCCACCGCCTGGAGTTGCTCCTCCTGTCGCAGGCGGTGGAAGTGGCACGGGAGTACTGTTGGAGTCCAAAATAACAGGCGGTGGCGGTGGTGGCGGTATGAAGGATGCACTCAGTCTTTGCGGTGGATCCTGATAATATTGAATTGTGTTTACCTACGTATGCTCGTCTCGATCTTAACAAGGACTATAAGCTGCATTTGTCACAACTTCTTGTTCTCCTTCTTCTAACAGCAGAGTAATACCAAGAGCGACCCCAGACTACATGTGTACTACATATGAAAGAAACGTTGTGTACTATAAAAAGCAAGGTTTCTACTTTACTAGTCCAAAAAAACTATAACCCAAAGTACGTTGTGATCCTTATTCATCGTCGCTTGATTGTATGAGAATGCGTTCCCTCCAAACGGCGTGGACGTCGTTGCTGAAGGCAACATGTTGTAATTGTCGGAGGACCCCTGCTGTTGAGGTTGCTGTCCTGTGAGGTTATGTCCACCTGTGTGGAATGCGCCACTTCCTGAAGTATGCTGCTGTTGGTTCCCACGAAGATCATCATAGTCTCCTGCAGTATTGCTAGGGTGCTGTGACGGATAGCCTGCACTGGACGCCAGCAAACTAGTTGCATTCTTAGACAATCCCGGAATCCTTCTTGAAGGTCATCTTGGACCCGTTTCCCCCTTACATGGAGGGCCCAAGATGCTTCTGAAGACGGATTTCCGGAAGTCTTAACATTTGAGGCTGTTCCTAGACTTCGTATCGAGCAGCTAGAACTAGAGTTGTAACCACCAACATGCCCGCTGCCGCCGCCGCCTAACGACAGAGTCCCGGTTTGGTAGTTACTTGTTCCGACAAAACTGCTACTGCTACCACGGGATTAGAGCTACCTGTCTTCATCTTCGATGTAAAAAGTGGTAATTCTTTCATGTCCTACATCGTATATTGTTTTCCTTTCAAGGAGCTTCAACAAAAACTCGACGTCCTCAAGTGGAAAAGGAAATGAACCTGCAACAATCTGAACTTTTCAAGGGAGGTGGCTCTTCATAATAGTAGTTCCCGCCACCACCACCTCCTGTTGAGGAGTTATAGTGATTCTCGGAGTTCTTGTGTTGATGTCGTTTACCGGTGTACATGTGGTTACCATATGAAGATCCGCCTCCACCAGGGCCTTTGCCGCCATCTCTTCCTCTGCCATTCTCGTTTGTGGAATGAAGGAGGACATGGTCAACGAGTGAGGCTTTGCTTGCGATTCAGGGTGATTTGCCTACGACGTACTAGTCGTTGTAACTTTATTCATGTGATATCAATCAACAAGTTGGAAGTCTAGCTGGGGGCGATAGTATCCGCATGGCTTTAACGAAGTGAGTACATCAACATAAGTAGTCATAACTATAAGACCCTCGGCCGGCTCGGTCATTGTGGCCGTAGATATAGCGGCCATCTGCATCATAGAAGCGGCGGTCGAAAAGCAGGTGTGCGTTTTTTCCGCATGGTCGACCCACGCTATCGAAATAGGGCTTTCCTCCTGGTGGTCCTTTGTGCCGCTGCGAGGACCCGTGCATAGTCGTAGTTCTCTCTTCTCAAGCTAAAAATCTTCAATGGGCGTGCTGCGTAGAAGTTTAAGTTTACGAGCTCCTTTGCAAAAACTGCTAGCGATCAAGTACGTAAGAACTCAATCGTCAGCAGTTATCGCGAAACCACTATCACTAATTAGTAATTGTAAACTAGGAACTAGCGATAAGTCCAAATCCAATAGTCCGAACTGTACTAGTAGTCCCTCATGCTAGCACGTTCCCTCCTGTATCTCTCTCCTGGGACACTCCATCACAGATCGGAAAGTCCCCTTCTCCAATGCAAGAAAAAAAATATCGGTAAATCGGTGTTTCATCATTACCGCCATCTACGCTTAAGGGTAGCAACAAGCAAAGCAAAGAATGTGATCACCGATTTTTTCCTAGGCAGAGATGATGCACAAACCGCATACCACAGCCACACTGCGCTATTGTCTTGCCAAATACCGCTGGCTCCGACAAGCTACAAGATGCTGGTAGAGGAACACGAAGCAGCCGAGAAAATTCCGTGTGGCAGGCCAAGAGGCGCAATAGCGGAGCTGTGGCGATAAAAGTATTCCCTAGTCACAAGAGAACTAAAAATATGTGGTTGCAATCGCGCACAGCACTTCCCTATCCCTAGTAAAATTTCCAAAGAGCTATTGGTTACGGTTCTTGGCCGACATGAATACTCATGTAATCCTAGCCAATGCACAATCTTTGTGTGCGTGTAAGGAAGTGTACTACTTAATTGGTATAAACAAATTTGATTTGAAAAATTTGTACTTGATTGAATTGCGTGACAATTTAATAGTACTCGGTTGTTTCTATTGTCTTTGCGTGTGGTTGTACACGAGATGCTCGCATCATTGCCTCTTAGATTGTGCGGCATGAACAATCATAAATATTGTTCATTGAAAAACTAAAAAATTTGACCACAATTGATCAGTAGTGGATCCCCCCAGAGGATACATTTTGACGTTTGAACATCTATCAATACCCAGAGAATATCGTGCGAGCGAAAGCGAGTAGTAGATTCTAGTCGATGGAAAGCAATCGTGTGCCCATGAAGTAAGCAAGTTGTTCTAGTCACTGGAAAATAGTACCGTAATGAGACCATCGGGAAGTAGATGTAGATTCTCGTAAACATCTGTAGTCACTCGAAAGTCGAAATAGAAATACATAGTACGGGTTCTCTAATATCTTCACTTCTAGAAGAGCAAGTACTTATTTCTTCATCGCCTTAGTAGTAGTATTAGTTTTCTTTGCCGGCAAAGACGTCTTTTTCACTGCTTTGGGTGGAGTTGGGTTAGACTTGCGCGTTCTTGTCTCTTTCGATCCCATCTTTGACACCGGGATATTACCACCATTCTTGTTTCCTCCACTAGAATTAGGAGCTTTGGCAGGCTTCTTCGGTGTAGAAGCCTTGGCTCTGCTACTAGTGGCGGCATTTGCGTTTCCTGTCTTGTTCGACGCTCCTGCCTTGTTATTATCCTGGCCGCGAAATGTCACCCACCCTACTTTTGGCCCTAGGGTTGACGCCTTACTGGAAGTGCTCTTCGCGTTTCCAGTCTGCTTCGCAGCTGGCGTCTTTTTAGTCTGCTTTTTCGGAGGTGGAGATCGCGCAGCAGTTAGAGGGTGAAGATGAAGATCATATCACTTTGTTTTAGACAGTAATTAGAGCTCAAAACAATTCATTTCTTGCCTACATTTCTCCCAATCCTAAGAAGGAAATAGGGAGAAATGACTTGTAGAAATGAAATATATTGAGCCTTAAAGTAATATCAGATGAATCGATACAACTTTATGAGGGATCGATGGTGTAGTATTTTTCTTTTTGCTCAGATCACTGCACAACGAACTACCTAAGAGTCACAACAAGAACCATGTATAGCCTTAATGTTGCCGCTGCTTGCTTGCTACCCTTGTTTGTCGCTGCAGGAGCCTTCTCAGCAGACGTTCTTTGTTTCTTGGGTCCGTCGTAAAATGCACGCATTTTCTCGAAGAGGTGGGTGTTAGCAGCGTTCGAAGGTGGTTGTATCATGGGTACACCTTTCAGTGATGAAGATGCTCCACCTCCTAATGCCTTAGTTCTTCCTTCTTGTTCCATTGAGGCTGCGATAAGACTGGAAATGGTGTGCGGCTGCTTTTGTCCACCTCCTAGACCTCCGAGACCGCCTACTTGGTTTCCACTTGTCGTTGTCGTCTTGTTTCCACTTGACGCTGCAACATCGAGAGACTGAAGCAACCTAGTCCGCCGCACACTGCCGAAGAGACCCTCGCTGAAATAGAGCTCATCAAATAACGCCACGAGAGTGTCGTTGTTGTAACTACTCCGAGAGGCAGATGACCCACTACCACTGCGGTTGCCCTCTATCACGAGGCTTGAAGAAGCTCCATTGTTGTTGGTACCTCCATTGTTGTTGGGTTGGCTTGTGACGCTGCTCTCCAGATCGGCTAAAATGGATGAAGCGGTAGTGCTAGTACTCTCTGGTGATATTAACTTGGTAGAGCCACTATTACCGCCAGTGCGTGGCATCGTCGAAGGAAAGGGAGCTACTAGATTGCTCAGCTTGCTGGTTGCAAATGCTTTGCTGCCGGCTTTGCTCGACGTTGCACTAGCATCAGCGCGCTTGAAATGCCTTCGGTAAGCCGGTGTGTCCCCCAACGTCTGCAGGTCTTCGAAGGCTGACAAGACAGACTCGTACACGGCGCTCTGGGGCATTGAAACTTTCCTCTCACGGTTCATATCCGTTAGCTGCAAAAAAGTCTCGATGAATCTTGGTGGAAGCCATTCCCCCAATCCTTGATAGTCGATATGATCTACGCGTTGGTCGTCTGCTACGGTGCCGGATTTTGAACAAGAGAGGATAGGGGGGAGGAGGAGGTGGAGGAATATAGAGCAAGGATTCTGATGAATACATAGGAATTATTATAGGAGCTCAGGTTATTGTGCGGAAAGGAGGAAGTTCGAACTTGAATGAACAACGACAGGACGTCTTTGAGTATTCTTTTCTACAATGCATGATAGATTTAGGACATTTTGACTTTTCCATACTGTCAATTCCGGCAAGCGTGATAGATCTGTGTCCTGACTGAAGGCCAACGCACTTGCCGGTGTGCCTACTCCCGTTGGTGGTGGTACTTGGTCTTGCGTCGCCTGACTCAAAGAGGCTAGGCCGCCAGATGTTAGCATTGCTTGCCGAGTCTTGCTCAAATGATCGCCACCTAGTTTTGAAGCCGGAACCTCCTTCATCTTTGGCTTTCCTTTCTTCTCTGATGACTTCTTCTTCGTGTCCTGCTCCTGCAGGTCTACTTTACTACTTGGAGGAGCCTTTTTCGCTCTCTTGGACGCTGGCTCCGCTCCGTCTAAATCTCCAAGTTGTAAGGCTCGTCCCTCATCGATGACACCTAAGAAACTCTGATCTCTTTTGGGTGGCAGGAAAATTCCATTAGAAGACTGTGGACTCAGTAGTATCCTCCGCCGTCTGCGCCTCTCGTCACTGAGTTGCTGTATCGTGCGGAAATCTCTTGCGTCATCAAACGGTCCAGCGAAGATGCCATTACGAGGAGAGAAGATGCCATTTCTTGAAGAAGCTGCTGAAGAGGATGTTGCTCTTAGAAGAGATGGGCTAATAAGAAGTCACAATTATTATGAACGAAGATCGCCCGGAACGCCTTACCTCATGCGTAGAAAAGGAGCATTATAAGCTCAAAAAATATATGCAGGCGAGTAGCCGTAAGTAGTATCAGGCTGAATCAGGATGGATACTTCTAAGAAAGTACAGTGCAGCACTCGATGCAATTTCAACTCTAGATTAATGAGTGGTGAAACTCTAGATTCACCGGATCGTGCAGTCGTCAGCAGCCAGACTAACAGGTTAGCTTACTAAAGTGACATTTACAACATCTAGTTGAGCAAATGCCTTAATGATGAGAACGCACCGCCTTTTTTGTGCTGGGCTCCCTTTAATTCGTCGACAAACTTCAGTTTTTCCGTCAGAATTCTCGCATACTTTTCCTTTGGATTTTTCGTTTTGTGACATTAGAAGATAGAAACAGAAATGGACAATTGATAGTCGCTAATGCAAGACGAGGTGCGTGGGCCTTGACCTAGTTGATGAAAAGAACGTAAGGAAATTCATCAAGCGAAATCCGATCGCACAGAGAAAACCATCTGTCCATAACAAAAAGTGTTCCGCCTCCAAGGCAAACCGCCTAATGCCAAGTCGATCGCGACCCACATAGCACCCTCCAAATCGCACATCCAGCAATGGGAGTTACCCCGCAACGCACTGATTGACGCGTAGGGTGGATTAGAGGCGCATAGCTGTAGGGATTCTAAACTTTGTAGTTCTGTCTTTGGAAGTGTACCTTAATCACCTTCTATAACCTTCTAGATAGATATTCGCAATGAAGACTTCTAAATCATATCATGATCCAATTTTGCCATAACAGCAGTCCCTCGAAAAGGTTGATTCGTCTTCTTCTGAACCGTCTCCGCTAGCAAATCGAACTCTTCTGCTAAGCCGAAATCAACTAGATGTAAGTCCATCGCTTCTGTATTCCCTAGAGCACCTGGCTTGGGGCTTGTTTGGATGGGGATTGTAGTTTTACGTATTCATCTCGGAGTCGGAGAGAGTATGAAGAAGTATGTATGATGCCAAACTACAACATGTTAGTGTTTGCAAGAGCAGGTGGCAGCAACAGCATCCAATATTGAGGACGATGCAGAAGATGTTCGTGCTCAAGTATTCAATAGATGCAATGCAGATGATGCTCTCAATTGCACTTACAAGAAAAGAATCAAAATGTTACAGTTCTGTGGCTTCACATCTCTGTGTATGAAGCCTTCTTCGTGGAGACAGCGTAGACATTCGATTAATTGTCGCCCAAGAAATCCGGTTGCGAAGAGTGAGAGTTGATGGTTCTCAACATTTTTACGTATTTGTGCTAAGTCGACACCCAACAGCTCCATCAAAATATAAGGTCGCTTGCCTTCGCAATATGCGATAAAACGAGGAACCTGTTGATGATGATGATATACCCAGTCCTTAGACGGGTAGAAGTTACAGAACATGAAGGTGGGAGTCTGAATGACGAGAACAAGTTATGGAGAAGTGGAATGTGGATGCATTTAAACAAACTCTTCAGGATTGTTGATATTCGGCATGTTGAGGTGACTTCGGGGAAACAGTAGCATTCTGTACAAGGCTCTTATTGAAAAGCAAATACACCCGGATGCTTACCACTGTTCTTGGACGTGCCTGTGAGTGCGCTGCATGCAGTCTAGCGGGTCCAGGTACGGTTAGCCAACCGGGTATTCCCAATCGGGCTAACACTGCTCGCTGTGTCCACGGCACTGGTTTACGCAAAAGCGAAGCGGTACTGGAGGACGCACTGCTCGTGCCAGCCGTGACCCTGGGTCCCTGATCGCACATATTAGAACTGAGCTGGTTCAGTACCTGCATACATGGACTGGCGTCAACCAACCTTAGTGACCCTGTATAATAAAAGCCCTACTTCTTTTTTACTGCAGTGCGCCCCTGGCACAGCCTACCCAGGGAAACGCCACGCAAGCCGCCCCGCCGGCCTGGGTGCTACGGGCCAAGAAATCGGCGCCAGCGGCTCTCCCACAAACAGCCCTGCGACTTGTCCGGCGGGGCGCGCTCTCACTTGGGTTGGCCGATGCCAGACACTCGCCCGCGGCCGCCCGAAGAAGCACCCGCAAAGAAAGCCCACGCCACGACGAATGATACCCACAGCCGTTCTACACTATAAAAAGAACAACCAAGGCGGGGCAGCTTACTCACGAGGATTGCCCCACGCACTTCGGGCGAGCCGACAAAGGGAGGGTGAAGGAGCGCGCCCCTTGCAAGTCCGTCGGGGCGATGGTCGTCCGGGGCGGGCAAAATCACTCACACACGGACACCGCCAGCAATTGCGCGGGCCTGCTCCGTTGCTCGCCAAGAAGGCGCGCACTTCGGGCGGCTTTTCTTTCGACAATGGAAACACCCCCGCCCAGCTGCGTTCACCTGTGGCGCGGAGAATACCCCACGGGAGACATCAGGCCAATACGTGCTGCATTCTGCCACACGTATGGTAGACGAAGAAACACGGCACGCCTGGGGCCGCACCCAGCCGAAGGCCAGCCGCCTTCCCTCAGGCCGTCTCGTGCGTCATTCGCTTCGCCCCCGTCCACAGGTTGGCGAACGCCCCCCGACTTTCGCCTTTGGCGGTGCCCAAGTATCCACACACACGCGCGCAATGTCTTGCCAGCGCTGAGAGGCCCCGGGCTAACCGACAGAAGCAGCGCCGCGCCTCTTACGTACTCAAGCAGGCGGCTCGGATAGGCGGCCCGGGTGGTGGACTCTCTCAGGCAGGCGACTTGGGTAGGTGACTCAGATAGGCGACCCAGATGGGCAACGCGGCCCGCGGCTTGCCCGGGTGGCGTCTTTGTTTTGGCCCGCTCAGCGTCACGCTCAAGTCTCCGGCCGGTCTGCAGCTCTCCCGGGGTCCCAGCACGTTTTCACGATGCGCCTGCCCTGCGGACTCTCTTCGCGGCCAGCAAGCTCACACAGATAGACACACCGGGCGGCCGTTGCTATCGTCTCATCTCGGCGGCGCGTGGCGCCTCCTCATTGCGGGGCCAGCGGAGCGCGCAGCGAATCCCCACGGACATAGTAGCAGGGGACCCCTCACAGCATAGAGGGGGCCGGCATTGCCAGCCCTTGCACATTGTTGCGGGACCTTCATCAGCGACACCACTGAAAACATCGCCACAAAGCAGGAGCATCTGAAACATCCACAGAAGATGCCAGGGACACGCGCCAGGCACCCTAGCGCCCTATGCATCGAAATGACCCCGAAAAGTGTAGATATAGCCACTGAGCCTTAACTTTGTTGCTTTGTTGGTCTTTCTGCTTCGCCTTGCTTGAATTCTTGCCGGAACTTGAGGAGCTCGTCGCACCCTGCAAGCCCGCAGACTCCTTCTCGGTTGCCTCCACAGGTTTGAGCAGAAAACCCGTGCCCACTTGGCATTAGAACAGGTTGATGTCAGTAGGAATTCTCCAAAAGATCACTCACTTTTGATTACCTCCCGGTGTACTATAAAAGGTATGCGGTCCTAGTACTTCCAGATCTGCTCTCCAAGTCTGTAGCTAAAAACTCTATACGGTAACGAAGTCCCTAGGTCGCGAGAAGGATGTCTTGTTATCTACAGGTAATATCAGAGCAACGTCTCTTCTACGGGTAATATCCAAGTCACGACCTCCTGCCATACTCGTCTCTTGGTATCTGAGACCAGCTGACGCACAGTCGCGCGTGCTTCAGAGCCTCTTCCCGCAGCTTGTATATCGCGTTTTCAGTCGGAGGCTTGCCCTTCTCGCCACCCTTGAGCACCTTGGCCACCGCTGTGACACCACTGTCGCGATGGAAATGAAAGAAGTAAGAGTCCCGACTTTCTCTTTTGCACGCTATCGTGCGCTCATAGTGAGATCGAATTCGAAAAGTAAAACATTCACATCTCATCAACAGCCAATCGATAGAACATCATCCAAGCAACATCTATCTCAACTACGACCAGTAGTTCCAGATACAGAAGTAGACAGAGGAGGAGCTAAATTAAGAAAAGCAAAAAAAGTCCTCTATTCTCTTCACATAATCAAAAACGCGCAAGACTTCTGCAAAAGCCCCCTGACCAAGACGTCTGCCTGCTAGATATCTCCCATCCGCATCCATCCTTTCGCCTTCCTCAAACATACGGTAGCCGCCATCTTCAGCAGTACTAGCTCCACTTCTGTTTTTATCCGGAGAAGATGGCGCAGCAGCTCCGGATGGGCCTCCCATCTTGTTCATAGGAGATGTCGTTGTTGATGACGTACTACGAGAATTCTACCTTCCTCGTTGACGTACCACTACGAGAGTTTTACCTTCCTCGTCATGCCTGCTGTTCAAGTAATCCCTTCGTAGATGTTCTCCTTGGGCCGATCCTTCTTTCTATGAGGGTATTACTCGATCCCAGGACTCCGCACGATTCTCCATACAGCAATGCAGATACAGGAGTCGCTTTTCTGATGATTATTCGTTCGGACTAGTAGTGGTTGGTGCGCCTGCTTCTTTGTCAGAGGTCGATGATGGAGACCACTAGCTCTTCCGCACAGTCCTCGAGGGCTCCGGCAAGACTCATTGAGGGGCACATCAGTGCATGTTGAAGTCACCACAAGAACTAGTCAAAATTTCAAAATCACAGAGGTGGGGGTCCTAAGAATCATGTTGCTCCGCGACCCAGTTACACTTATAGGTATCTTCGAGGAGGACAGCATTAAAAGGAACCGTGAAGAACTTCTAAGTACTTCCAAGAAAGTATGTAAGAATCGAGAAGAAGACACCAAAACCATACTGGTCATTGAGTCATTTCATAACAGGATAGGAGAAACGCACGTCCTCTGCCTTTTTCCAATGATCGCTTGATCATTTTCGTGACGACAAGTTACACACACCGTTTTGCCCGGTAACACGATAATCTTTTTCACCTCTGGTTTAACTCTCTGATTTAATACATCGCGATGTTTTTTCTAGCTGCTGTGTGACTGTCATAGATTTTTGTTGGGCTGACTGAACCTGATCAATCTCCTGTGACACACTTGCGAATAGAATCTTATTCCCGATTTTCGGCAGTTTTATTCTCCTATGTGGGCATGGAGAGCCCTTTGCGGACACGAGGCGGAATTGCTGCTCCATCAAACACAAGACAACTGACTCCGCGAAAAACGTTTCTTCTTGCGGGTAATCTTCCGCAACATCTTATTCCAGATCAATATCTTTGTTCTGATACTAGTACGTGAAGAAATAGTTCGTAAATGAGCGCTGTTGTTCTCCTACTAAGTAAACAACATCCATTTTTAATATCCATTTTCATAATTATTACTCGTTACATAGAAGTTGGTGCAAGATTGACTTGCAACATAAAAAGTATCAACGTGGGACTACACTGTCTCTGCACTCACTTGTTCTATACTTTTTCTGGACTCTGTGTGAATGCTATCGAACTGGAGGCTTTAAACATTGTCTGCAGAATCTACGTACTGTAATCGAAGGAGCATCCATTTCATTCTTGCACCTGTTGCTCAGGATACGATAGACTGAGGAGTCTAACTAACAACCTGTAACCTCACTCCGAATCTTCATTTCGTAAAAATAGTTGAAGAGGGCCAGCATTCGCGCGGCAAAAGGAGGACACTTTTTAGGAAAATTATGCTTGCTAATAGTACGAAGAATGTGACGAAGAAATCGTTCAAAGACGCGTAATGAGACTCCTGGTCTATGCTGTCTTTACAAGGATGAGCGTAGATCTTCAAATTTTGCAAAAAATCTAATCATGGGTTATGGTTAACTACGGAAGATTTGATATCAGGAAAATATCATGTGGTAAAAGTAGTTCTAGCCTGTTTACTTCAAATAGGCTGTATTTAGCATAACCTTCGTCTAGCTTGTTCTCATCACCTGCCAATACAATTCTACTCGAATTTTTCTCAGGTGTAAGAGCCGGTACAAAAAAAGAACGAACAACTTGAATTTGTATCACGATACAACCAAATGTTTAGACTTGGGCCAAGCACAGGTTATAATTTCGCTGCACCTTCTTGCAACGGACGACTTGGGGTGTCGCTGCGCTTCTGCACCAAACCGCCATCGTTTTCTCGCTCAGGGTGAATCATAAACTGCAGATGATCGTAGTAACCGTCGGTGAGTGTCTTAGAGAGGCGCGGGAGAAACTATCTAGTACTCACCATACTAAACAATACGCACGACCAAACCCTCTTGTTCTACTCAAGATTTGTAGCTTTTCTTTTCTACCAATATCATACTTCTGAATGATCTGACTGTGTCAGTCTACACTTTGAATTTTCTAGCCATTGCAGTGGTCTAAAAGTTTCAACACTAGTGAGTCCTTCCATCATAACATCCGTGCTGTTCAGTGGTTCCTTCTTCGTCTGCTCATACAAGGCCTCGTAAACGCGACCATCATATCTGCCGAGACAAGAGTTGAGCAAAGAATCTGGGAAGTTCCATCCATCCTGCAAGGCAACTGCTTGCGGTCGTATCTTCTTCAGCAGTTCCTTCACTCGGCTGGTGATCATGGAGCCGATTGGGAGTTAGAGATCAGCGTCGATGACAAATGCGAGTAAGCTAGCCTCCTTGAGTCCAACTAGAATAGTCCAACCAGCAAAGCATGTTGACGGACCAACGCAGAGTGACTTCAGGTCGCTCTGTATTGATCGCGAAAGATACTTGCTGAGATTCAGAATTCCTTTTTTTTTTTACTACTGTGAGTGTGAAAAAGAAAGTCCTCTCATAATTCCTGTTATCCCCTGGCAGTGCTCCACAGACGATGAAATCGCCCAAGCCGCCGCCCTTGTCGTAGCCAGTTTCGATGATGGTTAGGCAAAGAAGCTCGTACAATGGCTCCATCACGGAGTAGAGCTGCTTTTCCCTTTTGGTTCCTGCTTTCAGGTTCGCAAGCGTTTCCTTGAAAGCCAGAGCGTACATGACATAGGCATGTGCATAGGTCATACGCATCATCTCGATCTTGACCTAGGTGTAATAGGTGGGAGGTGGTGTTTTTGTATGTTCTGCGGGACATCACACTCACAGAAAAATTTCCGCCTAATAAAGAACAAACTTAAACTTAGTTTTGTGCTAATATAGCTTCTTGTTCATTATGAAATTTCTACTCTTACTACTAGTTGTAATTTACCATCTAATAGTAGTTACTACTAGAAGTAACCATCTAATTAGAAACTAGATTAGTTGAGAATCTAGGTTTTTAGTAAACTAGATTACTACTCGAATTTACCATCTAATACCTCATCCAGCACACTGGGTCCGATCTTCCCACCTGCGGCCATGACAGCCTCTTGGAAGGTTTCGGCTGTGGAGTAGTGGACATAGCATGCTCTTCGGACGATGCAATTGTACAAAAACTCGTGGTCTTGGAGGCATTTCTTTTCGGCGATTTCTTCAGGTATTAGAAGAGTGGGGATGTGGTTGATCGTATTGTGCTGGGGGAATAAGGATTGAACGAGGCAATATACACGGCTAGGAGGTAGATGATATCTGATTCACGACCGTTTGACGGCTAGAGGTAGATGATATCTGATTCACGGCTAGAGGTAGATGATATCTGATCCACGACCTCCTACGTCCTCTACAGTTCGATCAATGATTCCTTAACACTGACGGCGGCTTCACATCAGCGGTCGGGTCGAAATCGTAGATGTACTGCAACAGCGGTGTGTTAGGATGTCCTTTTTTCCCCTTGAGCATCTTGCCCGTCACTGCTGCCAGCAAAACCTGGCCTACCTGGATCGACAGCACAACGAAATCACCCTCGTATGTCGCTTGCGGTAGCACCGACAACGTCTGCGGCCCAATGCCTGCAGCGTTCAGGTAGCCATGACCACCTAAGGCCTTACGACATTGCTCCATCCCATCCACTGCGATCATGGTGTTCACTGCTTTTAACGTGGAAGTCAAGCAGTGCATTTCTTGCAGCTTCTCAAACTTGTTCCCCCTAAACTCTTGGATTGCAACCTCATAGAGCTTGGTTGCTTTAAGGCCAGTAAAATGAAGGGCAAAAGCCAAGGCCATCTGCGGAAAGAGGAGGTATTGCTGCGAACTGTAGTCGAGGATCTGTGGTGGTTGGGGTTGGAACGAAAAGGGTTGGTCGCTTCTTGTGAGATAAATTGATGTGGAAGTACTACGAAGCTAGAAGAAGGTTTTTTACAACGTACTTGGCATTTACACGAACATGAAAAAATATGTCAGTTTGGTTCGATTGTTGATTCATCTAGTAGTAGTACCTGACTTTCCGACCGCTTACTCGGCTTTGTGATGTGTTGCAACTGCGCTACTGCGGTGTCTTTATCGTCAAATACGTCGTCCGCACCCAGCTGAACTCGTTGCATTTGGAATTGTCGTCGCACAGCCGAATAGCGAACAGCTGTGGTAACTGCTTTCGCAAGGTGAACACCAACTGAGGAACTAATCTGCAGTCGAGTGTAAGTCATAGTTCCGAATAGCATCTTCTGATTGCCGACCTTCTTGTAGTTGCCGTCACGATCGACGTTGACGTATCTGAGAGGAGAATGAGAAAGTGGATTGACGATGAGCATGGGGGATATCGTTGTCTTCATCGAATTCCTGATGACGGTTGAATAGCAAAAGTACTTAAGAGGTTTGAAGAGCATCGAGTGATAACCGAAATGACGAAGGTGTAGTTCACTGAGACGACGAGACACGCCTAGATATGGTACTAAACAAACCAACTTTATAAGTACGCGAATCATACGCCAATCATACTAGAGAAAGGATTAATGAAATGGTATGATAGAAGGTACTTCATCAGCAGATTCCTTCTCGGCACAACCGCACTGGTGATGTACATGCCACCATTGTCCATCCCGTTATAGCCCAACTTCTGTCCGATGTCACGTAATTCGATTCCGGGAAGTGTCGCATGCGTGTTGAAGTCTCGAATCTGAAAAAAGAACGGATGTGGGCCATAATCCTTGCCTTTGATGACGATGCGTGCCATCAGGATCACGTCATTTTAGAGCTAGAAGTTCTTGTTTCGGGCTTTCTTTCATCCTCGTGAAGTAGTTCTGGTGAATCTATCAAGTAGTTCTGATGAATCTATCAAGTAGTTGTGGTTCCGTCCCTTGAAATTTAACCTTGGAATGATTCTAGGTGGGAGGTCTATCGACTGATTACCCACTGTCAGGAATTGACCTTGCCGATGCGGAAGCGAGCAGGATGAAATATAAAACTGTGGCGGCCTTAACAATTGCAGCTCCTTGCCATGCCTCCTGGCCACCACTTCATGCATTCGAGGCTTGGCGTATGGATCTTCCATCCGCCGTCTCCATTATACAAAGCTGGATCGAACTCGGCTGTTGTGCCAAGCCCACGCACGTTGGATCCGTGAGTCAATTCGGTTTGGGCGTACGTGCCTGGTGGGACAGCGGTTGCGACAGGGGTGGAGAGAGGTAAGACAGCAGGTCACGCAACTAAATATCCAAACTCACTGTGTGAAGTCAGCGAATAGGACTACAGCTCGACCTGGTGCATCAAGAAGTAGACGACACTAGAAAGAAAATCTCAATGACACTCAAGATGATAGATAAACAAGATACTTATAGATACCAATGAATCAACAAGATACTTAGAATAGATACCAACATATTCGTAGTTCAAGGCCTTCGGAAGCCACCAGGACTGCTGTTCCTCGTCAGCAAGGTTGATAAGGGATGGCAAGAACATAATATCGTGCAAGAGGATGAACAAGTCCTCTCCGAGAAGCATCTCCAGTGGCCCTCGATCTTCGAATGCGATGCGGAGGGATTAGAGCATGTTCTTCTTCACTATAAAAATAATTCTAGCATCTAGTATTTCTAGCCTAGCCTCTTCAACACGTATTGCGTGAAGGGATAAGCCTACAGGTGCTAGAGGGAAAACTAGTTAGCCGGGTCTTTTACTTCTAAGTGTTCAACTATCGTGCCATAATTTTCGCGCACAATCTTCACAAAAATCCGTGCCCGCTCGCATGCTCTGTAGTACCGCTCAGAGCGGTTGATGTACCACAGATCATCCGTCTGCAATCGTGGCTCAGCACCCACTAAACGGACTTGCTCTTCTACCTGTGGAAAGGATGGAGAAAGGATGGAGAAAGGTTGGTGGAGATCGTGAGACTTCTACTTCTTGTTCCTTAGGAAAACTTGTTTACTCGACGAAGCAGGAAAGAAAATGCCTTGACCTCGTCGAGAAAAATAACTTGAAACAAAGGTATACTTTCTTCAAATTCTCCTCTCCACCGTAGATGAGTTTACTCAAATCCCATATATCGAAGGCTGCCCTTCTCCTCTCTCGCCTCAGGTCGGCAATGACGGGCTTCGACCATTGCATCGGCTTAAATTCTGCCGGCTTCGACATGTTTGCTTTACTTTGTCGTTTCTTTAAAGTAGTTATGATACTAAGCTACTTGTACACTACTGTATTGTGCTAATACGAGAGTCGTCACTGCTGGGACCACAGATATCTTCCCCACCTAGTGAAGTTTTCAGATAAATAATCATGGAAGGTAGAGTTACAACTCTGATATAAATATCAGAACATGAAACAGATGGAAGAAATTTTTGAAAGGCTTGTGGTATGATGGATGTCACAGGCGGAATTGAAGCGCTCAGAAATACAAGTACTCTACAATGCAGCCGAAATACCCAACCAGTCTTGATTGGAAAATGAAATAACAATGAATGTGAGGAGGTACCAAGAAGTAGATCTAGATTTTTCCACGACCTAGTAGAGTTCAAAAAAGAGGTGAAAGTAAAGAGCAATGGGCTGCTCAAGTCTGTGTCTGAGGGAAAAGATTTAGTCTACAGTCAGCTAGTTCCTCGTTTGTGTCTCTCGTGTAAACTCATTGGAGTCGCCTTTTTGTTTTGAGTTTTTCCACCTACAACTACTGTACTTCACTCACTCACTCTCATTCTCGAGGGAACAAAATTTGTGTGCCACATCCTTTTTACCACCGTCTTCTGAGAGAACACAACAGTCTTACTCTCAGCATGTGCAACCTGTAGGCTTTGTTGTATAACAAGCGTATTCATTCATCTTCTAAACTTTCGAAACATGTAGACATTGTCCACGGAAAATCTATCTCGTAAGTCTAACCAAGCAAAAAAAACCTCTTTTTCGACCACATGCGAAACATCAATATTTCTCTGGTTTCAAATCAAGGCAATGATTGTAGCGAGCGGACATTCTAAATTTTTTCCAATCGAAACTTTCTCTAAAATCTTTGCGCGTTAATGAAGGCCAATCTTCTTTTCTTCCAATTCCAGGGTCATTTTTCTTACGGACGAGAATCAAACAAATTCGAACCACAAAAAGCCCGTCAAATGAGCTGTTGATCCATTTCCAACGAAAACTATTACTATTGTTTAACAAACCTGGTTCACTTGTAGTTGTAATCCTTTTTGGTATAATGTTGCTTGCTTCCAGTTTGTAGTTTCTTTTTATGTAGTTAACGACGTGCAATTCATTTTAAGTTGCTTTTCTTGAGAGCGTCGCGCGCCATACATCAAATTCAATACATCATCTTGCCATTCTTCTATAACGATTATCTAGTTTCTAAAAATCAATGCGGTTTTTCGACCTTTGATTCAATCAAACGCATCCCAGCAATCTATTTCAGGCGGCCTTTCTGTCTGCGTAGTGCCTGCTGGCACCACTGGTCTGTCAGACGATGCCAAGGATTGTAGTAGGTCTCTTGGCACTAAGTATCTTTGTGCCATGGTCGATGTGTCTAGTACCATCGAGGAAACGGAACTTCTCGAGAACAAATCGAGAGAATAAAAGCTGTCCTATTGAATTTCGCCACGAGGTTTGTTGAGACCATGACGAGCGACAGACGCATTGCAATTGGTGAGTCGTGGGTTATGTTGAAAGGGCAGTTGTACCAGTCTTGGACGAAAACCTCGTCAAGGATGCAGAACAGGTCTCGTCGAAGAAGAGGTACTTGTCGAAGAGGGGAGTAGAGGGACTTCCATTCTGTTTCTAGTACTGCAGATACTCGTATTCATAGATGAATAGCTACGATATCTAGGTAGCGAGGTAGGATTCGTCCTCGTCAAGGATGCAGAACAGGTCTCGTCGAAGAAGAGGTACTTGTCGAAGAGGGGAGTAGAGGGACTTCCATTCTGTTTCTAGTACTGCAGATACTCGTATTCATAGATGAATAGCTACGATATCTAGGTAGCGAGGTAGGATGTGAATAAGAGGTAGGATATATTTGGTTTACATTGGTTCATTCCATCTTACTAGATTAGAACTATCAGTTACAAGATAGTTAGATTACTCTTATCTAGATTTAGATTGTTGAATGGTATGAGATGGATCATTTGAGTTGATTTCCATTTTTGTTGAATGGCGTTACCTAGACTTAGACGGAGTTAGGTTGTTAGATAGATTTTGATTTACGTTGTTACATGGATTGAGGGTCAGATAGATTTGTTTAGGTCGTGTTAGATAGATGTAGATTGATAGGTGGATATAAATCCTAGGTAGCTGTTCATAGATTAGAATAGTAGAAGACTGGCGAGCATCATATCATTTTTCAGAGAAAACAAATTTTGACCACGCAATTCTACGAATGTTACAGCGCTGAAAGAGTATGAAACTACACGAGAATAAAAGAACAAAAATTTTTCCAGGACGAACGGACGAGCAGAGTAGTATATTTCATATTGGCAAAGATCTAAAACAAACAATGAGGAAAGCACTTCAAAACACTCCAATTTGCTCGCTTTCGCTTCTGTCGTAAATGTTATTTTTCTGCCTTAGATAAAAGCGGTGGCTCAATGTCATTCTTCCGATGATGTGATAGTATATTTAGTGCCCTCTTCTTCTACGTAGCGCATAGCCGCCCTATGCTAGTTCCTCCTTCTAACTGTTGGAAAGTATCCAAGTATAAGGTTAGATGGGTAATCTCCGTAATCAATATAGTCTCTCAGTCTACCTTCCCGTTGATGAGAAGTGAATACTCATTTCATACCACAAGTAAATCTAACGAGGACCGATTGTTTTGTAACGCGTTGACGTCAGCAGCAAGTGCTGATAGCTTATAAAGTCGTTGGCTTCATCGTAATCGAATGGTCTTCCCGCAAATTAATATAGCGTAGAGACTTACGTCATATGTGTCCTTCGTTCAATTACGATATGTCTTAATTCAGCAGGATTTGTAACAGATGTTATTAAAAGTCCTCTAGGACGCCATGACGTTATTCAAAAGTCTTTTCTTTGCTTTGAGGTGGAGCCCATAAAAAGAGCCTCCTGCTGAATTCAGGAGCTTCAACATCGTGAAATGGTTGCTCTGATAGTTTTGTCGTGTGTTATGCGTACCCCAATTCGGGAGAATAGCATCTTTGCTGCAGTCTTTGCAGATTTAAAAGGGGTTATAAAAGTGGTTATTATTTACTCTTCGTCCACCTTGCTTCTTCTTCCTTTGCTGTTCATGCTTATCATATAATATCATTATAGGACCGGAAATCCAAGTGGATCTCTCTTCTAAAAAAACCAGTTGTTTTTTTAGAAGAGAGATCCACTTGGATTTCCGGTCCTATAACAGAGTAGTTTATAGCACGCATGGTGCATGGAGTGCATGGAGTAGCATGGAGTAGCATGGAGCTAAAGGGGGAGCTTCTTGCGCCCCTTAAAGCTCTGCGCTCCATGCACTCCATGCTACTCCATGCACTCCATGCGTGCTATAAACTACTCTGTTATAGGACCGGAAACCCAAGTGGATCTCTCTTCTAAAAAAACCAGTTGTTTTTTTAGAAGAGAGATCCACTTGGATTTCCTTCCCTTCTTGTAGTACTTTCTCTTTCGTCCATCAAGAGCCTCTGATACTTTACTCGTAAGAGGTTCTGCTCGTCGACCCATCAAACTACAAATTAAGAAGACTGTACACGTCACTATAATGGAACTGCTTGCTGTGCTGTTTAGTTGTTATCTTTCCGTAGACTTCCATTCAGGGCGGGAGAGCAACTTGCACTTTCTTTGTATACAACTTTCAGACAGAGGTCAACATCACAGAGCAACAAACAGCGACCCACATTCAGATTTGGATTTGGAGATATCAGCAAAAGTTTCTGGCCTTTTTTTTTGTAATGCCGGGAAGATTGAAAGAATCCCCTGACCTTTTTATCCAGTTCGCAAACCGGCACCAGACTGGCCACCATACTGGAGCGCCTGCTGCTTCCTCTCCCTTGTCTCTCGCTCGAGCCAAGAGACATTCCAACAAATATTTTGCATAAAAATAACGGCAGATGAAGGCCTCCAAATTCAAGGCGCTCCAAGTTTTAATCACTTCAAGTTTCAATCGCGACAGGCGCATGCGCTGTAAGCGCCGGACAAGATTCTGAGAACACAGTCAATCTCCAAGGTCTGATGGCGTCTTCATCGAGATAAACAAGAAAAAATCAAGCAAAAGTGTATTTTTTTGGTATTTTTTTCGAAGCAGTTGAAGAAGTTCTTGCCCTCAAACAAGAGCTTCTTTAAGTGTTCAATAATGTCAACCACTTCCGTCGAAGTGTTGCCGCCGCTTCGCAGCCTACTACCTGTTGATGCCCAAATTCCTGGATGACCTTGTCCCTGGATGCTTAAGTACGCAGATCAGGAGTAGCTTAATCCAAGAAACCAACTGCGCAGCTGGTCTATGTTTTGTCCCACAAAGAATAAAAAGAATCAGGAGTAGTTGCGGCTCACAATTTCGCTAAGCGGTCGGCCACTGCCGCATGTCCTTGCTGCTTCGCCAGCTTTATGGCCCCAGGCAATTCCATCCTCAGCTCCTCCATCGCGCGCTCTTGCTGCTCGATTCGGTCTAGGACCCGCATGCAGATCGCTTCTGTTTGTCCTGGATCTAGGGAAGTCGTCGAGGACTGGCTCTTTCCTGTGCCACTCTTGTTTGCTACCTTACTTAGATCTCCCCAGAATCCATCATGAGAGTCACCTTGCGTCTGTTTTCCCTTTAGAGAGGTCCCCCAAGATGCTTCTGAAGATGGATTCCCGGAAGCCTTAACGCAGTTTCTATTTGTTTCAGCAGCGCCATCTGCAAGTATACTGGTGCAGGGATCGTGTTGACACCGTCCGGAACCGCTTCTCTTTCACGCGCTCCCGGGAGAAGGTTGTACTTTTTTTCCAATCGCATCTTATCGCTGTCCGCGGCGGAGAGGCCCTGCGAGGCCGCGAACTCGTCGAACAGAACGAGGCCGGGGCAGTCGAGCAGGCACAAACAGACCCAGGCCTCTACTCCGTTTTGCAGCGCAGCTTGTAGCGGACTCCTCACGGGCGCGGACGAGACTGTCTCCTCGGGGCTATTCCCAGCCAAGGTGTTGTCCTCAAGCAAGCCCCCACCAGAAGAGAGAGCCCCCGACCCATAGAGAAAGATCATATCCCGCGCCGGGTTAGATTTATCGACCTGTTTCGGCATATTTTCCACCACCCGGGACGCATTAAGCACTTGCGGCGGAACCATTCCGAACTTGCCCTGCAAAATCTCCTTCAAGATTGCAGGCACAAAGCTCATGTCTTGGTAGCTGCCTTGCCAGCTGGCTCCAATTTCAATCAGCCCCTCGAGCACGGTCTCCGTCAGCCGCCGAGGGCCGTCATTTGCGCCCTGCAAAGTGGCGATGGGTAGAAGGAAGATGATATAATATATTTTCCAGGGCTCAGGGCTGGAGGCCCACCCCCGGTTTGATTTTTTGACCGGGGGGCCTCCAGCCCCAGACCCTTTCCCAACAGGGATTGCCAGGC